AAAAAAAANAAAAAAAAAAAAAAAAATAAAACCCCTACGGTATTACAAAGATTTATTGAAACTCCCGTTTTGAAACTTTTTGAATTATTTATTTTGACTTTTTTGACTTTATTAAGAAGGTTGCTCTATAAGGAAAGAAAGAAGGAAATAGCTATAAAAATGAGCTATTGATTAATATTGGAAATTTATTTGGAACAGTGTTATATTGGAATTATTATATTGAAAGTTGAAGTGTAAAAGTGTATAAGATTTTAGAATAAAGTAACTTTACCATTAAAAAAAAAAAAATTTTTTGTTTCTTTGCCTTTTTTGCTATCTCTTAGGTGCTGTAATGATATTCCTAAGTTTTTGAACCTATTTGAGTGCTTGGAGCTGTCTTTTTTAATGGAGTTGTTCTGAGAAATCGGTCGGATCCAGGTTCTGTAGGTGAAAAATTCAAAAAAAAAAAAAAAACTGCGGTCGCGGCCAACAACCCTGCAATATTATTGGCGTCAGCATCAGGATTCAGAGCTAACTACTAAATTATTAGATGTAGATGTATTAATCAGTCGATTTCCGTAATCCTCTACTCTATTTGATCAAAATCAAAGCAGTAAATAGTTCATTAACATTTATTTCTATATCTGATTTTCTTCTATGTACAAGTAAAAAAGGTCATTAACTAGTTTGAGTTGCAGTAAGATCATTTCCAGTTATAGTGATCATTTTATCAGTTTTTGGTTCCCTTGGGAAACGTTTTTCAACTTCATTCAAATGTTTAATAAACGCATCAAGTTCTGGCTTGGTACAATTCAAGTCTTTGAACGATTTTCCGCTGACATATTTTCTCATGACTTGTAAACGTTCTTTGACCATCGATGTTCTTTTACCACTTGATGATAATTTATGAACGGCTTTCAAATAACCACTAAAGACCCTTAAGCTGTATGGTTTTTCAACCATTTCCATGAATTCTTCAACAAATCCAAGGGCATCGTTGGCTTTTTTATTATTTCTAAGACTTTGTTTCTTTTCTTCATATGTTGAATTAACTTGACGGGCTAATCCATTGAAAACAATGTATTTAGTTTGATCATTAAGCTTGATATGTCTGAAAAGGTCTGATTGAGTGAATGTTTTGTAAATTTTGATTGAATTTTCACCAGCATTCTTCTTATCTTCAAGCTGAGAAACAGTCAAATATCTATGAACTAATGCACGATCAATTGAGGAAGTGTAACCTTCTTCTTTGAAAGTTTCAAAGAATTTGATAGCTAGTTTATCATCACCTATTTTGGAAGCAGCAAGCATGATGGTATCAATTAATGAAGCAGTAGGTTCAATCTTGTTCTCAATTGTGAAAACATCAGGAATTTGAAGCTTTTCACCCTTTTGTGAAGGAGCAAGTCTCTTGAAATTATCAATTTTTGGAACACCATCTGGTATTTGAAAACATGATTGTGCTATTTGAATGCCTCTCTTAATCAAATAAAGCTTCTCACGATTGGTAAATACTCTTACGAGTGCTTCTAAAACATGGTTATCCAATTTGTGTTCAGGGAATGTCAACAACTTTGGAAATATATCTATTGCATTAACAACAGCCCAGATGTCATTTTTGGCATGTGCTAACCCTTGTAGCACAATAGTGTATGTTTTTACATCTGGTCTTATATTTATATCTTCCATTTGTTTGAATAAATTCATAGCATGTGATTGATCATTGGCCCTGAATAATGCTGATATACAAGTGTTGAAATGTATAAGATTTGGTTTATAATCACTCTTTCTGGTGGATGCTAAGTAAATTTCTAAAACTCTTTTGGCTTGTGCGTCAGTTAAAGGCTGTTGGTCATCAACTGGTCTATATGCAGATATTTCATCAAATAACATTGTCATAGATTGTTCATTCAATGAAACATTCCACTTCTTTCTCATGGTGTGCAAATCAAGAGCTGCATTTATTTTGCCCTGTTGTACAAAGTATGCAACAATGAAATTCATACTGACAATACCTTTTGATTGTGCTAATTTTGCTAATGTCATGGCCTTTTCTGTTTGATCCCTTTTTAAGAAAGCTCGTACACTCTTTGTTACCACAACAGAATCTAAAATCTGGTCTTCAGTGACACCGAGTAAAGTGTAAAGGGTTTTCCTATCCGCATGTTGAAAATACTTCAAATCTTCATTACTTGTTGGACCCAACTTTTTATGATCAACATCTTCATTATAGACTTTTTGCAAGATTGTAGCGGCTTTTTGTTTCCTCAAATCGGCAGCTGTTCTTTCTTCGCCAGCTTTGACTTTTCTAGCTTTCTTTTGATGGTGTTCAAAGTTACTAGTTGGTTTAATATAAATGTCATCTCTTGCGGCTAGCTTCAAAAATTTTCTTATTTTGCCTCGGGAACACGAGCTGGTTGAGAACAGCCGTATATTTGAGGTACCTGCTCTAGATAATGACTTGAAACTCGTAATCATTTGCCCTTTGAGATCAAGTTTCGTAGTTGTTGTTGTAAAGCTTTTAAGTGTTGAAATTTTCTAAATCTGTATAATTTTTTTATGTGACGGGCACTCTTAAGGATTTGGGTTCGCGAAAAGGTTGACACTTTTTTTGCCTTGAGCGAGTCAGTTGTGATCATTCTGATTAGAGAGTTGGCCACAAGAAAGCACAGGGAGAGTGGCGAAAGATGAGCTCAAATGATCAGTGTAAGTGTGGTATGGTATTTAATGGAAAAGCTGATACTAATTTGAAATGCCAGTATCCGAATTGAAGGAAGTAGTGAAGAAGTATAGAGGTGAGCATAGATAACAAGTGATAAACTATTGAGAAGAAAGTACTAACAGCTACAGGACCTATACTCATTGAACGGCTTTACCATTTCAAAAGTTCAGATCCTCAAATAGTGGGGCAAGCTGCTTTCGAGGCTTTAGGGTACTTGGAATCAGTAGATCAGTGCAGTCCTTACATTGATCAATTTATAGAGAGATTGAAAGTATTACCAAGTAATGAAGCTATATCCAGGTTTCAAGACCCTCAATGGAATTACCAAGTTCAAAATAACAAATCAAAGAGTGCAAAAGCGGTGGGGGAACAAGATTTATACCACGAAACAAATGTGAAGAAAACAATTGATATAGCAGAATTTCACACGTTCAACAAACAATACTTTGAAGCAACAAACGCTCTGTCAACTTCAGCTATAGGTTCACCAACGTGTCAGTTAGCAGAGTACTCTGCACAGGTCGCACTTATACAAGGTAATTATTCAGCTGTTTTGAATCAAGATAAAAGAGTTGAAGCATTTTTGACTACATCTCTATCAAATGAACTCTATCTGAAAAGGTTGACAGATCAAGAAGTCACATCATATTGGAGGGTCAAGTACTTGATTCTCATGGCACATTTTTTGAAACAAGAATATGAAGAGGCTGCAAATCTAATCTATGATTTAGTTGATGCACCTGCTATTCAGTCAGCTTCAGGAAAGCAAATTTCAGCATTACAACTTTTGAAAGATTCGGATTTTGGGCAATATATCTATGAAGATGAGATTGTGTTAGCATCCTTTATATCAATATTACTTTACAAAGATCCAAGTGAATTAAACAACACTTTGAATGACACGGAATTCACAACATTGACTGGCTCAAAAATTACTGATATCCGCCCCTTCTTTATTAGTTTGAATGCTGCAAAGTTTAAAGAATTGAATATTCTTCTTGATAAATTGAACTATGTTGGAGAAACAAATGTTTTTTTCAATAGAGTTTGGTCACAAATAAGGTTAAAATTTAGACAAAAAAGTTATTCTCTGTATTTGAGACTTGCTGTTAGAGTCTCTGCAGACCATTTATCAAATAGGTTAAACATTGAAAAGGGGAAATTAGTTAAAGAAATCAATGACTATATAAAAGAGAAAAGACTAGAGTTTAGTTATGATGCTGAAAATGAAATATTTGAGACTAATAAAAAGGATAAAAGAATCGATTTTGCTGAATCATTACAAAAACTTTGTGAAGCTTCTGATACAGTTGAGAATCTACTGAGAGAAAAACTTGAAAACGCACAAAAGAATGCATTGAAGGCTAAAAATGCTTTGAATAAAAGACAAGATGAAATAAATTAAGGTATATGTGTCATTATATTCTTTTATATACATCGGATGGCTAAAATACTTCTACAACCTCGTCATCCAAAGGTGTAGTCACTCCCACTTCAGCGATTCTTTCAATATCCACAATCTCCTTTGCTGCTTCAACTGTTAGATTGGTGTACGTATCTTTACCCACCGCAATGTCATCTTCAATTCTGATACCAATATTTCTAAATGATGCAGGGAAAGCATGATCATCGGGAACGTAAACACCTGGTTCAATAGTGATAACTTGACCAGCTTTTAATTTAGCAGTTCTCGAATGACGCGGAACATCATGGACATCTAGACCCAGATTATGGCCTATATAATGTGGATACAATTTTGTAATATCACTGTAGGTTAGTTCACCAAACCCACAATTTCTCAACTCCCTCTTCATCAATCCAACACTCAAGTCATGTATGTCTTGAAGGCTGAAGTTGTGGTTCTCTGTACAGTTTGTAATACATTCTTTTTCAACATTCAAAACAGCTTGGTATAGTTCTTTTTGAGCGGGTGAAAATTTACCAGATGAAGGCCATGTTCTTGAAATGTCCGAGCAATAACCACCTAATGAACCAGCAGCATCTACCAACACCATCTCATCCTCATAAAATAAATCATCATTACGTGTATAGTGAATACAAAGAGCATTGGACCCAGCTGCAACAACAGGAATATAAGCTGGCTTATCGCATCCACCCGCTATGAATCTATACTCTAGATAAGATTTCAGAGTTCTTTCAGTCTTGAAGCGCTTAGCATATGCTTGGTTGTAAGCTCTTCCAGATATTTGACCCGCTTTTCTCATGATTCTTAGTTCAGCATCAGACTTAATAGTTCTCATTTCCGTTATAAATGGTGATAATGGTTTAATAGATTTCCCTGAACCGGAAGTTTTCAACAACTCTTGAACAGATGTTAATTTCTTATTGCCCCCAATGTTGAAGAAGTTTGTGAATGTAGATGATGTGGTCTGCTTCTTTGTGCCCTCTGGTAAGTCAATAAAGACGTTTTTATTTCTCTGGACTAATTTATCTAAATATGGAGCCAATCTATAAATTTGTTCGGATTCATCAGCATTGAATACTTCAACAGCACCTTCAACACCTGTTCTAAATCCATCCCATTGTTCAGCTAAAGGTTCTTTAGGTGGAACAACCATATGGAAGATAACATCTTCTAGCTTATTATTTGGTTTTTCAATGACAATAACTGAATCGGGTTCATTCCAACCAGATAAATAAAACAAATCATTATTCTGTTGAAAATCATAAAACACACTCCCTGAGGCAAATTGAACTTGTGAACCAACAACAATTGCAAGTGAACTATCTGGTAATTTTGAGGCTAAGTCTATTCTTCTTTGGAAATATTCTAAAGCTGTTATACCAGGTGTTAATTCCCCAGGTTTGACCATGAATGGCCTGGTTTCAAACAACGGTTGTCCAGCTGTGAATGGTGGTGTTGGTCTTTGTGAATAACCACGACAAAAGCATTTGATGGAGCTCCTCAATGATGGTATCTTGAATCTTAGCATCCTAGTGGCATTTATATCTGTGTTTGCAAAAATTTTGGTTTTTGTGCTTTAGTTTTGTTTGTGGCCGATGCTCTTCGTTTTTGTACACACAATTTTTTTTTTTCGCGCGTGATGCATTCAAAGACGTCTACACAATGTATTTAGAGACGTATTATAATTTGGCTATACAAAAATACTGTCTTAAGCAAATGAATCAGCTGTAATAACTTTTTTGGTGACGCTAACCTTTTTCCTTTTGAGTCTCACATCAGTACAGACTGGTTGGCTGCTTGCAATTTCAATTGGGTCATGCTCAAAACTGGATTTTCTCTTTCTTGTTGATCTAACAGGATTTGAGCTTTGAATTATATCATAATCTTCAGAGCTTTGAAGGTTCAAATTTGAGAAATAGCCAGTAACTTCTTCTGACTTCTTGGTTTCATCCCCTATTTCTTGGTCACTTGAATTTAAGATTTGTTCTTCATCGATCGAAACTTTAGAAATATCAAGTTGATCCAAGTTATCATCAATTGCGAGTCCACTCTCTAGTGTATCTTCAAATAAAAATTTCTTAGTCCTAGCAGCAGATGACTTCCACGCTGTGAGATCTGGCCCATAAATTTTAGGAACAAATGACCAAGAATAACGACCTCTTGAGAATTGTTTGCCATTTACATAGATACCATCGATATCAACATCAACATAAGATGAACCTTTTTGAAATGTAGCATCACCAACTTGTTTTTTTAACTTTCTTGGCTCATCTTCCAATACCAAAATACACTTTTTGAAAAAAAATGAAATGACAGAAGCAGTAGCTTTGGTGTTCTCACTGATAGCAAAACCTAATTGCTCATGGATGATTCTTGTTGAAGGAGGAATGTCAACTTTTGAGAAAAGTTTATATAATTTTCTGGCAATGAACAACAATCTCAAGTTTTGATGAGTCTTGATTCCGCCCATTGCTTTTGAACGGCATGTGAAGCACGTAGTTTCCTGTCTACGGCTTGAGGATCCATAACAGCTGCCATGAAGAATACCATCACAAGAAGCACATTTAATAGTTCCAGAAACATCAGATTCTTCAGTGGAGCCGCACTCACATTTCACATGATTAATAGCTTGTGTCGGTTTGACTTCTGGTTGTGAGCTCTCCAAAAAGCTTCTTAGCATATTGGTCGTTTGGCTTGGTTCTCTTTTAACGAATCTATTCAAAGACTTTGGTGGCAGTTGAGCATTCTTGATCATGTTTGGAGTCTTGAACTGAGAAGCTTCAAAAGGATCAATCTCTATTAATTCATTTTCATTAGAAATCAGAATAGGGCGACTCAAAACCTTCACCTGGATAGAGTGGAAAGATGTGTCAACAGACCCTGCAGAATATCTGTCAACATTTGAGGTTTTCGGTGCTTTCAAAATAGCTGAAGGTTCATCAGAAGCATCTTTGAAAAATGGTGGTTGGTAATCCTTTGGACATGATTCATTGAACAACATACGCATCGACACATTTCTTTCCTCTGGAAGTGGTTCAAGGGATTGAGTTATAATGATGAATCTTTTCATCAATTGCTGCAACATCTTTCTTGAGTCTAAAAGGCTGATTGGCTCATCCTCGTCATTGATGCTGAAATGGATATCATCATTTTTATAATCAAAAAAGAATGTATAAACCTCATGTAAATCATTCGGGTCATCCTTGTTCAAGAATATAGCAAAGCTGAGTGATTTCAAGTAACCTCTTCTAATAGCATCAGTAGCACCTTTATCAATCCAGTCTAAGAAAAGATCAGCTTTTGTTGATTTTCCTCTAGCCAATGTCTTTACTCTGATTGAATCATTTTTGCTTTTGGGATCATTTGGATTATAGCCCTGCTCGAACTTATTTGGAACAAATCTTTGGTCAACAAAGTTTTCATCTGGGAACAACCCACGTAAGAATGCAACACAACCAAACGACATTGTCAACATAGTTTGAATCAACTTTTGACTTTGCTCACAAGTGATGCTAGTCTTTGTCTTTGTGCTCTGCTCATAAACAACTTCAGTTCCTTGCCCCATTGTATCGACTTTTGATGAAATGACGAATTAATGGTTCTTGTTGAGATTCTGACGATTTCTTGTTCTTTATATAATTCACCTTTGAAGCTAGTAGTTAACCGCTGAGCTCAAAACAGGCGTTTTCTGTATCAAAAAATGCAGTGAGACAATCGTAATGTTTATTTCAGCACACATAGTACCTTATATTTCCAATTGATAGCCATTTTGACCTGTTTAATTACACCGTTTCCATCAAAAATATTGTTTGTTGTTATACGCCAAAATTCAAATGTTGACGTTTTGAGAATTCACGAAAGAAGAAAAGATCATCGCTTTTCGCGAAAACGTTTGCCAAAAAGTTCCCCAGCTGCCTGCCAAAATCAATCAGTAATTTCAGTTGTGCCTGATTTGAAGGAACTCTTGTTTTTTACGAGAGAAGCTTGCAATCCACCTGTAAAAGAGCTCACTTGTTCAATATTCAATAATCTACTGCGATCAACTTCATCAACCATTATATTCTTTAATCCATAAGCTTACTGGAACGAAAAAGTCCCAACTTTTTGGCCCATCTTTGAATTGATTACAATTAATACCCTTTGCAACCACACAATTATGACCGATATCTACAGCTCTACTTCAGATCCAATTCAAGATCAATATGATGGTACTGGTAGTGACTTTGACTCCTACCACTTGAAATCTCCAAAATCAGAATCAGATTCGGCCTCATTCGAAGCAGACTCATTAGAATCTCATGGGCAATCATCAATACCAATTTCAAGACCATTATCAAGATCTTCTGTTACTTCAGGTTTATCTGTGACTGCTACAAAAGATGGTGTTGAAGGTAAGAGGATTAAAAGAACAGGAATCCCAGGCTATCCTTTGAATCTAATCAATAAGATGTATAGCAATTATGCTAAGCAACAGCAAAATCAACAACTACAAGTCGACAACAATAAAGAGAATCAGGATGATCAAGATGATTTCATGAGTGTTCAGTCGATTAAGAGTGCCACCAGTTTAATCCCACAATATGATCCAAGTGAAAGGGATGATGATAGAGGTTCAATGTTATCTAGTGAATATTACGAAGAGCAAGATATGGAGGTTCCTAGAAATTTTGATTTAAACTATGATGGACAGATTCAAGGTGAAAAACCAAATGAAGCTGGTCTTCCTGATATAACGATTGAAAACGAAAGATAAGGTTTCCTTTTCATATATTGCCCTTCTGTATTCAAGTTCTTTTCCCTGGTTTTCACCAGGTCTTTTGATGACAAGAACAGCAAAAAAACCATTACTCTGAAAAATCACAGACCCCTTTGACACTTTTTCATATTTCACATTTCACACGACTTTTTAATGATAACCTTTATTTATAACTATTAATTTATTTGGATTTGCTTTTAGACTTGACTTGTGTAAGTAATTTGTGGCTGCTTATATGAAGTTGATGTTACGTAATCTTGAAAGCAAATGTCGGGAACCTGAAAAAAAAAGTGTTCAAAGACATTTAACAGTATTAAAGTGTGAAGCTTGAACCTGTTCAAAGCCACCAAGACCATTTCATTATGTATAATCTTGGTAGATCTATAATAGCTCCTCAATTATTGAGAGCTGGTAGTCGTTTGGCTACTAGAAAAGCTCCAATCACTCAATTCAACCGTTTTATGGCTCAAGAAGCTAAAGAAACATTTACTTCATTGAATGATGAGAATGATCCTCAAAGAGAAGCTATTTTCAAATATACTTGGGGTACATGGTTAAAAAATGATGAAGCTGAAAAGAGAAAGAGATACACAAAATTCTCTTTAACAGGATTACAAAAAGTTATGAAAGAATTATTAGACGAAACCAAAGATACTGCAAAGAATACTAAAGATGTTAAAGAAGCAGCGGCTGTCGTTCCACCAAAAGCTCATCAAAATGGTATTGTTTCCTTACCTCATAATGTTAATGTGGTAAATTTTGGTTCATTGAATCCAAATGAACAATTCCAAATCAAACAATTAAGCAGTCTTCATGAAGGTAAACATCATAGAATTTATAAACTTGATTTAAACACTGGTAAAAGTTTCATTTTAAGAATTCCATATCCATTAGATACTGAATATGCAATCAAGAAAAGAATCCAAAGTGAAGCAGCAACATTAGATTTCATCAACTTGAAAACTGATATCAATGTTCCAAAAGTCTTTGCCTATGGTGCTGATAATACTAATCCTTTGAACATTCCATTCATCTTGGAAGAATTCATTGAAGGTGAAACCTTAATGAAGAAATGGCAACCAATGACCCCTCATACTGATGCAAAACATAAAGATATCATCGGAGAAGTTATCAACCCATTATCAGAATTCCAAGCTAAATTATCAGCATTCGAATTTAATCAATTTGGTTCTTTATATTTCAATGTTGATTCTACTGAAGTCAACCCAAAGGAACCTTACAATGGTGAAACTGACAAAGCTTTGAAAGGTCGTTGGGTTATTGGTCCAAGTACTGAAAGGGTTTACTGGAGAAACAAACGTCATTTGAAGAAATCCCAATTCGAAAATTTGGTTGGTCCATGGGCTGCTGATAAACCATTAGATCTTGTTGAATCTGTTGCTGATATTGAATTGGAAAGCTTAAGAACTAGATTAGCATTATCTGAAGCTGATACTGGTGTTCTTGAAAACAAGGATTTATTGAAACAAGAAATTGACATTTATTCAAATTTGAAAACTCTTGCTCCAGTTTTAATTAATACAAAATCTGAAAGTGTTAAAAATATTGATGCATTATTTGCTCCAAGATTAGCACATACCGATATTGACCCAATGAATGTTTTGGTTAAAGATGATGAATATTATTTCTTGGATTTTGAAGGTGCAACTATCAAACCAATCATTTTCCAAAGCACCCCAAGATTTGTTGCTTATGAAGATGGTCCAAAGATTTACGAATTTGAAATTGATATGAAACAATATGAAACTTTATCAGATGCTGATAAATATTATTATGATTTTGCCGTTGTTCGTACAAGAAATGAAGTTTTATGGGACGTTGCCTTAGCTAAGACATTTGCTGAACTTGATACAGAAGCTTCACCAGTCTTGAAACGTTTAAGAGGCCCATATGTTACTGCTGTCGAAAAGAGATCAGATTTAGAAGCTGCTCTAGTTGAACGTAAGATTTATGAAGTTTCTGTTCAATGGGATCAATTTGCTGAGCATAAATTTGTTTTAGCAGAAAAATTCCCAATTGAAATCAATCAAGAAAAATGGGAAACTCATGCTGCTTTATTGGAAAAATACTATGCTGAAATTGGTAATGTTGCCTTCGCTGTCACTAGTGGCTGGGTTCCTCAAGATATGTTTGAATCATTACTTTCACAAGGTGTGATTGTTAAAAAAGATAACGGTGATTATGAAATTGCCAATGAAGCGTTAGGAAATGCTGAAGGTTCTGAATCTGAATCTAAATAGGTTCTATGACGTTCGTTAGTTGTATATAGTTAATTAGCTTTTGATATTCGTTTTTTCAAGAAGGCCTTGTAAATCCGATACTTGAAAATTTCAGAATACAAAATGTTGAACCCAAAACAAAACATAAACATAGAAAACTTGCACTATAACCAACGAACAACAGTAACTAAAAAGATGTCAAACTTTAAAAATCAACTCAACCAGCTACTTGGTAACTGATACCTAAAGTTCAAAAATTCTTGAAATCAAAATTAACAAGTTTTTGAAAGAGGCGGCTACATCAATCACAGCCAAGTTAAATCAAGGTGAATTAAGTGAAAATGATCAAGCAGCTTTAAAATCTTCGGTGGTCTCTATTCTACCTTTATCAGAGAGATATGAAAGGCTATTCAGAACTACTGAGGTGGATGATTTAAAAGAATTTAGCACAAGATTGGAAAGTTCAGGTTTGTTGATACCTTACGCGTCACCATTACAATCATTTGTTAACAGCAAATATTAGCAATTGACCTTTGGAATAGAGCGGCATTAGCTATGAAGTCTGGATCTGATGATTTGAGGAAAACATTATGTTCAGGTAAGTGAAGTTGCTTCAAATTTAGAAAATTGTTCACTAACCATTGAGTCAGCGAAATTTTTTGCAAGCCTCTTATGTTCAATCCAAGATTCAATAGAACCAACAATCAAGGGAAAATTTAGGCTATTCAATTGTCTCTATAGATCCTTCAAAAGTTCATTGGGTGAGTATCATTGCAATTTTATTTCAATTGGACTGGTTCTAATCATAACGTTTAGAGGAAAATGATAATAGACTCACTATAAAAATTCAAGAACATGCTGACCGAGTATTCAAAGATTTAGAGTCTATGTCATCAACTTTTGAAGAATCTGTGCTTTCCAGTTTCAACAAAGCCAGATCAGAGTTATTCATCACAAAGATGCAATTATCCATACAGGAGAATGATATTCAAATGGCCAAGTTTTATGAAGAAAGAGCTGGACTTTCATCATTTGCTTCTTCAAACAACTCTGAAGTCTTGACAGAATCTACAAGAGTAATTTATAACTCTAGTTTATCACTTTACAATCAAAAAAGATATTCTGATGTGATTTATTTTCTCAACAAGGCCATTGGATACCTTTCAAATGGATCAAATTCAGGTTCTCAAGAGTCATCAAGAGTGGAATTTTCAATCCATTCCTTATTAATCCGTGCATGTATTGAGGAGAGATCAAATGAGAGTATCCAAGTAGCTGAAGATTCTTTATTGGTTATGCAAGAGAAGCAATGCAATACTCTTGAGTTCTTCAAACTATCAATTAAGTTAATCAATGTTAAAAATGGTGATCCAAGTGAGATTGAAGAAGTCATTATGCGGATGTTGATGTCTAATAACTTTCCTATGCCTGATTTTAAAGTTATTTTGGGGGTTATTAATGATTTTGCACTGAAAGATACCACTGGAGCTATCAAATGTTTTGAATATGTCTTTACTAATAGGTTGGACCCAACAATTGATCATGATACCCTTGAGATGATTCTTGTTGCGATGATTAATATCTATATCAAGGATAAAAGTTTATTACCAGATCATAAACAACAAAACCTTGTACAATTTTTTGACATTGCTGAAAAAAGGTTTATCAAAGCTTTATCTCGGAAATGTTCATCTGGTGCAATCACATTATTATGGAATGCTGGTAAATCAGAATCCAAGAATAATAAATTTGATGAATCCATTGGTTGGTTTAAATTGGCATTGCATAGGTTATTACAAGTTAATGATATTGATAGGGCAAAAATTCAAAGAGCTATTCAAAACAGCTTAATTAATGTTGATAGATATGATGATGCAATCAAGATCTTTCAACAAATGGATGATACTGAAAAGAAATCTTTGATAACACAGTATAATATGTTTAAAGTGTATTCTCAAAAAGGGGAAGAAAATAAAGTTATGATTTGTTTAAAAGAAATGACAACTTCAAATGAACAAAACTTGATTCCGTTATTATCATTATGTGCAACTAGTTCAAATATCAATACTAGAATTGCAATAGAATCCATGATGCTATTATTTAAAAACATAAATGTGGGGCTTGATTCGAAAGTTTCTATTCCTTCAGCTTTACGTTGTGTTATTGGATTGATTTTGAAAAATGATACATACAAAGAGGAATATCTTGATACTTTATTAACCCTTTTACAAGAAGCTTTTAAATTTGCTAAAGATTCCAAAAACATTGAGAATTATAGATTTACTATGGAAGAATTAGAATGGTTTAGTTCACAGGCTTTTAATATATCAAGGGAATGTTTAATCAATGAAGATTTCATATATGGTGATTTATTTGCAGAATTATCAATCAATTTAAATTCATTAATACCTGATGATACAAGTTTTGAAAAATCAATAAATTTAAAAATTTGGAAATTTAGAGCTGGATTAATTAGTCTTTTATGTATGTCCAAAAAGACAAATTTGGATTTCAAATTACTTTGGGGGACAGTTAAGGAGAAGGCATTAAATCTTCGTATAAACATTGATGAATTAACAATAATCATTGGTAATAAACCTGGTTTTGAAAATTTCCAAAAAGAATGGGAACAATGTTTATTAGATGTTATGATTTTCCAATTTGAAGCTGAATTAAAGCTTGAAAATTATGGATCAATTGAATCATTAATTCGTGAATCAAATAAATTGAAAACTATTGAATTTGATTCAACTTTAATTAATATGGTTATCAATGATGATGATAGTAATTATCCAGATCGTATTAAATCATTAATTATTTCATCAATATTATCAAGAAATTTTGGAGATTTAAAGATCTCTTCATTGCAAGTTTCAAGATGGGTTAGATTATTATTAAAATTTACTAATGGTATTAATGAAGAAGATAATTGTTTAAAAATTATTTCACAAATTTATACAAGACTTTGTTCACAAGAGGTGAGTTGAGAAAATTTTGTCCCTTTATTTGTCCCAAAAATACTAACTTTTACATAGGAAGACAATCAATTCCCGGCCCATGAGATTGAGTGGATAGCCACGACATGCTGGAACAATGGAATTAATCGGTTATTGTGAGTATTTTTACATCCGGTCAAGCCACCCTTGTATATTTTAGGCTAAATTAGACTAACATTTTAAAAGTAATGGACAAAAGATTCAAGGACGACTTTGGTGTGATAAAAGTATGAAATTATCAAAATTTGTTAACGAAAGATTTGAAATGTCATTAAATAAATTATGGAAAGAACTACAACATTTATCAGAATGAATTCATGATTATTGATTATAAATCTGATTTATCATGATCCCAATAATTTTTCAAATCTTGTGATTTATATTTAAAACAATGATGACCAATTTTCAATTCAACATCATTAATTAAATTTAAAATTAATTTATGTTCATCTTGATGAGTTAATAATTTGCCAGCTATCCAAATACATTGATTTGAATTATTCCAACATTGTAAAGATTGATTATTCAAATTAATTCCAATGATATTTTTGGCATACCAAGTTACTTGATGAAAATTTTTGGAATTTTTAATATTTGAAAGTTTGAATAATCTTGGTTTATTTTGAATTAATAAAATCATTAAAGTATGATATAATTGCAGAGATAAAGCTGAAGAACCTGACCCATAAACTAATAAAGGGAATAAAGAATCATCTAAATCAGCAAAATGTAAGATTGAAATCAAATTTTTTGATCTTGATTCAAACCAATCATCAACTTTATTCCACAAGATTTCCCATCTTGTATCAAAATCAATAAAATCCATACTTATTAAATTAACAGTCATTGCTAATAATTTAATAATTTCACTAACTTCATTATTCTTATTGTTATCTTCAATTATTGAAACTGTAGTATCTTCACCAATATCCAACCCATTAATATCCGTTAATACAGCCCACCAATAACATTCAGGTATACCATGATCCATCCCATTAGTTGATATAGTTCTTTCCAAGAACAATAAATAATCACGTATATGAAATCTCCAATCCTCCACATCTAAAACCATAGTACTTATTAAAGTTAACAACATTCCAGTTATGCATTTTTCTAACCAACTACTTGTGTGGATATTGTTTACACTTGCTGAATAAAATTTAAACCCCCTTGTGAAATCTTTTAATAAAAAACATGAAGTTGCAAACATTGCATTTTTAACACATGGACTCTCTTTAGAAATTTGAGGGATTTCATATTTGATGAAATGAGAATCTAAAATGTTTAATCTTGGTGCTATTCCAGTATTAAAAGTTTCCAATAATGAAACTTGTTCGTATGGTGAAATTGATGAAACCAAGTTCATATTGGGGAATTGTTGTAATTGTTGTTCAGTTTTGAAAAAATGTGATAATGATGTAGTGAGGATTTTAAAAGTTGAGATATCTAATAAAGTGGTATTATTTGATATTGGTGATACATCTGTTCCATTTGTTAAGGATGAGTTTGAAACTTGAGTTTCTGAAGAATCAACAGAGATTCTTTTAGGTATTGCAGATGGTTCATGGTGGGTGTTGAGTAGGTTATTGAGGTTTAGTCTTGGAGGAGCCGGAAGTTGTTGTTGTTGTTGTTGTTGTTGCTGTTGTTGATCCAGGAATGATTCTGAAGATGATGGTGGTTGTTGTTGATATTGATTTCCTAATGAATATGAAGATAAATCTGCAGATATTCTTCTTGGTTTCTGTGGTTCATAAGATGGCAGGTATTGAGACAGTTGAGGTGGGGGAAACGAAGAGGGAGGTGGTTGAGCTTGTTGCTGCTGCTGTGGTTGAATCAGAGTATGTTGCTGTTCCAGAGGTGAAGTTCCCTCTATTCTTTGTCTTTTCATTGTTGTTTGAGGTTGCAAAACAGGTTGGCTAGGGATTGGTCTTGAATAGATTGGGTAATTTTGTGTTGCACTTGATACTGGTGGGATTGAAATGGTTGGATGACCATGAGAGGATCTTCTTGAACTTGATCTTTTGAGCTTTGGAGTTGGCCATTCACAATGTTCATTCTTTAGTTGACAAGTTTTACATATTGGTTTTGTCTCGTCACATTTTTTGTGCTTTTTTCGACAATTCAAACAACCAGTTCGAACTCTTTTCTTTGTGTTTGAAGCAGTGGAGGAAGTATTTGTAGCATCTGACAAGTTGACAGGAGGGTCTAGTATAGCAGTTTTCTCAGGCATCGTGGGTGTATATGTATTTGTTGTAATCAGAGTGTTCTCATGACTTTGGTGGATGTTATTGTTGTTGTCTTTGGACAAGAAGGGATCCAGCGAGATGATATACTTTTCCACGAGTGGGACACAGACGTGAATTTTTAGCCGGAAGATCTGAGAGGGCGGGTTGTTCCGCTCTGGAGTGCATACGGATCGACTGGATTATATAAGAAGGGTATCATACTATTATACTATACTATACTATCATACTATCATACTATCATACTATCATACTATCATACTATCATACTATCCTATACTATAGTTATCCTATCCTATCCCATAGTCTACTCCAGCCTACACCCCCCATCAAGCAACCACCCGAGAATCGCTCCGGCACTCGATGACTACGTCAAAAACAGTCATCGAAGCACCACAGAAGAAGAAATGGGTACAGTTATTACTAGCGTACAAGTGGTTGTATATGGCTGCTACTATTCAGTTGCTTCCACTTGTCTATTCTCCAATTTAACTCTCAACTCTCTTGTCCTGACCCTCTTTGTGCCTTGTCCCCTGCTCCCCAGAATCGGCAATGTAATAAGGTTATCCAATAGCCTATTCCCATTTCTATCGCAGATTTGAGGAACCAAGAACAATACACTTTGGTGGTTAAGGGTACATTTCATTACTATACACTTCATTCTTTTGACACTTTACGCTTCTTCACACTCTTCCCATCATCATCATCATCATCATCATCATCATCATCATCATCATCCTCTTTCACCTCTTTGCTCTTCTCCCTTGGCTTCACCTCATAATATTCATTCTGCTTTATAGCCCAAATCCCATTCTCAACATCTTTAAAATCATAAACATAACCTTCATTCAAATCACACATCAAATCTAACCATTTAATATATTCACTCATTGAATATTTCAATTTAATCTCATCATCACCATCATTCACCAAAGCGAAAACATATTCTGCAGCTTCATCTGAATAAAAAGGTGGTGCTAATTTAGTAATCTTGTTCAATAAAGAAAGCATTAATGAAGCCGTGGCTGGCCCAACTCCTCTTAATTTAACTAATATCGTTAATGCCTTCTTAACAATTTTCTTATAGTCTTCTTTTGTTGGACTAGTATCTTTAGATTCAAGAAATAGGGCAAATGCTTCTTTAGTTATTGCTATCACATTATCTTCTTCATTTTGTCCAATCAATTTCTTTAATGTTGGTCTAAATTTCCCCTTTTTCCTTTTGAATTATTAGTCAATCATATCAATGATTCATGAGGTTCACTTACAACTTCCAATCCATCAATTTTGTTAATTCTTGTTTATTAATCTCCAATTCACCTTTGGAATATCGATTTTCCAATTCATTTGGGAATTCAACATTTCTCCAATGGTCCAATTCTTTTAAATTTGGAGTGCTATTTGAAACCTCATCCAATACTAAATCATATAATTCCTCTTTAGCTTTTAAAAACTTTGCCACATCCATTCTTTTATCATTTCAAGAATCAAGTGTACCTGTATTCATAGTAATTCTTCACTCTTCTTGAAAACTCCGAGCTCTCTGATTACATAATTTCTTACGTGTACAAAATTTTTTTTATTTTTTCTGTCGTTTGATGATGAGGGATCAAGTTAAAAATGAGTAACACACTGACAACCTTCAACTTCTTTTATTCCATCATCACTAATCATGGCTTTAGAATTATTTAGTGATAAAGGTAAAAGTACCTTGGCTCTTGCTAACAACATCAAATTGGCTATTGCTGCTGCTTCATTTGGCTTGAAATTTTCTCCAGAACCTGGTGAGTGATGGGTTTTCTGATTTGAACATTATTATAGTTTTACTAATACTTTATAGAACAACCTTCATTATTATTGAAAAATGATAAAGGTTTTGAACTTTCTGAACCTAATGCCATTGTGAAATACTTGGCCAAAGACTTCACACAAACTAGAGAAATTGAATTTGAAGAAGATTTATTATCCAAAGCTATATTTTCAAATGATGTTACAATCTTAAACCAATCACCAGTGGCATCATTAGATAAAGTCACACCAAGCTCAATCATCTTATTCGCTTCATCTTATGTCTTGAATAAAGAATCATTCCCTGAATTTCAAAAATTGGAACATGTTCAAAAAGGTTTAGAACAAGCAATCGCTATAACTAATCTTGAACGTCCAAAACCAACTCACACAGGTGCCTCATCTTTGAAAAATGGGTTTGGAATTAAAGACCAATCAAAAGAAATCTTACCAAGAGAAAATGAAAGAAACATTTTGATCACTTCTGCCCTACCTTATGTTAATAACGTTCCTCATTTAGGTAACATCATTGGTTCTGTGCTTAGTGCTGATTTTTATGCTCGTTATGCCAAATATAGAAATTACAACACTTTATTCATCTGTGGTACTGATGAATATGGTACTGCTACTGAAACTAAAGCATTGGAGGAAGGTGTCACCCCAAGAGAATTATGTAACAAGTATCATAAAATTCATTCAGATGTTTATAAATGGTTTCAAATTGGATTTGATTATTTTGGTCGTACAACTACTCAACAACAAACTGATATTGCTCAGGATATTTTCCTTAAATTGAATGAAAATGGGTATTTGGAAGAACAAACCATGGATCAATTATATTGTCCTGTTCATAATGGGTTCTTGGCTGATCGTTTCGTCGAAGGTGAATGTCCAAAATGTGGTTATGAAGATGCAAGAGGTGATCAATGTGATAAATGTGGTAATTTGTTAAATCCTTTTGAATTGATCAAACCTCGTTGTAAAATTGATAATGCATCACCAGAACAAAGAACTTCAAAACATATTTTCTTGTCATTAGATAAATTGGAACCGGAATGTAAGAAATGGTTTGAAGAATCATCTGTTAAAGGTGCTTGGTCTAAAAATGCTATAAATATCACCAAGACTTGGTTTAATGAAGGTTTACAACCAAGATGTATTACAAGAGATTTGAAATGGGGGACTCCTGTTCCTTTAGAAAAATATGCTGAAAAAGTTTTATATGTTTGGTTTGATGCTTGTATTGGTTATGTTTCAATAACTGCAAATTATACAGAATCATGGCAAAAATGGTGGAAAGATCCAGAAAATGTTCAATTATATCAATTTATGGGTAAAGATAACGTTCCATTTCATACTGTTATTTTCCCATCCTCGGAAATTGGTACCAAGGAGAAATGGACAAAATTACATCATAATTCATGTTCAGAATATTTACAATATGAAGGTGGTAAATTTTCAAAATCAAGAGGTGTTGGTGTTTTCGGTAATAATGCTCAAGATTCTGGAATTTCACCTTCTGTTTGGAGATATTATTTAGCTTCTGTTAGACCTGAAACTTCAGATTCTCAATTTTCTTGGGATGATTTCGCTTCAAGAAATAATAATGAATTATTGGCTAATTTAGGAAATTTCGTTAATAGAATTGTTAAATTCGTTAATGCTAAATATAATGGTGTTGTTCCAAAATACAATCCATCAGAAATTTCAAATTATGATTCTTTATTAAAAGATTTAAACTCTTTATTGAAGAATTATAATGATGAATTAGAAGCTGTTCATATCCGTCGTGGGCTAGAAATCGCAATGTCAATCTCTGCAAGAGGTAATCAATTCTTACAAGAAAACAAATTGGATAATTCATTATATAACGATTTCCCAGCAAAAGCCGATGCAGTTGTTGGTGTTGGTTTAAATATTGTTTATTTAGTTGCTTCAATCATTGCTCCTTTCATGCCTGAAACTACTAAACAAATTGATGAAATGTTGAATGCTCCTCAATTGGCTATTAAAGATGAATTCAATTTGATTATTGAAGGTGGTCATAATATTAATAAAGCTCAATATTTGTTTAAACGTATTGATGAAAAAGAAATTGAAATTTTAAGAGGAAAATATGGTGGTAAACAATCTAAAGAATAAATTAAAGTTGGAGAATAGTGTATAATTTTTTTTTTCTACATATAGATATTGTCATTAAAATTTCACACATGTAGAAAAATATTGATCTAGAGTAGTTTATTTAGGGTCTTAGCGATACACGTATAATATTATTTTAGTCACGTTTTTTATCACGTGATCTATTTTTCAATAATTGATAAAAACATCGAGATAAACATAATATATCATACTATTTTTTTGATTTATTTCAATATTAAACCCCCAAGTATTATTACAATGTATTAATTACACTTGAATTCGATATTTTTTTCTCGTTTATCAAAGTTTTGAAATTATTGTCAATGTACTACTTACTAAATTACCTTAGACAAAATTTTGTAAAAACAAAGTTATAAATAAAATTTCGAAATATTAACCTTTACTATATACTGTTAGATACAGCATTCAGTTTTATAATTTTTAATGTATTTTTAAACCCATAGTTACTTACAAAATATTGTTGTTATTGAGGTTTGAAAATAGAAATTTCAGGACTAAGAAATTTTTCAATTATTTTTCGTTTTTCACGCACATAACCGGCCTATGGCACTCGCGGTGTTGAGAAGTAAGTACGTAGTAGACAGTGAATATTGAGCCTAGTTCTGCTTTCAAAAATCATTAATTATTAACCAGAGATGAGATTGTCTGATAGTTGATTGTTTTTTGGTATTACGCAGTGTTCCTGATGTACCTCAGTCTTCAGAAAGTAGCACTACAATATTGTGTCAATACCTGTCAACACGCCTAAACTGATTTCTTCAATTACAAGCCTATCTAAAAAACCCCAAGCACCGAATCCCGATGATTACATTGACCCCAGTCGATGCTTTGAGTTTAACGAAGTCAAAGGGTTATATATTCAAGATGGCTAGATTAGGTTTCAATAAAATAAGCGACATCAGATACCCCAAAGCCCAAAGCCTAAAATACATCAGGATCAAGAGCCTATTTCTTCGCATATCATTTCATATTTTCAGTTTGCCGTCTCCTTCTTCTTCTTATCAGACTGGCATAAAGTGTCAAAGTTCATGAAGGGGAAAACATGTCAAGCGGTTAATTGAAAAGGGTTCGCGAAAAGGTTGATAGGTTTTTCGATGTGAAATTTTGACGAGGTCGCCTGGCTTGAAACACCGTTTACCGATGATGATAATACGTCAACTTGAATCAAGAGATAGGGCTGCGAAGGCTTAATTATGATTGGTGATGATGCAGGTTCTTTTAGTTTAGTTCGGTAGAACAAATTCAAGATGCGTGATGGAACGTTGGGTACGTCAATTCAACGTAAATTGGTGGTAATCGAAATCACAAACTGTTTGGCTCAAGGATTACTATTTGCTGGTGATATTCTATGACGTTAAGTCTGGGGTCAGAGTCAGATAGGGGAGGAGTTAATTCAAGATTAAGCTTTAGCTATTGACACATTGATTGATTCTGATTTGATCTGATCTAAACTTGGTTGATGATCACACACATGAAATGGTTCGTAAAAAATCTAAAATTCCTTGCTTGACCGTTTTTTATTAAAAGACCACCTTATGAGTACATCTTGAATTGACAATTTTTCTTTTCAAGATGGTTTTGATAGCTTTGCATATCATCATAGCTACTAAAGAAAGATCACAATTCGGAAAAAAGCATGAGTGACAAAAAAGCTTTTGAACCTCCAGTGGAAGAGTTTGAGTTACAGAAAGGTACTGTTATTACTACCTTGAATTCGCATGATGAAGTTTCATTTGATGTAGCTGATTTGGACAAGACTGCTACTGAATTTGATGAGGAAAAGATCAAAGATTATTTCAGTAAATTGAGTGATGAATCCACTGCTCATTTTTTGAAAGAAACAGGTCACGGTGATGATTTGAATCATGATAATAAAGATGATTTGACTTTTGATTTGAAATTCATTTTGGACAAAATTATTAATATGTCTAATAAAAAAGTGCTTGACATTTATCAAAACACTTCCAAGCATCATCAAAATGATCCAAACTTTCCAACCGAGTCATGGGAATATATTCATAATGTTTTAGACAAAAAAATTGATGTTGATGAAACTTTTGAAGAAAATTTTAAAGCAAAATTGGCCGCTTCTTTAATATACCATCATTCACCTTACCCTGAGGTCAGAGCTGTGACAGATTTAAGCGATGATCCTAATGAACCTGTGGAAACTATCAGATCCTATACTATTGCAGTCATATGGTTGATTATCGGTGCTGGTATTAATGAATTTTTTTCTCATAGACAACCTTCAATTTACCTACCATCATCAGTGATTTCAGTTTTGATGTACCCTTGTGGTAAGCTTTGGGAATTAATCATGCCAAATTGCAATATCAATTTCTTTGGGAAAAAATTACCACTAAATCCAGGCCCTTATTCTTATAAAGAACAAATGTTTGCTACAACTTTAACTACAGTGGGTACAAGCTCTGTTTATGTTTCTTACAACATTGTTACTCAGGTGAAATTTTATCACTTGAAATGGATCTCATTCGGTTATCAATTATTGTTGACATTAAGCACTCAAACAATGGGGTTTGCATTTGCTGGTATTTTAAGAAAGTTTGTTATCTATCCAGAAAGAGCTATTTGGCCATCCAATTTAGCAACACTTGCATTGAATCGTGCTTTACTAAAACCAGAAAGAAAAGAAGTTATTAATGGATGGAAAATTTCAAAATATAACTTTTTCTGGACTTGTTTTTTGGGTATGTTTGCTTATTATTGGCTTCCTGGATATTTGTTTACTGCCTTATCCTCATTTAGTTGGATAAGCTGGATTGCACCTTACAATTTCAACTTGGATGTCGTTACCGGATCTTCAGCTGGGTTAGGTTTGAATCCATTATCAACATTTGACTGGAATGTGATGCAGTTTCTTGTCAACCCATTAACCATGCCATTTTATGCTACTATGAATGTTTTCCTGGGTATGGTTGTGGGATTTTTTGTTGTTCTTGGTATTTATTATTCAAATCATAAATGGTCAGCTTACCTACCAGTCAATACCAATGCTATTTTTACAAACACTGGTGAGTCATTCGATGTTACTAAAATCTTAACTAATGGTGTATTTGACAATACAAAATATCAAAAATACTCTCCACCATTTTATACTGCTGCAAGTTTAGCGAGCTATGGATCTTTTTACATGATTTATCCATTTGCTTTCCTGTTCAACTCATACAAAGAATGGGATACTATCAAATTCGCGCTTCAATTTATGGTAAATGATTTTAAGGAAACATTTAGAGATTTTAGCTTTAAAAAGATGTTCGATGAATTCAGTCAATCCAGTGAGTAAGTTTGATGATCCTCAGTCAAGATTAATGGCAAGGTATAAGGAAGTTCCTGATTGGTGTTATTGGTCTATTCTAGTTGTTTCATTGATCATTTCCATTTTGACAGTAAAGATATATCCAGAAACCAAAACTCCAGTATGGGGTGTTTTTTTCACTATTGGTATAAACATGGTATTCCTAGTTCCTTTATGTCTACTTTTAGCTGTCACAGGTGTTCAACTGGGATTGAATGTATTGGTTGAGTTGATTGGAGGTTATGCTCTTCCTGGTAATCCTATTGCTCTGATGACTATCAAAGCTTTTGGTTATAACATTGATGGTCAAGCTGATAATTTTGTTTCATGTCAAAAAATGGCTCACTACTCAAGAATCCCAACCCGTGCTTTATTTTGTGGACAAATTGTTGGTGTTCTTATTCAGGTTTTTGTGTTCCTGGGTGTTGTGAATTGGTCCATGGCAAATGTTGAAGATATGTGTGCTGTTCATCAAAAACAAAAATTTACTTGTCCAAATGAAAGAACGTATGTATTACTCCCTTTATTTTTTTTCCCCTTGGAATTTTGTACTAACAAGAATATAAATAGATATTACAGTGCATCAGTTTTAACTGGTGTTATTGGTCCAAAGAGGGTCTTTGAAGGCTTATACCCTGCATTGAAATGGACATTCTTTATTGGATTTATGTTAGCCCTGTTGTTTGTTGCTCTAAAGAGATGGTATCCTAAGATGATTTCGGATTATTTTGAGCCCCAACTTATGATTCTTGGTATTACTCATTATGGGCCATATAACTTGTCATATATTCTAGGAGGGTTTTATGCTGCTGTTGCTATGATGTTTTATGTGAAGAGAAGATATTTGGCTTGGTTTGAAAAATACAATTATGTTCTTTCAGCTGCATTGTCAGCCGGTGTGGCATTTTCAGCTGTTATTATCTTTTTCACTGTTCAATTTCACCCAAAAAATCTAGACTGGTGGGGGTAACAACATTGTTTATAAAGGTATAGAAGGTGGTGATGGCCAACAGACTTTGAAGGATGTTACATTGACTCCAAGAGGTTATTTTGGACCAGAGAAGGGATCATTCCCTTAGAAAGTAAATTTTGGTTTACAATTCTATTGAATCTGGATAGAAATTAGCCTTTCACACCGGAGACTTAGAGTCGATGAAGAAGAATAACATGGGCTGCTATACATTTGAAGGTAGTCTTGACTATTTTATATTTCAAAGCGTATGAGTTAAAAAGATTATCAGCCATTTCATTCAATACGTGTCAACGTCTGATGCGTGAAACTTACCTCAATCGTTTTTTAATAGACTCAGGCCTTTGTAGTTTTTTTATATATCTACTTGCTTCATGTCGAGCTCAGTGCCCTTTTTTTTCGTTTCGGGGTTTCATTACCATCTAATGTTATAGGCCGATCATTTTCAGATCCAGGACTTTCAGTTGCTCATTAGATTTCAAGGCCAGAGTCTTCAGGGGTTTTCTATGACTTAATTGATCTACTTTGACTTTTGAAGAAGCAGAGCTAGGCTCATTTCGGCGCGCTTCTTGAGAACCATTCTCGTTAATATGTTTTTTTATCTCCATGTAAAGTAACATTGAAACAAGAATCCTTGAGTTGAGATGCTGCTTCTCGTTATCGACCTGATGGAAGAACTCAGTATCATTAACTTGATAAGACTGAAAACCGTCCAAATTAAATAGACCATCTTCACTATGTTTGTATTTGCTCGGGTCAAAAATAACCAATAGAGATCCATAGATATCATTGACAATACCACAGCTTAACTCCTTTGAGTAGACCTTAGAAGACAACATTCGAAGCAGAATGGCTTTTGCTCTTTCCAATTTGCCTGAAGAAGCCATTTTTGAGACCATTAGATCTTTAGGGTGTTCAATCAATAGAACTTTTTTGTTTCTCTTGTTTTTATCAGTAGAGCGAGGAATCATGGTAACGACCGTTTCAGCATGTATTAAACTAGCAACTTTTAAACTTTCTACTAGCTCCCTTTTCAAGGGATCACTCTCAGATAAAGTATTTTCAAATTTCAAACCATAGTCTCCTTCATTTTTTAATTTAATTTTGAATACAAATGAAATAAAGCCCACCAACGGGTCTATCACACGGGTGGTAAATTCTCTTGCGAGGTCTCTCTCTGAAACTTCAGCTACATTATACGCCACATCAGCTTCAAAGCAGTGCCCTTTGGTCAATTCAAATAATGTCACCAACTTGTCCGTGTACCTAACCTGAATGCTTTTCATTTTTCTGATCCTATCGGTAATATCATGTTCCATTTGTTCAATATTTTTTAGCAAATACCCTTCATAATTAACATTGGAAAACTCCCCAAAATTTATGTCTCCGAGCCTCTTCGTCAACAGATTATCTGTGCCTTTCAGAACCATTTTCTCGTCTTCATCTAAAAAAACGTCGGTTGAGCTTGCAACTGAGAAAGGTAACTTCCATAGTTTGATGAACGTAGTAAACCCAAAGGGACCATAATTAACAGATTGGGGGTCCTCAGCACCCTTATGAAAACTCATCAGAATAGTTCCAAGCTCATTTGTAATGTAACAGTAAATGTATTTAATCCAGAGGTTTGTCAGTTGGAGTTCAGTAGAGCTTTTACTTGAAGAGATACCAATATGTTGAAAGTTTTTTAATAGGTTTGAGTGATTGATTTCAACCAAATCCTTTTCCACCTCCTCTCGAATATTTTCAATTAGCTGGTTCCGATTAACACAAATAAGCCTAAGAACGTCTTCAGCTTCAAGGGAGATCTCCTGAGTTTGATAACTGGGATCATTGGGAGTTGATACTGACATATTGATGCTTCAAGATAATTGATGATGAAAGATGGTGGAATATTTTTTCGTATAAATGTTGTGGTCCAAGCGACGTGATCATTGCTGGTTGTATGATTATTGAGCACTTTGGCAAAGACACGTTTGAACTGCTCCTTCCATACTTCAAATCGATTCCATTCTCTTCATTTTCGAGAAGAGAATATATTTCCTTAATTTGTAAACAATGCTGCATAGCAGGTCGGAAAACCTATTACATTTTCTACCCTCGTATCTGCTAATTTCCATTTTCGCGAATAGAAGTGTAAAAAAATTGTAATCTTTGGTTTTAAGTCATGGCTAAGGCTTGAGATTACAACAAAATCATGTCAGAAGAAATAATTAATAAAGCTAAAAGCCATCTGGATAATATCTCCGTTGAAGTGATATCTCAAGGTGCAGAAGCTGTCGTATTTACTACTACCCAGCATCCATATTTACCAACACAAATCAAGCCAAAACTAGTGAAACATACAGAAAAATACATCATCAAATTTAGACCACCTAAAAAATATAGACACCCAATACTAGATGCCCAATTGACCAAAAGACGAACATTAGCTGAAGCTAGAATTTTGCAAAGGTTGACCACCATCCCTGAAGTCCACACACCTAGCATCTTGGCAGTTGATCCTAGAAATGGTATATTATGGATGGAATACATAGGGGAGCCTTTGCCAAACGGTAAGCTAAGTTCTTTGAAAAACTGGCTATGGCAGTACAATGAAGATGGATCTTCCGCTTTATCAAGTGATGTAAAGACTATTTTGGAAAGCGTGGGGAGAGAGATTGGTTCATTACATTTGAATGACTTGATTCATGGTGATCTTACAAGCTCAAACATTGTTTTACAGAAAAGCGTTGATAATGGTACTTTGGAAGCATTTTTGATTGATTTTGGGCTAGGCTCAGTTTCCACAGTAGTTGAGGATAAAGCCGTCGATCTATACGTGCTGGAAAGAGCCATTTTGAGTACTCATCCTTTATATTCTGACCACTACAACAAATGGTTGCTAGAAGGTTATTCAAGCGTTTATACAGGGAAGCAAAACTCCAAAAAGTTGAAAGAAGTTCTTAATAGATATGAAGATGTCAGAATGAGAGGTAGAAAAAGAAGCATGCTGGGTTAATACTATAATAGATAATCAAAGTATTTATCTTATATTCATTGTAGAGAATGCACGATCTATATCATTTTCATCTTTTATTGTGTCCGTTTTAGATTCAAGCGTTTCATTTATCGATTGGTGGTTCGTTGCAGCTTGAGTACGTCTTTGTGGAGTAAGTAGTGTGTTTGACCCACCCAAATATCCTGGTGCAAGTCTTCGTACAACATTATTATGCCACTCCTCATACGCCTCTTTTTGCTTAGTCCCGTAACTTTTTATCTCCTTTTTAACATGTTGACATTCAGCTATCCAGGCTTCAAGATTGTCCTTTGTAACGTTTGTTTCAGGTAGTTGTGATGGTAAAGGCTTGTAATTGAAAGGTAGTGTGACAGCTTTTGGTGGGTTATAAAAGGGTGATACAATCAATGGTATTTGCGCAAGTAGTGGGTGTGCTTCATATGTCAGTAAGGCTCCAGCAGTAATCAAGCAGTATACTCACCTTTCTCTCCCTCCATCTTGAATTGATGCTGAAACGTTTGTGTCTTGAAACTTGTTTTTGCTTTGTGGATAAGGGCATTTTGATCCTTTCAACATAGGCTCGATATCCGACCAAATGTTTGTCAGCAGAGTCACATGATAGTCACGTGTATTACTTTAAGTTCCGTCCCATCGGATGATTTAGAAAGCGTTAATAATAGGAATAACTAAGCAAGAATACATTTTAAACAAGAATTGCTCTGAAGTGAAAGGCTAAAGACAATGTTACCAGAACCTATCAATATCAAGAAATGGATCGAAGAGAACGAGCATCTCTTACAGCCTCCAGTCAACAATTTCTGTCTTCATAGAGGTGGTTTCACTGTGATGGTAAGTTTAGACTCCGAGATTTGTACCTGGCACTGATTCAAAATACTAACGAAGGCAGATTGTTGGGGGACCAAATGAAAGAACAGATTATCATGTCAACCAAACTCCAGAATGGTTTTATATGTACAAAGGTGATATGACATTGAGAGTTGTTGATGAAGGGAAGTTCAGAGATATCACAATCCGTGAGGGTGATTCATTTTTATTGCCTGGGAATACTCCTCATAATCCAGTTAGATATGCTGACACTATAGGTCTTGTTGTTGAACAAGACAGGCCAGAAGGAGTCAATGACCAGATAAGGTGGTACTGTTCCAATTGTTCGGAGATCGTTCACAACATAACATTTTATTGTTCTGATCTGGGTACTCAAGTGAAGGAAGCAATTTTGACTTTTGACAACAATATCGATTTGAGAACATGTAAGACATGCGGAACACTAAACTACTCAAAACCTCAAGTGTCCGAAGACTGATTAATTGTCATTATTTATTATTTATAGTGCTCCAGTAATTGATTTCAATATGCGATTTCATCAAAATGACCTTCAAATGCATTAATGAGCCATGTTTCTAACTTTTTGTAAATAATGATGTGTGAATTATGAGAATTGATATTATGATTTGAATCTGGAAATAATTGCATATCGTAGTTCCTCACATCAACTAAGTTAAACTTATCAAATAGCCTTAATGAATTTTGAATATGAACATTATCATCACCTGTTCCATGCATCACTAAAAATCTTTTCACAGTTCTGAATCCATCAACATCATTAATACGAGACTCACCATATCCTTGCTTATTATTTTCTGGTTTATCCATAAATCGTTCAGTATAGATTGAATCATACAATGACCAATCAGTAACCGGAGCAACACTCATACCATACTTGAAGACATTTCCTTGATCAAATTCCAATGTTTTCAGTGTCGTGAATCCACCATAAGACCAGCCCCAAATTGCAGTTTTTTCTTCATCAATATAAGTTCTTGAATCTATCCATTTTTTAGTCAGACTTGTGATGTCTCTCGGTTCCCAATGCCCTATATGACCACGACTCCATGATCTATATCTCCAACCTTGACCACCTGTCCCTCTTGGATCAATAAACAGTATAACTGCATTAAAACGCTCTGAAATTGAATCTTCGAAACCCACAGAAAACTTCGAGGTAACCTTTTGTGACCCTGGACCACCATAAACATTCACCAACAAAGGGTGTTTACCATTTTCATCAAAATGTTTAGGCAGTACCTCAATGACATTAACAGTGACTGGGTTTCCATCAGAATCTTCATCAACTTGAACTTTATGGAATGATTTATTCTCACCAGTAAAGCTTAAAACACCTCTTTTACGCAAACTGTTTTGAGCATACATCAATGGAAAACTTGGCCCATTCTTTGTGAGCACTGAAAATCTAGACGATGGTGAGAAAGATGCATAAAAGTAGCCTATTTCATCAATTTCTGACATAGCTATCAATTGCTTGGTTTGAAGGTTCAAAGAATATAAGTGGTTTTCAAAATTTGATTGCCTATTAGCGGTGAAGTAAATCAGATTCTCCTCAGAATCAAAAGATAAAACATCACTAGTAACTTCCCATTGACCACTAGTCAACGGTATTGGATTTAGACTATCTGCACTATCAAAATAGGCCAAATGGTTATAGCCATCCACAACAATTATATCAATAAACCCAGGCGTTTCACGGCCAGCGGAACTATTCCTTGGGACTGGAAATATTTCACCAAACTTATCAATCCAACCACCATATTCCTTCACTGCATCAACAGTATATGTTACCTTAGATGACTTGTCCTCTGGATTGTACACTCTGTAATTCAGTATGTTTGACTCTCGATCAGCTTCACGTATAACAAAATTTGTTTCATCAATCCATTGACAATTGTAAACAATGAAATCATCACCCAGTGAGGAACCTGCTCTATCTATCTTGGAAACTTCACCTGCCTTAATGTTATATTGATACAATGAGACAATAGGGTTGGCACTGCCTGGCTTTGGGTATTTTATTTTATCAACTTTAGGGTATTGATCATTTGAGATGAAATATTCTAGATCTTGAGTATGAACTTTTGAATCATCGGTTCTCATGTATATCAAGTTTGAATCATCTGGCGCCCACCAAAACGCATGATCAGTAGCAAAAACCTCTTCTTCGTAAACCCAGTCTGTTCTACCATTCAAAATATCAACAGAGCCATCGTTTGTTATCTTTGTTGACTTTTTCTCCCTGACGTCATAAATATAAAGATTATTGGCTTGAACAAATGTCACGTAGTTGAAATTTGGCGACCAAGCTGCAAGAGAAAGTTTTTCATCCTCTAAATCACCAACAATAGGAGTAAACTCACCAGCATTGAAGTCATATAGCCAGAATTTGCTCTTTCCTGAATGTCTGAAAACACTTTCAAAATCTGATTGTACAATACCATATGTTACATTATAATTTGGAGTAACAGAGGTAATGATATGCTCTTGCTCCCTAAACTTAAATGTCGTATCTTTCATCAAAATCTGGGAATATGCTCTATCTGAAAGTTTCTTAATAACGAAGTCATTGTTTTGTTTGAGAACATAGTAACCTTCATCTTCTTTCTTTGATAATTTAGTGGCACCGGCTTGCAGAAATTGAACGTCATCCATCAACAGGTCTGTACCCAGGGATTTAGTTGGTATTGGTTCTAGTGACGTGTGAATATCATATTCCACCAGTGGTATTATGGATTTTGTGGGCCTTATTACCGCACTTGAAATTGTAGAGCTTGAAATGATTGTTGATCCATTGGTTGTTTTATTACCTTTGTGAAAGTTTTTGGCATAATCATAATGTCGCTCTGCACCTAGGGAATATGCCAGCAGCAATAAAGCCCAAAGACATATTCCTATGATTATTATGAAAAGACAGAACTTTCTCCTTATACCACCACTTTTTGCAGCCAAAAATTTAGGATTCGAAGTGAAGTCCTCCACCCCATTGTTGGAGGCGGAGTATTTGTTTATGCTTAGCAGAAGCTCTGATGTCTGGGAGTCTATTGATGAGCTCGATCTTGTGCTTTCACTTGAAACTCTGTTATCACTTTGACCAGCTTCAGCCTCTACCCCACGCTCCAAATCCACATCATTGAGCTGGCTACCATCCACCATCTCATAGCTCTCCTGGGAGCCCAATTTAAATCTATCAAAGAACCCATTCATGGCGTTTGCACTCTTCACTGGAAATTGTGGTTATGTTAAATTGTTCATCAAAGGTGTTTATTTAGTTCCAAGCCTTTAAACCAAAAAAGAACACGCGAAATCAAACTGCATAATTCGCGAAATTTTTGACTTTGCCTCGACCAATTTTTTTCCAGTATAACGGTCAAAAAGTATGAAGTACAGATAACTTGTACAGAAAGGTTTTCTAGGAGAAGGCAAAATGATTGGTCCTGAGGTACCCGAGAAGATTCAAAAACTAAGAGCAAAGAGATTAGGGAGGTCACAAGATCAAGAGGTAGTAGAAAGTTCTGATGATGATTTTGCAGGCCCAAAGTTAGACGATTTCAATGATGATGGTGAAGAATCTGAAGAAGCTGCTGCTAATGAAAGACTAAGAATTGCAAGAATTGAGCAGTTACAAAAACAAGACAACACATCTGGAAATCAAAGAGATTCTAAGCATGATTCATGGATGTCAATGAGACCTGAATGGGCCGAAACTTCTGAGCATTCAAGCAATCCGAATACAACAAAAGCAAAGCCTATTGAAACCCAAGCGAGATCAAACAAACCTTCTTTAATGGAACTACACCAAGAAAATATAAGAAAACGTGGTCTTGATGAAAAATCGAAAGTCACGTATGATCCAAGCGAAAATTTAAATGCCGAAGTCCGTAAAGAGGTCTTCAGAAAAGCATCAACATTAAATGATAGATTTACAAGAGGCTCATAACAATTCAGAATAGTTCATTACATTTATATATTACAGCATCATCATTTTGCTCCCAATTTGTCAAAATCCCCTTGGAATGCATCTCTCAACCATGAGAATAACTTATCATAGACAATGATATTAGCATTATGATGATAAATACTATGGTCAGAATCAGGGAAAACATGAACATCATAATTCTCAACTCCACCTAAATCTAGTTGATCCAACAGTGAATATGTGTTTTGAATATGAACATTATCATCAGCTGTACCATGCATAATAAGGAATCTATTAGCTTTACCCAAGTTTCCAACTTTACTGATTTGAGAAATCTCATAACCTTCCTTGTTGTTTTGAGGTTTGTCCATATATCTTTCAGTATAAATAGAGTCATAAAATAACCAGTTTGTAACAGGTGCAACAGCCATACCATATTTGAAAGTTTCACCAGCATCAAATTCTAAAGTTTTCAACGTAGTAAATCCACCATATGACCAACCCCAAGCTGCGGTTCTGTCAGCATCAATGAAACCTTTACTAATCCATGTTTTGGCAACTTCAGTAATATCCCTAGGTTCCCAATATCCAATCTTCTTTCTTTGCCATGAGCGGAATTTCCAACCTTTACCACCTGTACCTCTTGGTTCCACATATAATACAACTGCATCTAATGCAGATGAGACACTATCTTCAAACCAAACATCAAACTTGGAATTGACAACTTGGGAGCCTGGGCCACCATAGAAATGAACTAATAATGGGTATTTTTTTGAGCTATCAAAATTTGGTGGCAAGTATTCAATAACATTCAATTCGACTGGGGTTTCATCTTCAGCTGTTTTCACCTCAACTTTGTGGAAATTCTTTTTTGGGAATGCATGTGTTCTTTTTGACATTTCCAAATAAGTGGAGATTGATAAAAGTTTCATTTCTAACTTTCCTTCAACTTTGAATAATTTTTGCACTGGCGTTTCAGGCCCTTTATAGTACAATGAAACATATTTAGCATTTGGTGAGAATTCAGCTTCATAATATGCTTGGTCAGAATCATCAGTAAAGCTATCTATTTTTCCGGTCTCCAAGTCAACGGAATAGATGTGCTTATCTGTTGAGGCTCTCTTATTGGCAGCAAAATAAACGAGATTTTTCTCCTTGTTGTAAGCCAAAGGAGCATTTAGCACTTCCCATTCACCACTAGTTAAAGCTTTTGGTGTTTCTGTTGTTGTACTTTCAAAATAAACCAGATGATTATAGCCGTTAACAACGATTGTATCAACATAACCCCATGATGAAGATCCACTTTTTGGAGGAATTGGGATAGGGGAATTGAATTTTTCAATCCAACCATTGTATTCTTTGACAGCATCGACTTTATAAACAACTTTACTTTCATCTGAGACTGGGTTATAATGACGAACATGTAGTATGTTGGATTCTCTATCTGTTTCTTTGATAATGAAATTTGCATCATCTATGAATAATGCCTCATAAATGATATACTCATCACCAAGGTCTGATTCTCTTTTGATTTCATGAGTTTCATCAGATTCAACAGAGTAAACTTTCATTGAAACTTTTGGATTGCTAAAGCCTGGTTTTGGATATGGGATCTCTTTAGTTTTAGGGTATTTATAAGCGCCACTTGGATCTTGAACATAATAATCAATGCCGTAACTTGGAACACCGCTTTCATCTGTCCTCATGAATATCAAATGTTTCTCATTAGAGGACCACCATAATGCTTTACCAGTGGCTAAAACTTCTTCTTCATAGACCCAACCTGTTCTTCCATTCAAAACAGTTTTTGAGCCATCATTTGTAATTTGTTTGATATCTGAAGTTTTCAAACTCTTAACATACAAGTTGTTATCTTGGATATATGAAATATAATTGTACTTTGGAGACCAAGTTGCAAAAGATAATTTGACAAGAGCGCCTTGTTCACCAGTTGCCAAAGGAGTGAAAGAGTTCTCAGCTATGTTATGTATCCAATAATATGCCAATGATGAATGTCTATAGACAGTTTCCATCTCTGTTGCAACAATTGCATTCGTTAAATCATAAGTTGGATAGTATTTGACAACTTTATGGCTTATACCCTCATGTTGAAATTCAAAGTTTGGTAATAACACTTGGCTATATGATTTATCTGTACCCTTTTCAGCAACAATTTTATCATGGGATCTAGTATAGTAGAGTCCTTGATCATCAAATTCTGCTAATCCTGATGACGGATTGATAAAGGATAGCTCAGAGTCATAAACGAAGAATTTACCAGATCTCAAGGATTCCATTGTGATCTTTTCCAGCTTTTTTGTAGCAGTGTTTCCATTGTTTTGGTTGGTTTCTTCCTGGCTTCCCTTAGATGTTTGCCCACTTGTTGGTTCTTCAGTTTCAGCAGGCTTTAATTTAGCATCTTGTTGTTCTTTATCACCAGTTGATTCTCCATTATTGAGAGCTTCATTTCCTTTGCTGTTTTCAACTTCAGGAACTGCATTATCACCTGAACCTTTATCCTTGTAATGATCCCATACATCGATACCCTTCTTATTCACATACACCACTGACCCAGCTATAAGAAAAATAAACAACACGAGAAACCCAACCAAGAACTTCCTTCTCTTAATTGCCTTAAATGAGAACCTTGATCGCGTTCCTGGGCTTGTCAATGTATCAAATTTGTTTCGTAGTAGATTGGCATCTGTAGCATCTACTGACTGTGGAAAAACATCATCACTTGAGCTTATCACATTATTCTCCAAATCTTTACCAAATGACTGGCTGTCCACTAGTTCATAGCTCCCTTGATTGTCTTTCTTTGGCATTTTGACGGTGGACGACTTTTGGGCCAAAAACCTTAGGAATCAAGAAATATAACTCAGGCAGCAATAATTATATCTAGCAGTATCTCCTTCAACGGGTTGATGAATATGAGGTCTAACGTAATTGTTTTGAATGTGTATTTGAGGTTAACGTTTGGGAAAGACCCATTGATCAACCAAAACGGAAATGTAATGTAATTTTTCAGCTAGGGGACACAATTTGACACACTAATTTTGCAAAAGCCGATATCTTCATGAAAACTCATTCAGATCGAGTTTAGTAAGTTTCAATTGTGATATTCGAGTGCTACAGTGGTTATTTCAGACTTGATAATTAATAATACTACAAAATTTCAACATAAAAACACGCTAGTTGAAGGTTCAAAAGTTTTGAGTAATGCCTGAGGACAACAAGCTCTTCAAAGTTATTGAAACAATTCAGCATACCAATGAAACCTATCCAATAAGCATAGCTTCACTAGATCAAAGACTTATTCAATTCCAATTCATTGGTTAAGCTCTTTGTTACTTTCCTCCTTCAATTGTTCAGCTTTTGCCGAATCAACTTTTAATTCATTCTCTTTGGCAACCTCTTCAGCAGTCTCAACTTTTGGAACGCCTTCAACTTGTGCAGCAGCCTCTGGTTCTTTTTCAATAGTGATTTTCAAACCATCTTCACCCTTTGGTTCATCAATGACAGCTGCCTTTGGCGCTTCAGCTGCATCTTGTTCAACACTAGCAGCTTCACCATCAGCTTTGATACCATCAACCTTTAAAGGCTCATCATTATCAACATAAAGAGGTCCGTCATTTTGTGCAGAAGACTCTGAGCCAGGCTTTTGAGTATCTGCCTTTTGACCTTCCTTTGCAGCAGAAAGAGCACCTTCAGTCAAGGCCTCATCGTTGTCTTTATAAACAGGTTGATCACGATTACCAGAGTTGTTTTCAACTTCAGGATCTGAGCCACCTGATCCTTTGACTTTGTTTTTGTAATAATCCAGAACATCTAAACCATTTTGAGAAGTGTAAAGACCAGAAGCTGCAATGAAAAACAGAGCAAGTACGATAAGCACAACCAAATACTTTCTTCTTTTTAGACTCCTCAATGAGAATCTTGAATATTTTGGGCCTGCAATTGTATCAAATCTGTTTTTGAAAATTTCAGCATCAGTAGAGTTTGAGCCTTCTGGAAATCCAGATTCTAAATCTTTACCAAAAGATTGACTGTCCACCATTTCGTAGGACCCTTGATTATTCTTCTTTGGCATACTGGTCACGACGTGTAGTTTAATATTTCGAGCTGTAATGATATGAGATGGGTACTTTTCACAGTACGGCTTTGATCTTGGAACTTGAAATTATTATCTCCAGCGTGTAAGAATACGCATCCAAGGGCTTAACAAACAAGTGAATCTCTATTGTTCTGTCGTGTGCAGGAAATCTCCAATGGAAATACGTCGCGAATTGGTCCTGCATGAAATTTAACAGCACGTGATGTGTAGCAGGGTAAAGTTCGCGAACTTGTTTTTCACCTAACGAAAAAAAAAATTGTAAACTATATGAAGTAATGAGCTTGAAGTAAATATTAGAGATTGGTTTGGGGGATAATTGTACTTTTGCAAACATGTCCAACACTTTATTCGATGACATTTTCAATATAACGGAGGTTGATGCCGCCAGATACAACAAAGTTTCCCGTATAGTCGGTACTTCATCCACTTCATCAGACATCAAAATCACTTTAGATATAAATTCAGATTTATTCCCAGTTAATGTCAATGATGCTTTAACTATCACATTAGCTTCATCATTATCTTTGGAAGAGGAAAACAAAGATACCACTGGTTCATGGAGGGCTCCAAGAGCTGGTGAAAAATCATTAGCTGATGATTATGACTACGTCATGTATGGTACTGTTTACAAATTTGAAGAATCTTCAGATGACAAAATGTGAGTATTATCCAACTGTTTCTTCATTTGAATTTGATACTAACTTATTTTTGATTTTAGTTCTGTTTATGTGTCATTCGGTGGTTTATTGTTATGTCTACAAGGTGGTTACCGTAATTTGTCAAATTTGAAACAAGAAAACATCTACTTATTATTACGTCGTTAGAGAATTAATCTATGCTGTTTTGTAATGAATATAGTGCCCCAAAAATGTACAATAGAGTTCAATAGATTTCACTTGAGTAGTGTCAAACTGTGTAACATTTTCCAACGTATAAACTGTTTTTTCAGCTATAATTAAACAAGTAATAATTGACCGAAAAAGTTGAAAAGGCTTTTGAAAAAAGCGCTAACAACCAAAACATAACAATAATGGAAACTTTGACCATCTCACGGACTCAGACACTTGACGCCATCAACAGGTTATACCATAAAGACATGAAAATATCCTGGCTAAACACTGAAATGCTGTTCCAAGGGTTTCAAACTTTGCAACACAACCTTCCAAAAAGTAACTCTAGAGGATCAAACATAATACCAAAAGTTGTATTTCCACCTCTACTTTCCAAATCAGTACCTCTTTGAACACAGGAGCTCCTCTGACGAGCTGTAGTTTTCATTTTATTGGATTCCTAACCCATCCATGTATCACCACATCACCATTTTCCGGGATTTCTAACCTCAAAAGTCTAAAGTTTCACAAGCCTGACGCCTTGACTGTAAAATTCCCAAAATTTTGATATACAAAATACTTTGAAAACCACCAATCACCACCAAATTTGACCCGGAATTTTCAAAAACAGGAGTTTTTATGGACACAGCTGTACTATTAAACGTGTCAATAAGCATTCGTGAAAACAGAGAAGAATTAATTTTGAATTCTAAACCAATTACAACTCTAATTGGCAATTCCTCCTTTGTTTCATTCACGGACTGTTTTCTAACAGCTCATAAACCAAGAATCAACTGTCCACGTTCCATGAGTTCCAACTTAATTGAAGAAGTCAAACAAGAGATTGAGACCAACTCAGCAATAGCTACTCATCATGAACAAGCACAAACACAAAAGCAGCCACAAGAAATTGATTATTCACCCACAACTAGTAAAGATGAGCAGGAAAATCTTTTAAGACGCACAAACTTTGGCATCTTATTCCTTGAAGCTCTAGCCAAAGAAATTATCAAGCCAATAGCAGAGATTCAAATACAGAACATTTTCAAGATTGATGAAGCTGGTCCAGTCAAAATAAACCAAATTACAGTCTGGCTCCTTTGCCAAAGTATCAATGTCAAGAATGTTTTGACCCCAGACTATAAACATATTATTCCTCACCTTTATAAGTTGGTGCTAATCTTACCATCTTTGGTTTTAGTTGAGGTGAATCATTTGGAAGCGCCATCAGAGGACCCAGCAGTCGAAATCCCGACAAGCATATCTGAGAAATCAACTGCAGCTTCAATGCCAAGATCTAGATCAACATCAAGCAATTCTAAGAAAATGAGAGAATTAAAATCAATTTTCCCTTACGCTCAAGATATTCCTAAAAGTTTTTTCAACAAAAAATTACAACAAATGGAGCATTACCTAAATGCAGCCATGAAAAAGATAGACCCATTCACAATATTAGTATACATTCATGAATCGTTAAGCGGGCTTTCCAATACTTCATTCGGATTCAAGAATAATATTAAATCAAGCACCCCAGAAACTAAAATTGCTGATATTTTCAAACAACAATTCGTTGATCCCGTTATTTCTATTTTTGAAGTTGTGCTCATTCAAAATAAAAAACATATAAAAGCGGAAAGAGAAAGACACTTTTCAACATTTTACACAATCCCGTCTTCAGATAACTCTTCTGAAGCCCTGGATGTTTCAGAGCATCTATTTCCTGATTTAGTTATAACTAGTGCATTTGAAAGTGGAAAAGATACAATAGAGCATATATTAGAATTTAAGAGACCCTCTTTATTCATTTATCCAAGATCAGGAAAACTTGTTGAATTCGAAAGAGACATCAAGTTAGGTGCAGTCTTGAAACAATTGATTTATTATTGTTACTCGTTAAATATTGATAGCTTCTCTGTGACTGATGGGTTCGGTTTCTTATTTAGCATTTTAGACGAGGGCACGTATGATAAATCTCAGTCAATTGGTGAACAAAAACCACAACCAAAAACCTCTGAAGATTATGTTCATCAGAATATATTGAGGTACATCACCTTCAATGGTTTAGATACAGAAACTTATAAACCTTTATTCCAAGAAAATGACCTCCAAACTAGAATGCTAATAGCCTTGGTTTTGTATCTAAAGATATTTAGTGGTGAACTTGCAGGTCAAGATTCTGATGAACTGAAACAAAAGATGCAATCCATTTTTGATAAGGCTAAAAAGCAGCGTTTTGAAGTGACACTCGCCACATTACCGGAAGAGCAGAGCAATTCAGCTACACCTGCTCCAGCTACTCAAAACTCAAATGCTGGTAAGAAGGTAGCTGTTGATCCAAACACCAACCAAGAATCCGCCCCATTATCTCCAGCAAGCTATAACTCCCAACAATATGCCACTACAATGACTAGTGCTCCAACAACAGCTGATATTGATGAAAAGAAGTTCATAGCAAGGATCCCATTCAATTTCAATGAATTTAAAGTGATCCAAGATAGACAATCTTGCATGACAAAAGTTATTAAAATAACTAGAAAAGGACTTCAACAGTATTTCATTAAACCTGGAAGTTTCCTTGAACCGAGGGGTCACGATGATACTGATTATAATGTTGTATTAAAGCTCTATAGTTTTAATCATTTAGAAAATTATTTTTGGAATTTTTTTGATAACTATATGAAGAAAACTTTTGATGAGTTTGTTGAAGATACCATCGAACAATATGAGACTGAAGTGGGAATAAATAAAATTATTAAGGATTTTAATGACACTGTTGATGATCCATCCAAAATGATAAATTCACCAAGAATGCTAGCTTTTGGGCGAATGACCTCTGCCAGGGTGCTGACACCCTTTGATGGATACTTCATTGCTTTCGATGAGGTGAAAACTGGTAATAATAAATTTAATGGAAAGCATATGGAAGGGTTAATTGATGAAGTACAAAAGCTTCATATGGTCAATATCGCTCATGGCGATCTCGCAACCAGAAATATTTTGGTTGATGAGTACAATAAAGTCCACCTAATTGACTACAACTGTGCTTTTAAAATTCCAGAAAATGATCAATCAAGACGTCGTTATGGCCTTGACTTGGATAATGAAAAGCTTGCTCAGATTGAAAGTAAAATCAAAAGTAATATTATATAGTTTCATGATCATATTGAGAATTCAGCATCTTGAAATTGGTAAATGTGAACACTTTTTGAGATATATATAGCTAGTAATAGATATAATTATATTAAATCATAATCATTCAGCGGTAAGACTCATTCAAAGTTATGAATATATTCGTGATGCCCAAACACCCCGAAAACACTGACTTCATCACTTCTTTGGTATGACATTTCTTCAAAACGCCACATACCAGCAAAAATACACCACAACAAGAAACTCTAGCCATTTAGCTACCTTGAGAAGCTGAAGATTCCATTGAATTGAACCATCTGCTTAAGAATATTTTCCAAAAAACACTTGAAATGCCGTTTCACGGGTTTTAAACTTTACATCACAACTTTCCAAAAAGTAACTCTAGAGCACCAATCTTAACACCAAAAGTTGTATTTCCACTTCTACTTTCCAAATCGGTACCTCTTTGTGCACGGGAACTGCTTTAAGAAGCTGTAGTGTTCATTTTATCGGATTCACAACCCACCCATGTATCACCACACCACCATCTTTTGCATATTCCAATCTCAACAACTTCACATTTTCCAAATCTGACACCTAAACTGTAAAATTCTCGAAATTTTGATATGGAAACCATCTTTAAAATAGCCATTCACCACCAAAACTGATCTGGAATTTTCAAAAACAGGGGTTTTCATGGACCCTTGGATGGATTTTTCAAGGCCCTTGATCGGATTTTCCCTGGTTTTCCGCGAATTTTGGGCGGTTTTGGATGGGTTTTGAGGATCAAGGAAATAAATCAAGAGAAAATGAGGTATATACCAGCTGAAATTGGGCCTCCAACACCTCAGCGGTACTCCAATAACATGTTCATATGTTGTATTTCGACCTCTAGATTCTAATAAAACTGTTACTTTCTCATTTGGTTGGATGGTTATTGCTCTGGGTTCCATTTTATCGGGTTTGAAAACCCTCTTTCCACCACTTAACACCCTTCTAGACCAAAAACTTGTTAACAAAGTATCTTGTATCAACAAAATTGAAACTGTAATGGAAATTCCATATGCTTAGCTCCTTAAAACTCTTTAAATTCCTTCAAAATCTCTTTTAGTTCCAAAAATATCAACAAAAGTAACCAAATTTTTCACTTTCAGCACATCCAACTTCTTGTCATAACTTTCCAAAAAGTAGCACTGTGTTCCCAATCTCAACTCCATAAGTTGTATTTCCACCTCTGTTTTCCATAATAATACCACCTTGCACACGGGAAGCCCTCGAACGAGCTCTAGTCTTCATTTTATCGGGTTTGCAAATCACCATTTTTCAGTTTTTCACGTTAACTTCACCGATGAAAACACCACCAAAACGAATTTTGAAATTTGGTCCAATGCATTGAAAAATACACCGAAATCTGATACTGAAACCCTTTTCTTTATCTCAAAAAGCTCTTTGGTTCCTTTATATGGTAATGATGAGATTGTAGTTCTATCCCTATATCTAGGGAGATGCGTCGTATGAAAAAAAATAATTCAACCTCGGAACTTACAACGTATGTCACGTGAGCAGCCTCGGTTTCAAAATGTATGTGGTGCAAACCAGATATGTTGTCCTTACCATGTGTTTTTTTATATAGGCGGCTCGCTTTATATTCCAGCCACGGTTAAACTAAATCTCCCAAATCCATAAATGTTGTAATTCTTATAAAACTCCTGGATTTCCTTCATGGATGAAAGTTGATTCTTACTTCTGATTCTTGTCTTTAAACTAGTTGAAAGCTGTCAGACATTCTTCTGGAAGCCTCTTTTCGGATATAGCGATCAACGGAAAGCGCAATTTCAGAATCGAAAAATATCACTGTGAACAATCAGTACGTTTCGACGCCATCATCAACAACTATTTACTAGACCCTTATCCAATTATCTTACAAAGGTACCTGATTATCCATATCCACATTATGTCCAAATCAAATGATATAACCACATCAATTCAAGAAATTTCCGAATCAACAAAACCAGGTTCCTTAGACAATTCTGATTCAGTTGATTCAAATGTCCGTTACGCAGCTTATGCCAATAGATTAAGAACAATTTTATTGGCAAGTCATAGATATGTTGCATATACTTCAGATATTGGTGAATCTTTTAGACCTGCGGTTCATCCATTCTTTGTTCGTGCCTGTTATGGTATTTCATGGACCTATGTTTTAGGTGATGTTTCATATGAAGCTTGGAAAGCAAAATTAAGAAAAGAAGGTAGATATACACCAGGTCTAAAACCTTGGAATTCTAATATTTCTGCGAAAGGTGATCCTACTGCTGCCACATTAGCTGAGTTGAATGCATTGCCAGATTGGAGATTGGTTGCTTTAGAAAGAGGATTGTTTCAAAGTGTTGCTTCCATGGGGTTACCAGCTTTTACAATTCATACTACTGTTAAATATGCTACCAAATATGCTGAGAAAAACATTAAGAATGCAGTATTGAGAACTTGGGGTCCAATTGGCCTTGGTTTATCTATTGTTCCTGCATTACCTTATCTATTTGATAAGCCTGTTGAGCATGGTTTAGGTTATGTGTTCCAGAATTTGGAACAATATTTACACAATAAAGAAAAGAAATTAGAGTAGATCAATCATTCAACCATTATAAATAGTCATTATACAAGTTACTTCATCATTAAAATATATGTTTATCGTTAGTACCGTTACTTATTACGCCCACTGTCTCACCAATGCAAATGAAAAATTCACAATAAACCCAGCGACAATGGCCATTCTTTGTCTTTTGCTGAATAATTGTTCTTCTTTCAATAAGAACAAGCTTAAAACCCCTAATAAACAACCAATCAAGATCCCAATTAGTAAGTCCTCATTACCACCAAGATGACTACTTCCAGCATTTAATCCATTAAATTCATCCGCTTCGTTAACAGAACTATCAATCCATCTTTCCTCCAGTTGTCTAATATCTCTATTCCCATTACCATCCTCATTAGTTGGTAGATCACCATATAGTTGTCTAAATTGTTCTCTTAGTGCGCTGATATCTTCTTGAGAAAATCCAGCAGATGCTAATCTATCGAATCCAACTGGCGCAGGTGTGGTTGATTGTTCTTGAACTTTGTTATCCATTTCATTCTCTTTTTTCAATTCTTCAGCATTCAAAACATCACCAATCAGACAATGAATATAAAATCTTTTATCAAATTCTGCATTATCTTTATTGAATTTTTGCATCTTTAGAAACTCTTCTTTAAAATTTGTAGTTGGTGTTAGGACTTTACCCGAATGGATGAAACGTAATCTTTTCTGAGACAGATCTTTTATTGAACTTCTAACGGATTGTCTCAACCAACCTATTGATAAATCATCAAGTTTGACTAAAGGGAGTTGGAGATCCTGTATTGAACTATTGGAGAACCGTATCACCACCTGTATTCTTTCAGCAGCATCATTCTTGTTATATAGTGGTAATTCACTCATTCTGGGCACTTCCTATTCTCTTATTGATTCTGACAATAATGATGAATACAAAGAAGTCTAAATGCTGTTACATTGATGTTCTTTATTTTGTGCCCTCATAAGATTTCGCGAAATAGGGTAACAGCTCTATTTTTTCGCGAAATGATTTCCAACAGTATAAAAAAATTTGTTTGATGTTGAAAATTTTAACTTCTTTTCCATTTTATTTTCCTTTCTTTAGTGCGGACAACCAGGACTATATCCGTGTTGCTTGTCTTATACTTTTTATCTTACTGTTTGATAAGCGTCAAGTCCTTGGTGAGATCAAGACATGGGGAATCTACGCCGATTCCTTGATTGATCATCTTAATGCTCTTTTGTTATTCTAGTGTCGCGACTACTCTTGCAGGTGGACCGTGTTGAGAATAGCAAGGGCTGGTAGATCATACAATTCATAATACTACTCTTTTATAGCTTTATTTCTCTCTCTATTTACATACAATTATTGTGTTTACAATCTATCTAATAAAAATATAGCAGAATATATACTAAATTATTTGAACAATTTCCAATCAATCATTTGTAGTGAATAGTTCTAAAGAAATCCATAGTTGCAGTAAAGACAACCAATAAGATACCACCACCTGGACCTAATCTAAGAACTTTTGGTAAGAAACCTTTATATAAAGCAGCAAAACCTTCTTCTTTGTAAATTGTTAACAAACTTGGTAAAGTCCAATTATATTTTCTAACAACACCTGATGGATCCAGTTACTATTTAAAGGACCTCTACACCGTCATTCCACGATAAGTCCAAATCTCAAATCTCAACTGCTGATTTCGCTCTTTGGAGTCTTAATTTTTTTTTTTTTTCAAAACGGGCTAAATTTTTCATCGAATTTTCTGATTCGAGTCACAAAATTTCCTGGACAGGCTCCATAAATTTATCATCACATTTATTCACATTTCCACAATATTTAAATTGGACGTAGATTCTCCTTTATTCTGAGATAACTAACTAGAGCAGGCCTCAAACACTTTAAAAACAAGATAACCATGTCCTCAGATACTAGACGTGAGTAGTTGCCCAGATTAATTTGTTCCAGATCTTTCATATTCTGCCTGTTTGTTCTTATCAGCTTTTTTCATGTGCTATAGTCGACGTAAGAGTTGACTCGTATCAAAAACAATAGACAATTGGTGAACAGAGAGGAAATAGACCAAGGGTCATCTTCATCATCAGCAAGATCACTAACAATGAACCAGCTTTACCTTTTATGTACCAATTCTTAGCTGGTGCCGTTGCCGGTGTCAGTGAAATCCTTGTGATGTACCCATTAGATGTTGTTAAAACAAGAATTCAATTACAAGTGGGAAATGGTGCCCAAGCTGAATATTCAGGTGTTGTTGACTGTTTTGCCAAAATCATCAAAAATGAAGGTCCTTCAAGATTATATAAAGGTATAACTGCTCCAATTTTAATGGAGGCTCCTAAAAGAGCTACAAAATTCGCTGCAAATGATGAATTTTCCAAAATTTACAAAAAAGCATTTGGTGTTCAACAATTGAACCAACCTTTATCAATCTTATCAGGTGCTTCTGCAGGTGCTGTGGAATCTTTTGTTGTTGTTCCATTTGAATTGATCAAGATTAGAGTTCAAGATAGATCTTCAAAATATAAAAGTGTTGCAGATGCTTTCTTTTCAACAGTTAAGAATGAAGGTGTTTTAGCTTTATATAATGGGTTAGAAGCTACTATGTGGAGACATGTTGTTTGGAATGCTGGTTATTTTGGTATTATCTTTCAAATTAGATCCTTATTACCAAAAGCTGAAACTTCAACTCAAAAGACAATGAACGATTTAACTGCTGGTGCTCTTGGTGGTACTTTTGGTACTATCTTTAACACTCCATTTGATGTTGTTAAATCAAGAATTCAAAATACTGTTAGTCAACGAATTCTTAGTGGTCAATTGATTGATCTGGAGCTCAGGTTGTGATATCAACGGTTCAATGTTCATCAGAGGCTGGTTACGAGCACACCGACACTCCCCGAGTGCACCACTTGAACAATAAAGTCTTTTATACCCAGCTCTCATTCCATGCCCTAAAATACTGACGAAGGTTCAATCATAAGCGAGATGCTAGTTAAACGGTTTTTATCTACTACAAGGGTGCTTAGCAAAAAGGTACTGACCTTTCCTGGTATGTGTCAAAAAAGCAGACTTCAATTGACATCAAATCTAACGGTTCCATAGGGCAAGGTCAAATTGTTGATAAAACACTATTACAAGAACTCCATGACGAATACAACTTGAAATCATATAAACAATCATTACAATCCCAAATTTCACCAGAATTCGCATCCAATGTTTTCAATCCTGCAGCTGATTTCTATGAGAAGACTTCAAATACTCAACCTTCAATAATTTCAATCTCTTTACTGATCCTTGATATTCTGAAAAGACATCATGATATCGATCTAATAAGTAAAGGTGGCATAGATTACGTTATGGGACATTCACTAGGTGAATTCGCTGCATTGGTGGTTAATGATGTGTTTAAACATCATCCTGACGAAATTTTATGGTTAGTTCGTCAAAGAGGTTTATTAATGGAACAAGCATTAAGTCATTCACCGGATAAATTTAAAATGAGTGCATTGGTATTTCCAGCTATGAACTTTGATGATGTGGAGGTTTTATTGAAAGATTCTCTAAAAGAGGTTGGAACTGTTGGTGTTGCCAATATTAACAATCCTCAACAAATTGTTATATCTGGGGAGGAAAAAGAAGTTGATCAAGTGGTTCAATTGATCAAAGATAAGTCTAATATCAAGAGAAGATTAAGAGTTTTCCCATTACAAGTTACAACTCCTTTCCATAATCCTCTGTTGGAAAGTTCCAAAATCAAATTCAATCACATCATTGAAGAGAAATTCAATATTGAGAGAGATCAACGTTTGAAGATCCCAATCTTGTCAAATCTAACAGGGAAACCTGTCTATACACATGGTGAAGCACTTGATAATTTCATTGAAGATTTCATAAATCCTGTCCAGTTCAAAAAATCAATCGAGTATGTTATTGATGAATCGAACGATGATTTGCATTTTATAAATATAGGGCCAAATGCATCAATTAATCAAAACTCTGTAACAAAAACAGATGTTTCCAAAAAAGTTTCATCAAATACACCTGTTGGAACAGTTGAAGAAATTAAAGCATTTGTTGAAGCTTATGAGAAATGAAATAACGAAATGTTAATATATGAATATTTATTTAAATAATTTTATGGACTTATTGGAATAAAATTACCAACAATACAACTAGGAATATTATATCTATCCCTTCTGATAGTAAAACTAAAACAACAAGTCTTTCTCCGTCTCCCATCTCTTGTTCTTAAATTACAACTAGTTAAAACAGCTTTTTGACCTTTATCAAATGCAATTGCACCATATTTTTCCCAAAAATTAACAGCACTCTCTTCACTCATCAATTCATAGATCGCCAATTTCCCATCACGCAAATCATCAGCATTCACTTCAACTAAACTCGCGAATTCTTTATTACCTCTATAAATCTCACCTGTTCTTCTCCATAGACATGCAGGAATAGCCATACTTGTGAAAACACGATCATAATCCAACAACATTCTTTCAAAATTTTCCTCCACAAGAATCAAATCAACATCTTTCAAAGTTCTTGCAATGGCTCTGAAAGCTGGACGAAATATACTCAATGGTTTCAAAATCCTTTGCTTTGAAGATTGATTCATATAATTATCCATATAACTTTGTAACCTTGCATAACCTTTGGCATAGTTGTAAGGCTGTAATAAACCAGCTTCCAATTTCGCATTAATGACTTGTTTCAATCTTTCCTCCGGTGATATCTCAGTTGATGGATCAGCAGCTGTTAAAAAGAATTTATCTCTTGCAGAATCCGAAACTTGTTGATGATTTGAAGCAACTGATGAATGCTGTTGGTATGCAATCAATGGGATTTGTCCATTATTATTCCCCGTTGGTGTAGTACCGGTAATTGGTGAGTTCAGCATTGATAAGTTAGTTAATGATAAATTTGTCAACGAATGTGATGTTGTGATTTGATTGTTTAATGAGGGGGTGTTGAATAAAGACGTATTACCAGCACCAGTATTACCGCCACTATTGCTGTTTAGATTGAAATTATCAGCACCAATCAAATCAGGATCATCCAACATTGATAAAAATTCATTTAATGAACTGAACTCGGAACCTGCATGTTCAGAAAAGAAGAACGGTTGTTGATTATATGGATTTTGATTCAAGGGGTCAATTGGTCTTTCTGGTTTCTTTTGGGATTCTCCAGATACGTAGAGTTGCTGCTGGAGGTGTTGTGGAACTGACTGAATTTCAACTTGTGGTTGAATCTGAGAAGGTTGTTGTTGTTGTTCAAGATGATGGTGATGGTGTAGATCAGAAGAACTACTAGCTTGAGCACTAGCTTGAATAGTTGGAGCTGTTTGAATTGGTGGCGTTTGTGAACTATCAGTCTTTGGTTCCAAGCTTCCCTCTTTCGAATTTTGGATCTTCTTTTTCTGCCTTTGACTTATAGGTTCATCATGACATAAATGGCCAATATTTCTCTTTATACATCTGGAGCAAGGACGGTCTGTTTTAGTTAGTGGATCAATTCTGGAAACTTATTCAGCTTTCAATACTCACTATCATCACAAATCATATGAGAACGACGACAATAAACACACGCTATTGTTAAGAAACGGTTAGTCCTTTATTCTCCGGGTTCAACAATATTCATGATACATACCAATCACAACCTTCTTCCGTCTTTTTTTGGTTTTTGGCTCTTGAGGCTTTACAGAAGCTGAACTTCCAGGCTTCTGTCCAATTTCCATTTGTATATCTTCATCTTTTGACGCCATTTGTGAGTCTAACACGTATTGACCCAAGTATTAAAGGTTTCGAAACTTGTTTACACCAAAAGTTATGGAGCTAAAAAATCTCTTCGTTGAAAATCGGAAAGGATTTTGGAAATTTTGTGGAGTAAGATTTCCGAGGGCTATTTTGTGTGGCTATAGTCATGTGACTTGTCCTCGGAAATATAAGGAAATAGTAGGAATATGAACTAGAATCTTTTGTACTTGGTTGAGTAAATTGAAGTAGATAAAACTAAATATCGGTTTTATTCTAGCTATCCAGTAAGGGACAGAGACTCAAATCATACCTCATACTTACAGGGCAGGGTATAGATAAGCTTTCTCTATTGGTATTCATTGTTGAAATATGCACCCCGGTCGCAATTTGTGTCTTCAGGTGTTGACCTAACATTTAATTGCCAGCTATACCTACCATTAGAACTGCCTTTTCGAAGGAAATTAACATATATGGTTTGTTGGTGGATCCCCCTGCTGGTTACCTGTTTTTGAACAGAATAAAGGCAAAATTACCTAGGCAATATCAATCTTCTCAAAATCATACAAGTTATAACATGGTTATATCATCCCTGAGCCTGATTATTCTGCCATTCACTAGTAATATATTGAACCTTGATCAGCAGCATCATTTTATATAAAGCTTTGCTTCAACAGGATTTTGATCATCAACTTAGCCTCCTGTGAACCCAGGAATATTAGTTTCTCAACATGTAATATATGGTACTAGTTAATAAAGCAACCGACCAGCAGGACGCGAAGCCATTTCAAAATTAGCTGAGTAACCTGAGTACTGTTTCCTATGATATCCTTGACAGGTATAAAAAATATAGTTGAAACTTGATGTACTTTTCCAACAACGTCAGCTTGCCCATACGTTGAGTTTTCATGAAATTATCAACGCATTTCTCAAAGAAACTTTCATTTTGTTCAGGCATACAATGTATAGCCACAACCCATGACAACATCATTCCTCATTGTGGTTTATCAGTATTTTCAATGAGAATTGCGGAACTCCATATACAGCTGGTTTCAATTTTCAATTTTAGCTTTCCAAAAGGCCCCCAAAAATACAGCTCTGAACGTCGGTTAGAGGTATCCACCGAGACCCGAGACGCGTTTGGAAGAAAAAAAAACAATGGCCCTTGCAAAAGGCCCAATTTTGACCAACATTTTACATCGAACTTTAATGATGTACGGTGCTAACGGACGCTTATTGAATTGTGATTTGTTGAAAGGACTTCTTGACCCCGTTGAATTCTGGACCTATTACTCGAACAAAAATCTAAAGCCCTCTAATTCCTAAAGCTGAAAACCAATAGAGTACTATTAAAGCATCCACAAAGGACCAAACCACAAGTCAGAACTCCAACTAATATGATTTGTTTCCTGATCCATATAAAGAGTCATTATTGATTGGTTCTACTCTTTATAAATCGAGTTATAATGTCAAAAGTTTTAGTTACTGGGGCAACAGGTTTTGTAGCCCTACACATTATTGGTCAATTGATTGAAAAATCGTATTCAGTTATTGGAACTGTTAGATCTCAAGCCAAAGCTGAAAAGTTGATTAAGCAATTCAAAGAGAAATATGGTGCTGATGTCAAGTTAGAACTTGTTATTGTTGAGGATATTGCAGGTACTGGTGCATTTGACACTTTATTCAAGTCTCATAAAGATATTGGCTCAGTTTTACACACTGCTTCTCCATTCTCTGATGCTCAAACTGATGATTTCGAGAAAGGTTATAAAAGACCAGCTGTTGAAGGTACTCTCAATGTTTTAGGTTCAATTAAAGAATTTGCTCCTCAAGTTAAGAAGGTTGTCATTACATCTTCAATGGCTGCTATTATTCATTCGGATAAACTTTTTGATTTAACATTTATCCATACAGAGGAGACTTGGAACCCATTGGAATGGAAGGACTCTCAAATCAATTGGCAAATGGCTTACATTGCTTCCAAAAAATTGGCTGAAAAAGCTGCGTGGGATTTTATCAAGGAAAACAAGGTTAATTTCACTTTGACAACTGTTAATCCACCACTCATCTTTGGTCCACAATTCTTCGATATTGAAGATCCAAAAGGAACTTTAAACACTTCTGCCGAAGTTATCCAAGGAATGTTGGCTACTGATCCAAACGATACCCATTTATTTGATAATCTAACCAATGTTTCAACAGACGTTAGAGATATTGCTGCATTCCATATTATTCCATTAGAAAAAAATGGAGTTGAAGGTCATAGGTTACTTCCAATCGCTGGAAGATTCTCAGCACAAAAGATCTTGGACTTGATTAACGAACAATTTCCTGAACTAAGAGGTAAAATTGCTAAAGGTGACACAGCTAATGAAGCATCTCTTCAAGCCGTCGGTTATAATATTGATAAAACTGTTGAATTGGTTGGAGGTTATGACTTCATTCCTCTCAAAAAACAAGTTTATGATTCTGTTAAACAGATCTTAGATGCTTCAAAGAAACAATGATTTCATAAAGTATTCTTTTTCGTTAGTGATTAATATTTGCTTTTAAAACTATGATATTGCTTGTTTATTTAATAAGTATATGTAGTCGATGTTCGTGGGTCTTGATATGGGAAGTTGCAACCCTTCTTTTCAGTGCTTCCTTCGTTGACAGTTCTCAATTCATCTTTCAACCACCTCCAAACCCACGTAATAATCTGACTTCTTTTGGACCCATCCATTCCACAATGATTCCCAGTATCCAGGTCCAATTAGTAACATTATGAGAAATATAGTCCAAGCCGACACTAGAATGTAAACCTTCTGGTATGAGCATCACTGTACGGGCTTGAACACGCTTCGTAAGCCACATAAAGAAACAATACTTCAAGAAATAGTGCTATTATTCCTGCTCCAAACCTATCAGCAGGCGATTTTGAGTCCTGTGAATGTGAATTCATCCTTCAACAAATACCATGAGTCAACGAAACACCTTTGCAGTGTGCACTAGTTGATTATGATTATGTGTTTTACGTAATCTTGGTGTCCTTTTTTTTGGTTTGTAAAAACTTTGAAAAAATCAGTAGACGAGCCATAAAGTAAAGAGTACGGTAAAACAGAACTTACACAATGTTTACCTCAAGAAGTATAATACGGAGCTCTATAGGGCATCTAAGGATAAATCCAGTCAGCACGATTACCAAAAGCTACACTTTACGAGCACTTTCCACATACCGTACCCTTCAAAACCAAACCCCAAAGGAACAACCAAAATATGATACTTCAAGCTTGGAAAAGTTAAGTAGAACAGATATTGCCAAGTTGCGTGAAATGCATCGTTCCAAAGAAAAAGCTTATAAAGATGCAACAGCTATCAACTATTCCTTATCGTTAGGTATTTTGTTTTTAGGTCTTTCATATGCCGCAGTTGTTTTATATCGTACATTATGTGCAAGAACAGGTTTTGGTGGTCGTCCAGTTACTGATAAAAGAAAATTCACAAATGATAAATTAGTGCCAGTTGATATGGATAAAAGAATAAGAGTTAGTTTCACTTCAGAAGTCTCAGATATCTTGCCTTGGAAATTTACTCCTCAACAACGTGAAGTTTACATTCTACCTGGTGAAACTGCATTAGCATTTTATAAGGCCAAGAACACAGGAACACAGGATATAGTTGGTATGGCTACATATAGTATTACTCCTGGTGAAGCATCACCGTACTTCAACAAAATCCAATGTTTCTGTTTTGAAGAACAAAGATTGGCAGCTGGTGAAGAAGTCGATATGCCTGTTTTCTTCTTTATTGATCCAGATTTTGCAAATGATCCACGTATGAGAAATATTGAAGATTTGATTCTACATTATGCTTTCTTCAAGGCTCATTATCAAGAAAATGGTGAGATCGTTCCTGTTGACGCTTCAAAAGATATTGAAATGACTCCTGTTAGCGTTACTAAGCTTGGTACTTGATTGAGCTACAGAATTTACTGTATATATACTTAATAAAGACAAACATGCATATATTGAACTTTTTTGAAAGGTAGAATTGATAAATAGAATAAATTAGGTGGAACATTCCTCCAACGTTATAGTTGGACTTGATGGGGATTCTCCTCTTGGTGACGGGGCTTTCGGATTCATTTCAGTGTTTAAACTTAGATCTGGCTTGAACAAGGTTCTTGGAGGTTGGTTTTCCTCAAGCTTAATTTCATTGTTTTTGATCGGCTCTGGTTCTTGGTAAAGTGATGATTGAGCCTGTTCCAAGTTTGATGGTGCCTCTAATGATCCAAATGATTTATGTCTTCTTAGCAAGGATTCTGATAAATGAACTTTATGATTTGGTAAAGCAGTGTTTAAATGTTGAAATATATCTGTAGCGTACTTTTCTTCTGTAAATATAATAACTAGACGGCTTAGTGTTGGTAGTTCTGACCAGTTTTCGACTAATTGGGATTCCGTTATGTTGTTTTGCTTTTGATAGTCAACAAGGTATTGCTTGATTGTGATGGAGACTTTTAAAAGTTCCGGCTTTGAGAGCTCTGAAATGATTATGGTAGTCTTTTGCATCTTCTTATGGTTCCCTAGCCTTTACTTCTCAATTGAACTTGAAAGTAACAGTCTTTTGTTTTGTTCTTATACCTCAGTTGTAGAAGTTGAAGGAATTTGGACCTCAGCTTTTTCTCATTTCAGCATTGCCAATATTTTTACTTATCGCCACATACGTCAACAAACAACATCAACACACGTATGGTAATAAGCATATCGAATCATTCAACTACATAAGAGAGAAAGAAATTCCAAACGTATTCTTGACTTCTTTTCCTTGAAAGGCAATAGTCCTTTCCCTGAAATCGCAATTTGTTGTTGTCTTTTGTATGGAGGCCATGCTCGACTCAGCCTTTGCACGGCTAAAATGGCAGAAAGCGTAAAACTTATCAACATTTTGGTGTCAAAATCTCAATACTTGAATCTTGGTATTTCATTGAATGAAGGCGCATTTGTAACTGAATGAAACGAAGTTTTGCTATTCCTATGTTGTTACTGGTTCTTCATTGTCGTCTAATCACCGACGGCTTTGTAGCAATGACAGAGTCGTCGAAGCCTATCACAGGTCATAGGTTTTACATGTCTTTCAAATAAAATGTGATCCGTTGTTAGGGGTTTTTGTGTGATCAACTACAGGCTATGAACATTCACTATTTATTGTAAGCTAGCTGTCTAGTCAATATTATTCATTTGAATAAAGATAAGTATCAATCATTAGTCACAAAGCAAAGCATCTCTCAACTGATTCAGGATTATTTCCCCACCAATGAGGCATAGTAACAACCTTACCAGCACTAAAGAAGATGAAAATAGTAGCACAGCTAAGTTGTATCCGGTATCAAAAGCAGCAGCTAAAATATAGTTGTATCTTTTCCAAAATCTGTGTTTGTATCTGAAAAGGTAAAACATCGACACAGTACCAACTATTAATTGAGATAGATAACCAGTTGATAGATTTCCGTAGAAATTTGCTGCTGTTGCAGAGAAAACTGTAACGTTCCATAAATTGAATTTGGCTCTTGGAAATAATCTGTGTAAACCATAAATAACAACAGGAGCTAGTGCACCAAACAAGAAACCAAATGGCATAGGTCTATCAAATGATATAGCAAATAATCTAGCTGGTCCAATTAAAACATATTGGACAGCCATGGTATTATAAGATTGTAAGCTTTGACCAGTCCATTGATGCAAAGGATCAGCTTTAGTACCATCTAAGAATTCTCTCTTTGTATCTAAAATCCATCTCATAGCACCATAATTCACTGGAACACCAATCATTTGACCGAAAACTTGTGAAAAGAAAATAGTTCTTGGTGGAAGGTGCATATAGTGTCCAATCTTTTGATCCTGTAACATATATTGAGCTCTGTACCAAGCATCACCTGCAATAGCACCATAAGAGCTGGCACCTGCTGGATGACGACTACCGTTTGTGGCTTGGATCATAACTCCATATAGTAATTCATTAAAAGCACCAATAGGGAGTCTAAAATTTGATATAGCGTACAAATAACCTAATGGAGTAACAATCACTGCACCAAAAGCTAATGGAATAAACATGTTACCTGTAGCTAAAGTTGTAATCAAAACAACGAATGTAATAAGGAACAAAACAACATACCACCATAATGGAACATATTTGTAAGCTGGTTGTATTTTGTTCAACCTATCCGTATAAGTTTCATTGATTGACACATATTGTTTTTCATCATTCTTTCTTTGTGAATATCTTTCCCTAAATTTTCTCCATGCTTTCATAAAATCTTCACGACCAAATAATGCAAGTCAAGATATAGCGGATACATATGCTGCATAATCAAAGAAGATTGTCCAAGATTTTTGGACTCTCATACAACATAGGAAATTCATATTGATCATTCTGCAACAAAAACCATTTATGATAATAAAGGGATCCAGTCGATTTGGTAGTAGGTACACATGAGCTGTGAAGAGTCAAGACTTCTTTATCTTGGCCATCTGCTTGTGGCAAAGATGCAATACTTTGTCTATATATTCGCAATTTGGGCCTGTGGTTTCCTGGTACTTGTTATCATCTTTGAACCATTAATATTGAAAGTGTTAACTCATACTTTTCAAGGTTAAGTCTGTGTTCAAAGCTAATAATACAGCTCGACTTCGTTATAGCTGGTGGGTACGAACATATTGACTGTGGACAGTGGACAGCTCAAAGTCCAACTGATTGGATCTGAACCCTCCCTGATAGCCAAATACCGATATCAGAGTTCATTACCTGTTATACTTGGAGCTAAAAGACTGTGAAGTGCTACTTTGGAGTTTGTACTATGTAAACTCACGAATCCACAGTTTTCAAAATGTGTCAAATTATCAGATTGGACAAGCCCTGAAGCCCTAATACACATCATGTGACTTTCTATTAACATCCCAACACCTATACAAATTTTTCAGCGATATTGTTGTTAAGCACCACACCATAGTTAACTCCATCTTCAACATCTTCGTGAAAAATTTCCAGTGAGGAAAAAAAATTAGTATAAGCTAGAAATACCTAATTTCTTCAACATCATTTCAATAGGTTTAATACTCGATATCCATCAACAATGCCTTTCCAAAAATCTGAAAAATCATCAGCTTACCACTCACGTTTCCAAACCCCATTCAGACGTCGTGCTGAAGGTAAAACTGATTACTACCAAAGAAAACGTTTAGTTGCTCAACACAAAGCTAAATACAACACTCCAAAATATAGATTAGTTGTTAGATTCTCCAACAAAGATATTGTTGCTCAAATCATCTCATCTCAAATCACTGGTGATGTTGTTTTCACTGCTGCTTACGCTCATGAATTACCAAGATACGGTATTACCCATGGTTTAACTAACTGGGCTGCTGCTTACGCTGTTGGTTTATTAGTCGCCAGAAGAGCTTTACAAAAATTAGGTTTAGATGAAACTTACAAAGGTGTTGAAGAAGTTGAAGGTGAATACGAATTAACCGAAGCTGTTGAAGATGCTCCACGTCCATTCAAAGTTTTCTTAGATGTTGGTTTACAAAGAACCACCACCGGTGCTCGTGTCTTTGGTGCCTTAAAAGGTGCTTCAGATGGTGGTTTATACATTCCTCACTCTGAAAACAGATTCCCAGGTTGGGATATCGAAGGTGAAGAATTAGATGCTGAAACCTTGAGAAAATACATTTTCGGTGGTCACGTTGCTGAATACATGGAAGAATTAGCTGATGATGATGAAGAAAGATTCAGAGGTTTATTCAAAGGTTACTTAGCTGATGACATTGAAGCTGATGGTTTAGAAGATATCTACACTGAAGCTCATGAAGCTATCAGAGCTGACCCATCTTTCAAACCAACTGAAAAGAAATTCACCAAAGAACAATACGCTGCTGAATCTAAAAAATACAGACAAGTTAAATTGACCAGAGAAGAAAGAGCTGCTAAAGTTGCTGCTAAAATTGCTGCTTTCCAAGCTGAACAACAAGAAGCTTAAATTTAATACTGTTTTTTTCGAATAATCTAATTATATAATAAAAAAAAAGTTGAAAAGGTTCTTAAAATTAAACACGATTGTAGAAGATCATTTCGTTTATATTTAGTTTTACCTCATTGATCTATGTGATTGTGAACACTCCGAGAAAGTTGAAAAGCCGTTTAAGATATGCGCCATAATCTTGATAATTGTTGGCCGATCCATAACTTGAAAAAAACCAAAAAACGTACAAGAATCCTTTGCCGAATGTCTTTACTATTTCCTTTTACAAGTTATGTTCAAGTCCCTTGGATTAAGATCATTAACTAGAACATTTGCCACTACAATGCCAATTCCAAAGAAATATCCAGCAAGACAACATGCTCTTAATGTTAAAACTCATTTGAAAACCAAGATTCCAAATCTATCAAATCATGCATTATTTTTAAGTGGATCAATTCAAGAATCTGATAAATATAGTGATTCTGCAAAACCTTTTAAACAAGAACGTTATTTTTATTATTTGTCTGGTTGTAATATTCCAGGCTCTCACGTTTTTTATGATTTGAACAAAGAGGAATTGGTTTTATTCTTGCCAGAAGTTGATCAAGATGATGTTATGTGGTCAGGATTGCCATTATCAATAAAAGAAGCTGAAGAAAAATTCAATGTTGATAAAGTTGTTTATGAAACTGAAATTGATTCATATCTAACAAAATATGATATTAATTTAACTCCAGATATCAATGCAGCCAACAAGCAATATAGAAATTTTTTGGAAAGTGATGATAAGATATTATTCTATGCATTGGATGAATCAAGATTGATTAAAGATGATTATGAAATTGCATTAATGAGAAAAGCTGCCAAAATAACAGATAATTGTCATTTAGCAGTCATGTCTGCATTACCTATTGAAACCAATGAAACTCATATCCATGCAGAATTTGTTTATCATGCAATTCGTCAAGGTTCAAAACATCAAGCTTATGATCCAATTTGTTGTTCTGGTCCAAACTGTGGTACTTTACATTATGTTAAAAATGATGATGAGTTAGGTACAAAGCAAAGTATCTTGATTGATGCAGGTGCAGAATGGGAAAATTATGCAAGTGATGTTACAAGATGTTTCCCAATCACTGGTGAATGGACTAAAGAACACCTTGAGATTTATGAAGCTGTTAGAGAGATGCAATTTAAAACTATGGAATTGATTAAACCAGGTGTGGAGTGGGATGAATTGCATTTGTTAGCTCACAAGATTCTTATTGAAAAATTTTTAGAATTGGGAATTTTCAAAGGTGATAAGCAAGAAATTTGGGAAAGTGGTGTTAGTGCAACTTTCTTCCCTCATGGTTTAGGTCATTTATTAGGTATGGATACTCATGATGTTGGTGGATATCCAAATTATGATGATGCTGATGAAAAATTAAGATATTTAAGATTAAGAAGACCATTACAAAAGGGAATGGTTGTTACTGATGAACCGGGTATTTATTTCTCACCATTCTTAATTGAAGCAGGCTTTAAAGATGCTAATAAGAAGAGATTCGTTGATGAACAAGTTATGAAGAAGTATTTACCAGTTGGAGGTGTTCGTATTGAAGATGATATTTTGGTTACAGAAACTGGGTTTGAAAACTTTACTGGTATCACCAGTGATCCGACTGAAATCTCCAAGATTGTGAAAGATGGTATTGCTAAAGGTCGTTCATACTTCCATAATGTTGTATAAGAGATTTTAAAGTACTACATTTACCTGATTATATCGGACATAGCTTCAAATCTTATTCCCGTGTTAACTCCATACACTCAATTTCGAGCACGTGACTTACCCGGTCCGCGATTTCGGCCCAGAGTCACCGCTTCGCAGTTTTTGCCATTTTTCCTCAGTGCCATATATAATCAAATCTGTTTGCTTTCAAAAAACATAGAAACTTATTTTTACCATTACAACAGAAATAATTAAATCAAAAATGTTTAGATCAATTAACTCATCAATCTTAAAGAACTCTTTCAAACCTATTGCACAACAAACAAGAAAATACCATCCAAAAGTCATTGATCATTATCAAAATCCACGTAATGTTGGTTCATTAGATAAAACTTTAACAACTGTTGGTACAGGATTAGTTGGTGCCCCAGCTTGTGGTGATATTATGAGATTACAAATCGAAGTTGATGATAAAAGTGGAATCATAAAGGATGTTAAATTCAAGACTTTTGGTTGTGGTTCAGCCATTGCAAGTTCTTCATATGTTACAGAATTATTACGTGGTAAAACTTTAGAAGAAGCTGCTAAAATCAGAAATAACGAAATTGCCAAAGAATTAAGTTTACCTCCAGTTAAATTACATTGTTCTATGTTGGCTGAAGATGCTGTTAAAGCTGCTATTAAGGATTATAAAACTAAACAATTCCGTTCATGAGCGGGTTTTGTAAAAGAGGCATTTTCATTATAAATTTCGGAGCATATTATTTTGACAAAGATGTTTAACATCTATTATTTGGGGTATTCTTATTTGAATTTTGGAGTTTGTTTTATAGGTATTGAGTTTTTTTACCAGTTTTTTGATATTCAGAAACCAATGATTTTTGGTCACTTTTTTTTCTTCACACTTTTTGGAAAAGGGTGTTTGAAAGAGCTACAGAAATGTACTTGAAGTACAAGCAATGACTAAGAAAGAGAAGATGAAAAACTAGGCACATCCTAGTATCACGGATAGTGACTACTGTTTTGTATAGTACGAATTGAAATCGTCTATTGTTTGTTTTTGGAAAGAACGTAGTTTTGCTGACTTGTTGCCTTTATCTGATTGAATAGATAATTACTTTTTCTTCTAGATCAAGAAAAATTTCTAATCGAATATCGGCGTTCTTGCTTAGTCATCTGAGCCGCGAATACAATTTGTGAAGATGTTAAGATTTCGAGCTTGAATTGTAGAATATTGTTAAGGAGTATTTTGGCTATAGTATGGATGTTTTGATTGCATTGGTTTAAAAGATCGTATATCATATAGGGAGCTTATTCGGAGCTCCAATCTTGTATTCGTCCGTCAAAAAGATCATTTTCCAAGTCCGAGTAAAGCTTAGAGATCATGTTTTACATGTCTCAGGTAATAGATATCACAAACTGATTACTCTAGGGTCCTTTTGTTGTTTGATGATATTGACAATATATTATTTTAATAGTTTTCATATTCAAAGTCACAGAAAGGTCATGATGGCACCTTTAAGAAGCCAGATCTAAGTTTTCAGTTAAGCCCAAAACATGATGAATGCCTCCAACTGCCTATATTGATTGAGCCAAATACATTACTACACTATGTACATAGTTAACTTATTGTCATGCCATTAACAATTATTCATAATTATCATCTAATCAATTAACAGGGGAGAAATTCTGGTATCTCATTCCAGAAACCTTAGAAGGATCATCAAATGCTGGACCTCCTTCAAAACACATATAACCTGAAGAATCACAACATCCTTCACAGCATAGGGGATACCAAATCCCACAACAAAATATATTAAATAAAAAACCGTGGTTTTGTTTGTCTCGTTGTGTTGGTCGAGGTGGTCGACTTTGTTGTGTAAATTTCTTCCTCTGACTGTTGTCAGATTGTTGACGACGTCGTTGATCAACTTGAGAAGTGCCTGTATTATTATTTGAGGATACAATCATTGGATCAATACGTCTGTATTCTGGGGCCTGTACATCATCATACTCAGGTAGCTGATCGTTTTGATGGGGATGATTAATATCATGATTATTTTAATGATTTGAAATAGTAGTAGTTGATGGTATCTGTTCACTGGCATCTGTTCCAGGGCTCATTATATCGTTTGGAGAGTCATTGAGTATTATTAGTTCCACTGTTTGTATCTATGTACTAGGTGATAGGTGATAGCTCTTTCTCTCGAAACATCTATTTCATTTATAAAGATTTCGTATTTTCCGTAAGGGTCCACAAATTTTCCAGCCGCAGCCAGTCTAAAAAACCAATCGTCACGAGCTCGGAAAATTGCATAGGTTTACAAAACTTGAAAGATCTGAGCAACTAAGTGAGCCTATATCTATTGGTGACTTATTCGAAAATGGGATAGGTCTTTTTGCTTTCAAATGGTAGGAAAAGCTGTTTGAAATTGCTCAAAAAGGATGTTTCAATGTTCAGACAGCTGAACAACTTAACCCAAGACGAGGGTTTCTTTGTATATCTACTGAACACACAACTACATAAAGCTTAAAACTCCAGTATACATAAAGCAAAGAACATAGCGTTGTTATTTCATTCTTGTATTAAAAATACGATATAATATTAATTATGACTACTTCATCAAAGTCGTGTAAACATAACCTGGTCTCGATATCAACTCACTAAAGAGTATTAAAAGAGCCGTTAATACCAGCACACATTAAGTTCCCACTGCAGCACCCTTCAAAGCATAAGGGAGACCATAATCCACAACATAGTACTGTATAAAGGATACCATGATTTTGCTGTTTATCATCAATTTTTTGTTGAGAGTCGTTGTGCTTCTCGCTAGAGCATGATTGATCCGATTGCTCAAACCTTTGACGATTAGGGGCTCCTTTGATATTTTGACTCTTATATTCTGGTTCAGCAATTTGGTCATAATGTGGAGGTTCAGGTTGACTGAGACCTTGGTTCTTTGGTGCACCTGTGTAATTAGCACCAGGTGGTAATTGTTCTTTTCGATCACTTTGAACTGGTTTTGATATACCGTAAGGCATTTTTTTGACTTATTCTGGTGTACATCTGATAGTTTAAATTTTAAAAGACCAGTTTGCTCGTGATTGAACTCTTGATACTTGGGAATGAGCCTCTATTTATAAACATTAGCACAAATAGAGGTGTTAATGACGGGAATAACAGGACTAGTAATTAAGTAGTCACTGGTCAGGCTAAAATGTAGATCCAATTCGCGATTTTTACTTTTATTGTATTATGTAATCATGACGTCAAAGTACTTGAGAAACTGTCTGAGACGTGAGAAGTGGGGAGAGGAAGCTGTTTGGCTGCCTGCCTGGGAGCTAGGCGGGGGCTAGGCTGGCTGGTTGGGCGCTGGGCAGAGCACAGGGAACCAGGCTGGCAGTTGAACAAGGCAGCCTTTGGAAAGAAACAGTTTGTATTTGAAACATGGTGAGGTTTTGTGCCTGTTAAATTCCAGTGTTTTGGTCCAATTATTCGACATTTGTAATAGGCTAATTCTGCCCTTTTGAACATGTTCCTCTTTGAATAAGCTATCTCCGATAATACAGCCTGAACTAGGTGAATTGAAAGCAATAATAGGGTATTTGAAGGCAGAAAAGTCATTGATATTGACAATTCATTGGCCTGGAATTCAACTAAATCATCAAATCCGTCATATCTCTACTCTTTAAGCCAATTATTCCCTAATTAAACTCCACAAATCAACGACATCAGCTTAATAATTACCGAGCATTGGGCGTTACGCGCAACACCGCTAAACCAAAAAATTCTCTATCAGAACAAAATCATCAAACATCAACAATTCAAATCCAAAAAAACTTGAAACCGCTTCAATTCAACTTATCACCATATCCGCCACCATCACCAACACCCTTAGACACTCATAAATCCACATACAGAGCTAGAATCTAGAGCAAAAGATACATCAATCTCCATTACACTCAAAGTTGCTACCCGAACACCGTGGGAAATTTTTTTACTATAAGGTTATATCGCATCTCATCACCAAGAAAATAATCTCCTATTCCATTACTATTGTTGCCATTTCAACAAACAAAAGACAAAATACATCACCATTCAAAACTGTTTTCAACTATTATAAACTGGTACTATTGCTGACCTCCTCAAGTCTACTCGATGACTTCGGTTCATGATTTAAATGGTGGTACTGGTGTTCCGAATAATGACGGTACTACAAACTTAGATGTTGATTGGTTTTATAGGGGCAAGAAGAAGTCTAAAAGATCAAACTCAACCAATAAGGAAAAGTCAAAAGTCCAACCACATCATAACCATCAAATCAACAACAGCGCTGGTCCTTCACTTCCAGCCACTCCTACATTATCAAATGATAACAAATTAACTCCCACTTTAACCCCAGATGACCAAATCAAGCCTTCGAATCCACAACCTGAACAACAGGATAATCATAGATCTATCTTATCACAACAATTGAACAATAGACCTAGATCTGCTTCTGATTCAAGCAAGTTTAAACCACCAACTTTCAAGAAACCAATTGTTAATGTCTCAACTTCTTTGAAAAGATCCAACTCATTGAATGAGTCTCAACATCAATCTGGCCCAAGCTCAGCACCTGTTCAACAACAACCAAAGCAAAGAAAATCAATATTCAGTGCATTTTCAAAACTCAAGGGGAAATCCTCATCTGCATCACATCAACAACAACATGCTCCTCCACAACAACAACCAAAAACTTCAACCTCATCTGAACCTATATCAATTCCTTCGACTCCTAAATCTTCTGCTCCATCAACTCCAAAATCATTACCATCATCAGTGGATTCGATGTCTCCAACTTCAGGATTATTATTGGGTTCATTACATCAATCTCCATCACAATCACATCAACAAGAGAGAGTCATTTTGAACAAAAATCCAAATCGTTCACAATTACCAATTAAAAACTTATCAAATATCAGATTACGTCGTGTTACATTTGCATTAGATAAACTACCTGATGATCCTCCTCAACAAATTCCTTCAAGAAGACCTAAAAAGGGCAATGTCATTGTTGTGGAAGATTTAGTTGCAGGTCCTTCAAAGTTGAGCGTTGGTATTACAAATGAGTCTCAAATTGAGGCTAAACAGTATGATGAGAAAGATTTGAAGGCAGTCATGGAAAACCAAAGAAGAGCATTAGAAGAGGCTGAAAAGCATGCACAAGAGGCTCATTTCGCTGCAAGAAGAATTGCAAATGAAGTCAAGAATTATAAACATTCCAAAAAGAATGAAAAAGTTCAAGAAGATGAATTGGATGTTGTTGCTGATGATGTTGGAAATCTGGAAATTGATAAACCTATTCATTTACATGAACATCATTATGAAGAAGAGGATCATGAAACAGATGAGGATATTCCTTTAGAATTGATTTATACAAGATGTTGTCATTTAAGAGAGATTTTACCAATTCCTGCAACTTTAAAACAGTTGAAGAACAAACATTCACCATTGACAACTTTGAAAATGTTGAATCCAAAGCCAACTTTGATTGATGTTTATTCATTCAGTGATTTCATTGCAATTGTTCCAATCAAGAATTTGGTCTTTGATAACGTTTCCATGAATTCTGAAATGTTGAAAGTTATATTATCATCATTGATAAACTCAACAACTATTGAAAAATTATCATTGAAAAATGTTCCTATTGATGAGATTGGCTGGAAATATCTATGTAAATTTTTGTCAAGAAATAAATCAATTTCAAAATTAGATATATCACAAATGAAGGTGAAAAGTGATTTACCATTGTCACAACATCGTTCAGAAATGGACTGGTCATTGTTCATAAACACTTTGGCACATCGTGGTGGATTAGTGGAGTTAATTTTGAATGGTTGTAAACTTTCCACATTAGATTTTTGCAGACTAATTGATGAAGGACTTTCAATTTCAACTAAAAGATTGGGTTTAGTCTCTATGGATTTGAACTTTGATCAATTGAAAAAGTTGGCGTCTTGGATTACTTCAGAATATTCAACTTGTGAAGGTGTTGATTTAGGATTTAATGATTTATCAATTGACAATAATTTGAAACCACTTATCAAGAAGTTGGCAAACAATAAAAATCCAAGATTGGCTCATATGAGTTTCAATTCAACAGGATTAACAAATGTGGAAGATGCTGCTTTATTGATTCGTTCTTTATCCAAATTAACAAATTTGAACTTTTTGGATTTGAGTAATTTGAAACAAATTTTCCCAGGAATTATGCCTTATCTAAACAAATATTTGCCAAGATTTCCAAATCTACAAAGACTACACCTTGATTCTAATGAATTGAGTACAAAGAGTTTTAGCATTTTGTCAGGTATTATTCCAAAATGTGTACATTTGATACATTTATCAATAATGAATCAAACTGCAATCAGTTATGCTGCAGCTGCTACTTTATACAGTGCTGTTAAATCTTCAAAAACAATGTTGAATTTAGATATTGATTATGATTTGATTGATGAAAAGATCAACTCAAGAATTGCGGTTTGTTTAATGAGAAACATGGAAAGAACAATGGGAGATGATTCACATCATCATTTAGATTCTTATGATGATATTTTATTTGATGGTTCATTAATTGCTGAAAGTGCTGGTAAATTGTTGGAAAAATTCAACACTAATGAAATTGAGAATGATGAATTCAGTAAGAAGTTCCTTAAAAAGAAGTTTTTGAACAAGATTATGGAATCAAGATCAAACATCAATAAAACTATTGATGAGTTGTTGACTAAACAAGAAAACAAATTGCTTTCATTACAAGAAAAGGAAGATTTATTAAGATTTTATTTCTTGGATAATTCCCTATTAAAGATTTTAGAAATTTTCCAAAATTTGAATGATGAACATTCTCAACAATCTGATGTCCAACCTCATCAAATGGTTACCGAATTGAATGAAGGTAAAGAGACTCCAATTGATGTCGCTACTGGTAAACCAATCTTGTTGCGTTCTGTTTCTCAAACTTCAATCCAGGCTAAAAAGCAAGAGGAAGAAGAAGGTGAATTCCATAGATGGGGTTTTTTCGTTCAACAGCAACGTCAATTATATCCAAATGATAAAATCGAGCATCAATTACCTTTCCGTCAAACTTTTGTGCCTTTAACATCCCCTCAACAACAACAACAACAGCTTCAAGAGCCATTGCAGCAAGAACATCATCAACATCCTCAACCTCAACAAGTCCCACCACCAAATCAACAAGACTTAGCAACTTGGGCTAAATTACCATCTGGAGAAGAATTAAGAGATGCTGTTATAAAAGCTAAAGGTATCAATTCGATAAGTGATTTGATTGATAATGTTAATGAGCATAGATTTAATTTGGATAAGATTTATCCAACGATTAAAGAACAATCATCAAGCGCAACTAGTGAAAACATTAGTGATGAAAGTGCTGATGAATATCAAGAAGTTGATGAAGTTTATGATAAGTTGTTGAATAGTTTACAAAAAGTTCGGTCAAATAAGTGACTTTCCTTGTGTTATTTTCGTTATGTACATATATAAATGGGTATGATTAATATTAATGGTGTTTTCTAAGCATGTTTAAATGTAACAATTTTGCAAAAATCTTTTGAGCCTGTTGTTTATAATTTTCCTTTGTTTGTTCACACGAATTACTTCTGCAGAAAACACGATTTGTGCATCTAAATAGTTCATGATCATCCAGTGAATTGATGCTGAGGAAAACATCCAAAGAAACATCTTTAATTGCTTCAATTTGTTCATCACTTGAAATATGATCTGAAATAAACAATTCTTTATGAAACTTCACTATGTTTATAATTTGTTCAAGTTGAAAATCTAATTCAGGTGGAATGAATTTCTCCAGTATAGAAAAAGCCCAAATATAAGTGATTTCATCACATATTGCATCGCCCATGTCCACTAAAAGTTCAACCTTGTTCTCAATTGTTTTAGGTGCTAGCTTCTTTTTGTTTGTGTAATAATCTCGATAATTAGTATAAAGATCCTCCATGTCACATTCATGCTTCCTTTCAGATAATAATGTGAGAGTGCAGCCTGCTTCTTTTTTGGGAATAGTTACCAAAAACAATCTGCTCCTGCAACAGCAACACGAATAATACCTTGTATTACTTATGGTTTGGTTTTTCTCATTTGCTGTTCTTGATTTTTGATCACAAAAAAATGGAAATTTAAGATACAACCCATAATAGGTAAAGCAATTGAGTAGACAATCTTTCAAGTTGGGAAAATGGGTGCCTGATTTAACTAGATCTTTGATGTGAGAAATATCTTTCAGCATTGGCACAACGACCTCTTCGTGACAAATTCCATAACCATGTATTTGAATTTCTTCTTCTTCTTCTTCCTCTTCCTCTTTTTCATCTTCATCTTCTTCATCTTCTTCTACTTCTACTACCTCTTCTTCATCTTCTTCATCCTCTTCTACTTCTACTACCTCTTCTTCATCTTCTTCTACTTCATGTTCTTCTTCCTCTTCTACGTCTACTTCATTTTCTACTTCTTCTACTTCCTGTTCAACCTCATTCTCTTTTTCTCTTTCATGGCGCACCACATCTTCTTCATCTTCACTTTCCTTTCCCACAGTGCTGTGAATGGCTTCATCATTGCTGCTTTGATGATGTTCTTCCCTCATTTTCCTTCTTTTATGAATATTGAGATATTCATCGTCATCCCGACTTTCATCATCACTGGAGAAAGCAGCCACAAAACATAACTCATCCAATCGACATTGTTGTTTCCAACGTTCGGCCCTAAGTTCTCTGATCCATTGATCTCTAAATTGTAGCGTATACTCAAAACTGCGCACAATTAATCCGAAATTGGCTTCTCTTTGTTGCTGATATATCACTGCATTCTGAAGATTTTGGTTTAATGAGGCTATTTCGTCCTTCATTCGAGCATTGCTTCTAGAAAATTCAACCAACATAGTAGATAGCTCTTCTTTCGAATAACCTGCTAATTCTGATAAGTGAACAGGATAGTTGCCCAAAGCCATTTTGAATTGAGGTTTCTGATTGCCTCGAGAGCCCAGTGTAATGCGAGCTGGGTAGACCTCAGCTGAGCTTCGATATCAAGAGACCGTTGAAATGTAAACAAAAGTTCACGCGTTACACCAAAAAATCACGAAAACCTCGAACGTGAAGTATTCGCGAATTCGAGACACATCCTTTTCATACATGACCTTTTGGTATTTAGTGTACGTGCAACTATCTGATTGATTCATGTGTATACGTTTGTAGGCTGATCTGTGATCTATGATTTGTGAATGCAAGTTCAGGGTAGAGACCTTATTAGAAATGAAAGCGTATGAATTCAAAAACCTTTGGGTCCACGAAAACAAGAATACGATAAAATGAAAGTGAAAAAGTCGTTGTTTATTGTGAATTGGATTGATGTAGTATCTTTTGGAAAGTTTTCTGTGCTTCTTGTCTGTATTTTTCTCTTGTTCCTCCATATGAATATCCTCTACCCAAAAGTGGATCCGTGGAACCATAAAGCATATAATCATCCAAAAAGTTAATGTCAAGGAATACATTAAGTGATTCTTCTTCAAAGATCTTGATTTGTTTATCATGTGGGGTATCCTCAGTGATGAAACAGTCTTTATGTTGCATTACAATGTTTAAAATTTGTTCAATTTGGAATTCAACATTAGCATCCAGACCGGCACTTGAAATTAATGAAAATGCCCAAATATGATGTCTTTTATTAGCAACACCGTCACTAATCTGTTTCAATTTCTTGACCTCTATATCGATTGCTTCATCTGTTAATTTTTTATCGTGTCTTAAGTATCTCTCAAAATTTTCAAACATCTTTGTTAAATCACATTCATGTTCTGGCTCTGACCATAATGATAATTTGCATGGCTCTTCGGATTGGACTGATCTCACAGTGAACAAGGTTTCTCTGCAAAAGCAACACGCGTAATATTTGGTGTTCGTAGCAATTTGAGTTTCCTCATTTATGCTAGTAGTATTCCCAACATTGAAAAAAGGAATCTTGAGAAATAGACCATAGTAAGAGAAGCAGTCTGAGAGGCAATCTTTAAGGCTATAGAACTTTGCATCTTGTTTGATGAATCCCTTAATTCTAGATATATTCTGCAACAGTGGTGCAACGGACTTTTGATAATGTATTCCTGGATATAGGGGTTCAACATCCTTCTCACTTTCTTCCAGTTCCGTTTCATTGGCATCAGTTTCTTGTTCTGTCCCATTGTGAATAAGGGAACTTTTTTCGTCTTCAACTGCTAACCTTCTTTTCTTTCCTGTATTCTGTTGTTTTTCAGCATGCTGTAATTTGGCATCTTTGGGCTTGAAAATTTTGGATATGGTATCAAGAAAATCAGTTTCATCATCTATAGCTTCCTCATAATCTTCAATGATATCCTTTTTACTGAGAAGCTCGTTTTTTAATTTTGTTATATCTAGATCTTTTGAAAGTAACCGTTTTCTATAATGTGCTCTTTTTTTGTGATATTTTGTTAACTGCCTTTGATGTTCGATTTGAAGCTGAAGATTCTCTAATGCAAGTTGTTGATTCTGTACCTTGATATTTGTATTTTCAGCTTGCAGTTGGTTGATGACTCTTGAATTCTCTGTTAATTGAATAATCAAATTCACCACATTTGGTGGTAAAGGGCCCTGAAACCCATACATTGCAGCAATCTGGGATATTTGGTTTTGCTGTATGGGATCCATACCATGACCGTTATTCTGCATGATTCTAATATAGTCAAGCTGAATTCTTCTTGAGTAGATGAAGATGTTTGTTTATTTTGTTGACAAGTTTTGAAGAAGCATTTTCGTCAAACTGATAATCGCGAAAAAAAAACGGACCAGAGCGCCGCGAATATGTTTCACCATGTAATTTTATTCCTGGATTATTGAATTAGGCGTTAACGTCCTCATAATCCAAAGAAAAAGCTTCAGGCTTAATTATTTTTAGTAGAGTCTTTAGCAACATTCAAAAAAATTGGAAAACTAGAGCTGTTTTATCACAAATATGTTATTTTTTATAATAATTTTAAATTTAAATAAAAAGTAGATAGACCTACTATTCTTTAATCTAACTTCAAATTCTTTTGAAAAATCTAGTTTTAAAAAAAATCACTCAAAATTCAATAAATATGCCATTAGAATATATTTATACTAACTCTTATCTAAAACCGAAGGTAAACTCAAGATAGTATTGCCTCTTCTAATATTTTTTTGTTGGTTTAAATTTGGCTGCCGGATTTAGTGGCCATATCGGAACTAGTATTGAGTATAAACTAAAAAAAGGTAGTAGATTGGATGGTTTGAACTTAATAGTGTTTGAGATTAAGTGATTATAAGCTTTCTACTTATCTTCAATTGCCTCTGATATATGGATAGCTTAAAAATGTATGTTTTGAATAATATAAGGTGCTGGTCCTGGTAAATTTTCGATAATAAAGCTTCGCTAGTACTTCAAACATTAATTACCTCTAGTTTCTTTTAGCGATATGGTTATACACCTAGAACCTTTCAATGAACAATCAGCTACGTCGAAGTTAAATAAATCATTAACATTCATTAAAAAATTAATAGAACAAATAAACTTTTTCTATTTTGTATGACTCTTCAAAATTAGTCAAAAACAAAAAACTTTCTTTCAAGTATAAAACAGATGCAATAACCTTTCCAAAACGATCTTTAAAATGCAAATTATAGAATAAAAAAATAAATAAAATCAACCAACAAACCAAATCAAATATATTCATGAGCTTCAAAGTGTCTCAACACCAGAATTTATAAAATCTAAACCATAATGGTTTAGTTTGTAATTCAGCTTTTTCTTCAGCCAATTCTTGTTGTAATAGATCCATATCAAGATCTTTTCTACCACCATCAAGATCAATATCAGCTAATGGAGTGAATTCATTGAATTTTCTAACCCATAACTTTCTAGCAATGTAAAAACTGATAAAGATTGGAGCACCAATATAATTTTCAAAAAACACTCTAGCATTTGGTTTACCATGAAGTGGCCAAACAGATGTCCAGAATTGGGCAATCAACACCAAAGACATCATAACAACAGCATAAACAGATCCCCAAAACCCAGCATGGGAAGTGAAGGCTAAACTTTTCAATGAACGACCTTGAGCCTTCATAGCTAATCTGAAACGGATATGACAAATTGAGATTGTTAACCATGTGAACAAGATACAAAGACCACTGATGGCTAATAACCATGTAAACACTTCGGATTGGATTTTTCTGTTGGCAACGATAAAACATAATAACCCAGTGATACCGTTCAAGATGATACCAAAGATTGGACGACCCATACGATCGATATAACCGAAAATGGATGGGGCTAAACCTTGGGCAGCCAATGAGGTTAAAGTTCTTGAACAACCATAAACAGCTGAATTACCCACAGATAAGACTGAGATTAAAATAACAACATTCATGACTGATGGTAAACCTTTCACACCACCATTTTTAATGGCAATAACGAAAGGAGAAGCTGAAGCATCGACAGAGGATGAACCTAATAATCTTGGATCTGTAGCTTGGACTAATAAAGAAACTAAAGTTAACCCACCTAAATAGAATAACATTAATCTCCAGAAAACTTGTTTAATGGCACTTGGTAAAGTTTTTCTTGGGTTTTCAGATTCAGCAGCAGTGACACCGATTAATTCAGAACCACCAAGGGCATATGAAGCAACAACCAAAACGGTACAGAACCCTTTGAACCCATTAGTGAATGGACCTGGATCTCTATAGTATTCACCACCAACAAATCCACCAGATGGACCACCACCACAGACTAAAACGATACCAAGGATTAAAAACCCACAGATTGCGACAACTTTAATCAAAGAGAATAAGAATTCAGCTTCACCATAACCTTTAACACCGAATAAATTGATACCCATGATTAAAACGTAAAAAATAATAACCCAAGCAACTGAATTTATAGTGTCATCCCAGAAATTTATAGTCAATGCAGCAGCGATAATTTCTAAAGGTAAAACAACTAACCAGAGGAAAACATAATTCCAACCAATTGCAAAACCCCAAGAAGGATCAATGAATTTTGTAGCATAAGCAGAGAAGGCACCTGGGACTGGATAGGCAACAGCCAATTCACCAAGAGCATGGATAACAGCGAAAAGAAAAGTACCAACGACAACCCAAGCGATTGGCAATGAAGCAGCACCACCTGTTCTTAAAGCGGAACCAGAACCTATAAAATGTTAGGTACATAATTATCACTTTGCAAAAAAAACTTTTACTTACCAACAAATAAACCGGTACCTATACTTCCCCCAATGGCAATCATTTGTAAATGTCTTTTCTTTAATGATTTTTGTAAAGGTGTGTTTGCAAGTCTAACTTCAGTTTTTTCAGCTTCAGTCATTCCTGGTTTTAATAAAGATTCATCAAATTCCATTTGTCTAAAAGAATCAACAAATCTTCCCATGAAATTTTTTTGTTCAACAGCTGTGGTTGATGTAGCATAAGGAGAACTCACTTCGTTGGTTGAATCATCCTCGAAAGGTTGTTCTTTAACAGACGAAGGCATTGTGTGTAGTGTAATTGATAAGTAGTAAGTATTCACAAGATGTAACGAGAGTTAAAAGAAAAAGAGATGGAATGAAATTTATATAGGATCTTGCCCCTCGACGAAAAAAAATATGAGTAACGGGACCCCATGTCACCGTTAAAGGTATTGGTCAAGGTTCTTAAAAATAGACAGATTCCACAAAGAAAATTTATTGATGTTGAAGTATTGGAGGATTTCACTATTGAAGCAAAGACTAAGCACAAAAGTTTAGGGAAATGGTTCATTTCAAATTTCAATCCAGAGGCACCTTCATTAGTTCGAATCAATGCAGAGTTATCAGCTGATGGTATGATAAAGATAAATTCAGTCTATCAAGGTGAGGTAAATACCCAATCAAGGTTTTCCAAAATGTTTACCAAGAAAAATGAATTTGAACCATTAAATGAGTTAAAAGTTAAAAAATTGCCATTGTTTGTAAAGAAACAACTGCATCATTTTAAATCAGTGGAAATTTCACTTGAAAAGAATGATAATGAAGATAAAGTTAACAAGGAAACTAAAAATCAATTAGAGTCAAAGATATACCAAACTAGAGATAGATTAAATGAAGAACAATTGGCCAAGATTGGGAAATTTTTAGATGAGATTGAGGATTGGCTTTTGTATGGAGATGGAGAAGATGCACCAACTGCTGAATATCGGACCCAAATACAAGCGATGGATGAGGCTTTAACGAGATTATAGAGTAAGACTGAGTCATACAAAGGATACAAAGGATACAAATGATCATTCAATTCATGTAGAGGCTCCCCAGATAAACGTCTTTTGATGTTCTCATTATTACTCGATGCCTTTCTTTTCTTTTTGCCCTCTGCCTAGCTCTAGGCGGAGCGTGGTGCTGGTCTCCGTCGAGCCTCTGCCCGTTGTCGGCTTCCCGCACAGGGCGCTCTCTGCCTAATCTTTTTCTGTGCCGTTGCCAGTGTGGGCCCTACCGCCCTTCCTTCGAGAGCCGAAATCTCTACAAACTCGAAGCTCAACGGTCAACGCTTTTAATAACAACGACAGTGACATTGACACAACGGATCAAAACAGCCTTAAAAGAGGACCCTGGACTTTAATAAACACATTAGAGATCCATTCCCATCAACAACACAATTTCCACCAACCTACAACGCCTTTAATCTTTGGTACGGGTCCCTCAGATTGGAGAGCGCTGGTGGTGCCATACACGGCTTTTTTTTCTTTTTTTTGCTTCGCATTGTGTGGTGAGTGAAAAAAAGTAACGAAGAAAACTTTAACTATGTGACACTTTTTCCTTCGATGGGCTCGTGATAAAAGAATGAAACAAGTCATAATGGGTTGGATTATCTCCAATTGATATTGTAATCGTATGGTGATTGAAATCTTTCAATTCAAAATGTGATTTATCCAATTTCTTGGTGAAAACACTTGACAAATAAGCACATCCAAGACTAATAGCTTCATCTTGATTTAATGTAGTTGAAAGCTCCTTTTTGAAACCTTGTGAAATAAGGTTCTTGATTGATGGGATTCTTGAAGATCCTCCAATCAATTGAACAGATTCAAATTTCAACGGTCCTTCTTTAGAATGCAGGAATTTCTTTATATTTGATCCAACCTTCACTAATGACTCATTGATCCATTCTTCAAATTCCTCTCTTTTAATACTTGTTATGATATCTTTATCTTCTTTTATACTTTCAATATTCACACTAACAATATTGTTTGCTGAAAGAACTTTCTTGAATTTTTCGCACTCTTTCAGAACTCTTTGATATGGCTTAGAATGTACATCAAATTTCAATCCAACTTTTTGTAACAGTTGATCACAAATCACTTTATCAATTACTCTTCCACCAATCGAGTCATCTATGAAACTTTTTTCAACTTCAACTTTCCTTTCACCAATCTTCAATAAACTAATAGTCATTTGTGAATAACCAACATCAACAATAACATGTTTTTTGGCAACATCACCTTCATGATTTCTAACAGCATAAGTTAAACCTGAAGCTAAAACCTCACTACACAGATCAACATCCCCCAAGCCAACTAAAGAAGCTGCAATCAGCACCAATTCTCGTTCATGTGGAGTATAACTCCCAGGGACACTAATGACACATTTCCCAATATTCACACCATTATTAATAATTTGTTGCTTCAAATAACCTAAAAACATGGCATAAACTTGAACAGCTTCATAAGAACGGTCATTAACCTTGACAATTCCTAACTGGTGATGCTTTGGGTGTGCAAGTTTACAAGAAATGAATTCTTGTTCTTTTGCTAAATTACTGTTATTCAAAAATTGTTTGAAACATGTAATTGTATTTTCAAAATTTTGAACAGATTGATTTTTGGAATCCTCACCAAAAAATCTTATATCCTTAGTGTCGAATGTTATTGAAGTTGGTGTTGATCTATTTGAATAGTTGTTTAATATAACATCAATACCACCATTCTGTACAACCTTGAGGGATATGTCCAGTTAGCAATCCTTCTTGAAAATGGAAACAAAAACTGAAAGAGAATTGACTTACTGAAACAACGGTCTTGTAAGTCCCGATATCTATACCAATTGGTGTCAATGACATCTCTGTTGAACCTTTGAAAAGTGTTAAAAAGTTGTTGAATTGAACAACATTTTGTCTTGTATTTTGGAATCGTCACCGTGTTATGCGTAAATTCGCGAAATGTGGTTGTGCCCGTGGAATTTGGCAGATAACAAACTTTTTTTTGGATGGCGACATTTCATTTTTAAATCTAAACAACACAGCGATTGAATTGTGATTGAGAGTGAGGCTGCAATGGAGCTGTAAGCCGTGAAATTATTCATCCTGATACTTTCATCTTCAATCTATTATGGGAAAGTTCTCGGTTCAATAACTGATCAAAATATCATACAAAAACGGTGGCTTTGAAAAGGTCATGTTTCAAGATAAGGTGTTTTGGATAAAGTTGAAGTAAAGATCATTCTGACCAATAGATTATTTTATATCAATTGTATGAAGTTTGCAAGAAGTGATGCTTTTGTTTTATTATTGATGATTGACTCTTGTGCAGATACGAGGTTTCTCATTGATCTTGGGTTTGGGGTCCACAGTTGAAAAAGTGAGGCGCCTTCACAACACATTTAGGAAATCTCCGTACAAAAAATCAAGATGAAAGAGTATAAAGTTATCCATAAAGAGATAATTAAGCTGATTTATATCAACATTTTATACATGATGTACTGTACTTAAGACTCATCATATTGATTTAACCGTTGGAGATGATTTGATGATGATTAGAATGAATGTCGTTATAAGCCATAGTTTATGAATTTGAATCATTTATATATAACTTGCAGCATCACTAATGATTCCAAACCACCTTCTTGAAAAACTATAGATATCAATAAAGATGTCTAAGGCACAAGAAGAAATCAAGATTTCAAAAGAAGTCACAAGTGATGAAGATGATTCAGCCTCTAGTGAATATGTTGCAACCCCAATAACAACATGGAAGGGAAGAATCTGGGATTCTTGGGATAAACCAAAAGAAGAACGTTGGTTTTTATTCAAATTAGACTTTCTGTTAATGTTTATTGCAGGTTCTGGTGTTTTCTTAAGATATTTAGATCAAGCAAATATCAATAATGCTTTTGTTTCAGGTATGAAGGAAGAATTGGAACTATATGGGAATGAATTAAACTATGCAAACACTTGTTGGTCAATTGGTTATGCAATCTCACAAATTCCATCAAATTTATTGTTAAGTAAATTGAAACATCCACATTACTACATTGCATTCTTGGAAATTTCATGGTCTGTTTTAACTTTTTGTTCAGCTTCATTCAATGGTGCAAAATCAATGTATGCCATTAGGTTTTTCATTGGTGTTTTCGAAGCTGGTCATTTTCCTGCTGTGATGTATATTGCTAGTTCATGGTATACCAAATCTGAATTGTCTAAACGAATGTCTATTATTCAATTCAACACATCCACTGGACCTTTAATTAGTGCTTTTTTGCAAACAGCGGCATATAATGGTTTGAATGGTACTCATGGTCGTTCTGGATGGAGATGGTTATTTATTGTGGATGGTATTATTTCGTTACCTTTAGCTTTGTTAGTTTTGTTCTTGTTACCTGATATTCCAAGAACTCAAAATGCTGGATGGATCTTTACTGAAAAAGAGTTGGAGTTGGCAAAGAAGAGAGTACCACAAGAAGCTAAAGTTTATGCAACTTTCAAGAAGAGAGATATCAAGAGTTGGTTAGGTACTTGGCAATTATATTTCTTCAGTGTCGCTTTTGTGTTAGAAAGTTTAGCTGGGTTGCCATCAAGTTCATTACCCTTTTGGTTCAAGTCATATAATACCAAGACTCATACAGAATTCTCTGTTGGTCAAATTAATAACTACTCAGCTCCATTATATGGTATCAGAATTATTGCTACAGTGATATTGGGATATATCAGTGATGGTGTCTTGAAGGGTAGAAGATGGATAGTTATTGCATTTAATGGGGTTATAATGTTTATTATTGCCGTTGCATTAGCTTCTATTCCAGTTCATCCAACTAACAGAGAAGGCCGTTGGGCCTTATACTACCTTGTTGGTTTATATGCGAATGGTGCACAAGCCTGGACCTGGGTGAATGAATCTACATTAGGTGAACCTTCCAAAAGAGCTTTTGTTGGTGCAGTTATGAATGCAATGTCTTATGCGTTTACTTCTTTTGTCCCAATTTTTGCATTCCCAACACAGGACCAACCATTTGTTACAAAAGGTAATATCATGTGTGCTGTTATTTCATTGGTATCTGCATTCTTAGCCCTTGGTGGTGGTTATATTGAACATTTGAGACTAAATCATGGGTTTTTCAGAAGTCTCCCTTTGAAAGATGTGATTGAAGAGCCTCATGAGACAAATGAACTCCATGAAAAAGTTGAAGATATTGAAGCAGATTCGATAAATTCTAATAAATAGTGAGTTTATATAATAATATTTTGTGTTTTGACTAGTGTTGTAGAGGTCTCTAAGTATATGCTGGTGTCCGGATGTCGCACGTAGAAAAATTGACAGAGAGGTTCAAGTCAAAACTCTAAACAACAACAAACAACCAACTGGACACACAAAAAACAAGTTTTTATCTTTATAAACAATGAGCAGGCATTCATCAGACGAAGAACCAACAGCCAAGCGCGCAAAACTCCCCACAACAGATGAGATATATCTGGATACAATTGATCGGAAGAGACTAGATTTCGATTTTGAGAAAATCTGCAGTGTAACATTATCAAATATTAATGTTTATGGATGTCTTGTTTGTGGTAAATATTTCCAAGGTCGTTCCCACTCATCAATAGCCTTCAATCATAGTATCAATGAAGATCATCATGTCTTCATAAATTTCAACAATCTCAAGATTTATGTCCTTCCGGAGAATTATGAAGTCAAGAGTACAATGCTGAATGATATAAAGTATCAAGTGTTACCAAGTTATACAGAACAAGATTTGAAAAAATTTCAAGATGAGGGATTTAAGAGTGTTGATTTGAATGGTAATGATTATATCCCTGGTTATATTGGGTTGAATAATATGAAGGCTAATGATTATTCTAATGTTGTCATACAGGCATTATTCCATGTTCCTTTGATTCGTGATAAGCTATTATTGAGTAGTTTAGATAATTTCAAAAATGAAATGAACAAAAGAGTCATCATACTGATTAAGAAACTATGGAGTTCAAGGTTGTTTAGAAACCATATTTCTCCGCATGAATTATTACAATATATTTCCATTTTATCAAATAAGAAGTTCAACATTAATGAACAAAAAGATCCAAAGGATTTCCTAGTGTGGTTTTTGAATTCACTTGGTAAAAGTTTTAAAGAAGATGGTGAAGGTCTTATATCGAAGAGTTTCCAAGGGAAAATACAAATACAGAGTAAGAAAGAAAATGACGACCAAGTGAAAGAAGTTGTTACAAAATTTTGGTTATTGAACATAGATCTACCACCAATACCAGTTATCAAAGACAATCATGAGGCAAAGCATATACCACAAGTGAAATTAACTAAATTGTTAGATGTGTATCAAAAAGGTGAAGAAGTTTTGTTAGCCAATGGTGAAGTTCGAAAATACAAGATTTTAAAACTTCCAAAATATTTAATATTACATTTTGATAGATTTAAAGATAAGGCATTAAACCTTGATCTAAGTGTTAAAGATAGAAATCAAACAATGGTGGAATTCCACTTGGAGATTGAAATTTTAGGTGTCAAGTATAAATTGATTTCAAATATTATTCATGATGTTTCAGAATCTCAGGATGAAGATCAAAGTGATTGGAAAGTTCAATTAAAACATCATTCTGAATGGTTTGAAATTGAGAATTTAATAGTGAAACCAAAAGAAAAGGAGTTTTTGTTTTTGAATGAAACTTATCTACAAATATGGGAAAGAGTTTAAAGAAATTCATTAGTTTGTTAAGCTCATTTGATGGCTATAGAATCAACACTCCCAGTCAAGACACTAACAACATTATCTTCTATCAAACCTTCAGCGGTTTCTAATAAATGTTTCTTTGGATCTTGTTTACCAACATATCTAGTTTTCAATTGATCTTCAGATAAAGTTTTCTCCTCTTCAACTCTTTTGACATATTGTTCAGCGATTTTCACCATTTGTGTTGTTTGTTGTGAATTTTTGTTTTCTTTTTCATTATAATCATTCAATACTAAACCTGATTGCCATTCCTTTTTATGTAAATTTAGCAACATGTTTGTTTCTAATGGAGTTTTCTTATAATCAATATTTAATGAATAATAATGACGATTCAACCCATGGATTAAAGCTTGAATTGAAGGTTTATTTAAATGACCAACATTTGAAGTTGTTTGTCTTGGTTCTAATCCCAACATCACAGTACTTGAATTGATCAGTCTAAAAGCATCAATAACAACTTTACCTTTAACGGATTGTATAGGATCAATAACAACAGCAACAGCTCTTTGATTCAATTGTTCAAAACTTTGTTGAGTATTTATATCAACAGAGGATAACCAACAACCAAAACCTGGATGGGAATGGTACCAACCAACAACCATTTGATCACGACCAGTTTGTCTCAACATATCCATCATTTTAGTTTGGAAAACATCATCAACAGCTTCAACAGAAACACCAGTACCTGATTGAGGCATGGCAAAGACATCAATGACATGGACTGTGTAATCATCAACGAATTCTCCCAACATAAGACCCATGACTTCCATTGGAACACCTGCTCTACCATGTTTCAACATTTTCAATAGGGCTAATGAAGATATATAAACTGTTTCTTTATTATCAACAACAGGACCATCTTGAGGAGGAGCACCTCCAAGGCCACCAGTTTGGCCTAGTAATCTTTGTAATCTTTGCATTATATATGTGTTGTATCAGGTGGCGGAAAGAGTAATTGAATTGATCTATTTGCAATTCATGTTGACGTTTATGGTGGCAAGTATTTGGATTTTTCGAAGTTGATGTTGAAAAACACAATTCGCGAAATCTAGATCTTGATTACATAAGTTTATAGTGTGTGCTGAGTAATCGAAATAATCAAATGGCTGTAGAACATTTTGAAAGTACTTCATCTTTCAAAACAAGAGCAACAAGAACTCTTCCTAGTATTCCATATATGTAAAGCCTAGGTGGAAGATATGGCTATAGCAACTAGCTGTAAAACTCAATGGTGCACAAAGGAATTTTAGGTTGATCGTGATGATAACGGTCGTGTAGAATACGATATCCATGATCTCAGTACCAATTTGAGATAAAGGTTACAGACAAGTGTGAAAAAAACTGGAAATCCAGCTCTCCATGAAGATTTTTTCAAACGTTCGCTATTCAATTTCTCAAATTGGTTATTCAATTGATCTTGATTGAGGATAACAGAGGTGGTTGCAGAGATCGTCTCATCGTGGGTTTTTGGTCTCAGCTAAGGCACTTGCAGGTGTATGTTAATCTACTTGATCTCTTTGTTTAGAGGGAAGATGGTTGCAACATCAGTTCATCTCTGAGGTAGCTGGACCCCCAAGATACAGGTCAAGACTTACGAATTTGACAATAAGTTAGTGTTTGTTAAAATCTTGTGTCCCACAAAGATGTGTGGGTACCTAGCTGAAGTTTGTGCTTGACATCAATATCAGCTCATCACTGGAGCTTATTGCAGTGTCTGAGAAAATAAAAAAAATTGCTAGGAAATAGGTGGGCGCTCTTTACTGAGATGCTTGCTACCTATGGTGGATGATTGTGATGGATTGATTCTTTTGTCAACGTACTCCTAGCACTTGTTTATAATGAATTGAAACCTTGGTTGTAGCCAAAAGTATGAAGAATTATCTAGTTCACCCAATTAAGGTAATGTGCTGTGGAAGGAGCCAAGTACTAATCTGGAGTAGAAAACACACGTCTACAACTCGAAAATAGCCTGTTTTGAAAGATTGGCACATAGATAGTAGATAGTACGGCGTACATGCTCTTAGAACTCATGATGAATCTGCCAGAATCCTCTAGAGGTTAAAACAACGCAAAACCGATCAGTGTTATCAAGTGTAACCGACTCTTGTAAGTTGCACTGATTAGGCGTAACATACACAAACAGCACGATTGAACGAAGCAAGATTTCAGATACCAAACAAAGAGACAACACTGATTGTATAAGCTAGAGAATTCCATCGAACAGTTTGAATATTCGGATTGCTTCTTTATTTCCATCATGTTCGCTGTTGGTTTGTCTAAGCAACTAATATTACATTAGTACCCAGCTCAAGCTCAGTCTCTGCAACATCCTAACGGTTTCCATCTTGTCAAAGTTTCTTCACCTCTGAGCTCTTTCTTCGGGCCGTCTCCATAGACATCGTCAATTTGAACACAAACAATTCAAAGAACCCTGCCCAGCCAACCCGGAAGTAAAGCCATGAGGGACAGCTTACAAAGAGAAGTACTCACTTTCTATAACCACTTACTAACGATTCCCATCACCGTTACCTAACAAATACTCTTTCTACCGTAACCATTAGTAATTGCAAAACGGTTAGAAATCCCAGTAACAACCGGATTTTGATTCCAATTGTGAGAGCCATTTTGTGAGGAAATAAAAAATTTCTGCGCGGGCTTTCGGTTTTGGGTGGGCCACTACTCCATAAACCCAAATAATTAAATTGTAATTCCAAACTCCCGTACGACAAACAACCTACCCGAGAACAATACAGTCTGGATTGAAATCATGTCTATCTTTTTTTTGCAATTATTCACACTTTGCAGAATACTGTTCGATACACAGTGTACACTCCTCGCAGATCAGTACATTTTGGTAACTTAATTCTCAACGACATCACCAAAACACACAACTGCGTTATTATAAATACCAAAGACCATCCTGTTTTTGGCATCAGGGATATTGACACATACCAATCACCATTCAATTCATCACCACCACATACAAAATGCAATCTCCAGATGCCAAACAACAACATAAGAAAAGGGTTAGTAAAGCCTGTGACTGTTGCAGAAAGTCAAAGACCAAATGTGATGGTCAAAGACCTTGCACAAGATGCTTACAAGATAATAAAATTTGCACCTACATGTCTAATAAGAAGAAAGCTGACAAATTATACCCATCTTCATATGTTGATTTGCTAGAGACTAGAGTTTCAATTCTTATCCAATCTTTAAACAAGTTGCTAGAGAAGTCAAGATCAGAAGTTGGTATTGAAGAATTTATGAAAGATCCAGTCATTTATAATGAAAATGGTGAATTTGATATAAATAAAGTTATTTGTCAGTTATTATCTTCTGAAAAATTGCAAAATTTATCACAATCAAACATGAATTATTCAATTGATGAGATTACTAATGTTACAGACAATAGAAATTCATCAACATCATCATCAACCCCACCAACTTCAAACACTACAACTTCGTCACCTTCATCAACCCCATTACACATTTCAATCCCAAGAAAATCTCAGGATTTATCTCATGTTCATAAGCCTCAACATACAAAACATCAATTAAAATCTCCAACCACAACTTTTGATTTCAACAATAACTTGGACTCCCTACTTTATGAACCAATGGATTTAAACAACACTTCAGATGATACCCATTCTACAAACTCTTCATTGATGAGCCCCGTCTATAGCTTGAATGATCAAAATGGGTTATATTTGGATACTTGGTCTCAAAACCAACAACAGCAACAACAGCAACAGACAGATTTCCCACAAAAATCGCTAAATAATAATGATGATTATGGATTAATCAAACAAGAGTATGGTTTCAATTGGGATGGGTTTGATTTCTCCAAAAAACCTTTAGAACAACAAGCTACATTTGGGTTCCCAGAGTTTTAAAATTCATATTGACCTTACTTTCCATTTAATGACCATTATTTTAACGATTATTGATGTGTTCTGACTTGAGATGCTGTGATGTGTTTGATGATACGCATGATTTTGATAAACTCAACTTATATATTCCTACCTCTTTTTTAACTTATGATTCTGCTGCTGCTAGTGCTACATTCCTTTACTTTTTTGCAATAATTTGATTTTTTATTATACAACAACAAGTATATGTTGTTATGGGTTTTTATTTATTTCCCAAACTTCCTTTTTTAGATATGATTGATTCATTGATGAAGTTTTGGTATTCGTCTTCAATACGCCTCTTTAATGATTTTTACAATATTTGGTTTACAATTACGATACATGTTTTTTTGGATAGAGAAAACTATTGTAGTCAGCAACTATCAATACCACAAAGAGTCATAAATCTTTAAACTTTACAAGCTAATTATTAAGCGGCTGATCCTCAAACAACTGGTAAAACAACATCACTTAAGGAAAAATGCCGCCCAGCGGAAATTTATCAAGAGCGGCTTCGAGTCTCGAGAGGTCATAAAATCGTTAGTATTTGAGCCTTTGATCAAAACTCAAAACTAGCACTACAAATTGAAGAAATGACAACTGAAGGACCATTGTTAAGTAGCATACATGCTATTCAGCTATTGTATCAGCTGGTAATGTGAATGAAATTGGACTCCGTGTTTAGCCTTTGTTTTCATTGCTGTATCTCTCTCATCAGGATTTATTAATGCAGCCTGTTATTATATAGTTTTAAACAACATGCTGTAATAATATAGCTCAGAATCAAAAGTCCTTGATGAACATCAAAGAATTTGATAGCTTTTTCAATAGACAGTGTAGATCTTATGAGCTGCTTCGTAAAGGCTCTATCTGAAAAGGAAACTCAAAACTCAACATGATCTAGTATCACCTATTTTGTTGCCACTTTTATGCTTCACCCGATTAACTATATCCTTATAGTGCTCCATGTGTCCATATTTTATTGCTTGGCATCTCTTTGTATCCCACTCAAGACCTAGAAAAACCCACCCATGTTTTCTGACAAAAAAAAATTTGTATTGGGCTGACAAAATTGAACAGCGAATAGAATAGTACAGAAATTCTGCATGTTAAAAGCACACTGGACAATCTAGAAACCTCTCTTTTCCAGCTGAATACCCTCCTACAAACCTGAGCTTTTTTTCGTTTTTCGTAGGATTTCTTTTGGTCCGGCATGTGCATAAAAAAAATCCTACTCGCATGAAAAATGGCGAAAAGCGCGGCTGACACATGTGCAAAAAATCCTAAAAGTCTTGGCAGGGACGCCCAAAACGACTGACTTTTGACACTCATATCCCAAAAAAACATACAGATTTTGAACCCAGTTTAAAGGACGATATATAGTACTTCAACTATTCAAAAAAGCTACAAACTTCGCCATAAGGTACTTTTGCATAAGAATCATATAACTATGTAATTATTTTGAACAAAACAAGAGGTATAAAGCTCTATTTTGGCGTTTTAAAAAGGGGTGTTGAATTTGAGACATTTTTCGGAATTTTCGCGAATATCTCCACAAAACGCATTCGCGATATTATTTCCTTTGTTTACTTTTCTGATTCAATTCTTTGTTTACACTACAAGGAACTTGAAATAGCTCTTTACATTCATCAATCATCGCGGAAAGAAGCACCATGGCCGGGGTAAATGAAGAAGCAGATGCTGGTGGACAATTTGATACCATTATTGAGAAAGTTTTTGCAGCTCAGAGGTAGTTTGAAATGGCTTTGTTCATTAAGTTCATTTGGTCTTTTGGAAGGACTAAGCACGTTTCCAGTCCAGTAAAAGGGTGGTTGCCTGTTCTCTGCTGGCGCTTGTGAGTCTTGGTAAATATCACTGGGATCGAAGTGTTCTTGATTCATTGGAGCGTTGATAAAGGTCTTCTACAAGGTGGTAGCTTCAATCCAAGTAGCTCCCGTACGTGTTTGTCAACAAATCTGTGGAGTGACAATTTGTCTGACAGTTAGGTTCGTCCTGTCGTTCCTAAAAAGGAAATTCATAGGATTTCCTCACACTATGCGTTTAGCCAGGCCAACACGCTTTGCGCCGTTATGCAATATTCAAAAAAAACTCGGGTTTGTAGGAGGGTAGAAGAATACTACCTTTGTTCATCAGCTTACCAACTTCCAAGCGTACCAAAACACTGAGGGACCCCAAAAAAATAAAAACCGAAATGTATTAACCATCATTTTCATGTAACGTCACTCCTATTCCAAATTAGTACCAGATCTGCAAACCCAACTCCAAAGGCAACTTCAACCATCATTAAGAGAGCTCAAGACCTAGAACTTTCAGTAGCTATGAGGGAAAATGATGTTAAACATCTTGCTCAACAATTTTTTCAATTAAAACAAGAGATCGATAATAAGCTTGTGATTTGAATCTGGAATTGAAAGGTATCATTGAAAAAGATCAGCAATATCTCTAGACTTTTCACTATGGCTTCTTAGCTTTCTGGACGCCAGTGTCAGTTGATGTTGAAGCTTTTCTTTGAAAAGAAAGGACAAAAGAATTCAAAAACTTTCAAAGCTCCTAAGGAACCGACCATTTCAAAGAAGCTAGATGTATTATCAACCTCTGAGTTCGAAAAGACTTCCACCAGTCAAAAGTTCCTGTTTTTCAGTTTTGGATGAATGTCATTTTAACAAATTTTGACTTAAAATGTTCAACTTCACAACTAAGAAAACAGCAGCAGCAACACCACCACCACCACCACTAACTCCAGAAACAACATGAATTGATTTATTCAGAACGTCAACTCTACTGCTAAACCAACCTTAGATCTTGATAATAAGATGGATGGTATTTTGATCCAAAATGGTACTAAATTCCAAATTGCTTCAACTCATTTTTTGAACATTTCATCCATAGAGCAACCAATCTCAAAGAGGACCGACTTATTAATTCATGATGAAATAATCTATAATCACCAAACATAACAAACAAGTGTTAGGCTTACTTAAAGAACAACAATGAATTTCAGATATTGCAGTACAAAAAAAAGTGGAACTCATCACAACACAGCTATAGCAAAGAACAGCTTTCAAAGCAATAATGGGATAAATTTATAGCCATGATCATGTCATTGTTAATTGAGTTGTTTGTTAATTTTCTTGCCCATAAGTTATAAACACCATGACTCAACAAAGCGGCTAATTTATTGATTTCCTCCAAAGTCATCAAATCTCGAAGCAAAACCATCTAATTTGGGTGGATACATGATCATGAAGGGTATAGAAAGTCAAGAGCATCAATAAGATAGAGCTTGAATGAATCACGATCAATAATATGATGAGTTTTTGTTTTGTTTTTGTTTGAAGAAATTATCAACATCAAGAGCTCGTTTCAAAAATTGAGCCTCAACAAACCAATTTCACTGAAATCCATTGACCACATAAACATAGATATTCTCATCAACTTCATCCCAATTCTTCAGCAATATATAGTGGTTCAACTGGTCATTTCCTCACAAAATCTAGAAATCCCTTGATAATTCTAGTGTTTGCCAGAAAATTCTATTTTTTCCCAAAACCTCATCAAGACGAAAAATAATCATCCGAACAATTTACACAACAATCCTAAATATGGTGGAAATAACAGGATAATCACCAGTACTTGAAGATATTTGTTGGTTTAGTTTAGAAAGAATCACTATACAAGAATCCCACATCTTCTGGCGTTAAGAACATCAAAATGACATGTATTCAGACTTAAATAATGTGCAGAACTGGGTTAAATCTCATTATGGTTTCGGGTTTAGCCTGGATGAACAAGCCAAAAAATCTGAACGTGTACAGCTGCTGTTTTTTTGGGCTCACATTTAATTAGATTTATGGCTAGGGCTAGGTTGTTTCAAATGGATATACGAGGAAACGGCTACCTTCGTCATTTTTCTTTGATATCGTATCATAAAGATCTGGGATGGATATCCGAAATGTACATATCTAAATTCTATCGAAAGATTCCTCATGCATTATTTTCATAAATTGTCAACACCCAAGTAAATTATACATATTACAGCTTGTCTATATCCGAGACTTTATAACCTTTTTTATTTCGACCATAATTGTATGTCTCTGTTTGAGTGATTTTATCCATTGTTACTCCATCTTGAGATTGAGATTGAGATTTGATTTCATCATATTCGGATTCATCACTTGCATAAACATCAACTTTGGAGTGTTTGGACATTGGTGTTGTTTTGTTTGATAATTCACTTAATGGAATTTTGGGTTTAGAAATCTGTATTATTTCTCTTTTGTTTCTATTGTTTGTGATCCTTCTTGGTGTTGATCTAGGTGTTATTATTGATTTCAATGAATCTTTGATTTTAGCGTTGGATTTTGTAATGGAATCATCATCCCATCGTATTTGATCATTCTTGATTGGTGTTGCATTTGGTGGTGGTCTTAATAGAAGAAATTCATCTGAACTAATCAATGATGGGGAATTAAGATCTGATATTTCCAAATCCAAAGATTTCTCTTTTAATTTAGGTGACCTTGAAGTGTTAGAGTTTGGTTTGATTGGTCTTGATATTGATTTGCTGATAACTTTCTTAACAACAGGTGTTTTAACATTGTGGGAACGATCTTTGGGGCTTAAAAGATTCAACTGATCAGGTTCTGGCACTTGCATGAATGGTTTAGTTTTTGATGCCTTTATCCTTGGTATAGCCGTTCTATGAGTGTCATGTTTGGGTGGCTTTTCATTACTTGAACTCAACTCATCCTGTGATTTTGCTGGTGCTGGTGTACCGCTTTGCCTTCTTCTTGATGGTGTCATTGATTTACTTAGCCCAACTCTTCTTCTCTTCATTCCCAACAATGACGGACTATTTTGCCTCTCCACATTCAACTCTTTCAATGGAGTTCTTGTACCACCAGCGCTGGGTATTTGTGATTTTGAATAAATGATATTTGTCTTTGGTGTTACTGTATCCTTTTTAAACATCTTTGTCAGGTCTCTTTTACTTTCAGAATCCATACTGTCTATCGTTATCAGAACACCACCAACTTTGAATTCGTTACCCCAATTTGATTCTTGTAACTGTCTATCATTTTGTAAAAATTCTTGAGTTATGAGTATTGAATCCTCATTGAATACTTGAACTTTGTTGTTAAATTTGAAGTACTTTAGTTTCCCATCGTTCCATTTTTTGAGTTTTTGGACAATGTTATAAGTGTACAAGATTGTATACTCTTGGATTTCAGAGATGATCTCTTGCGACATGACTTGGAGTTTGATCTATTAAACATGATGTTTTTGTTTTGGTGACAATTTCGCGTCTTGTTATTCTTTTATTGTGTCAAGTTACAAAACGTGTTCGCGAAGTGTAACGAAATCGATCTTTGGTCCTCAATTAAAAGACATTCTACATAACTGTTGAACCAATGTATAAACTCCAATATTAAGTCATAACTAAACCATAAAAATTAACTATATAAGATTTTCCAGAAACTAAATCAATTGAATCAATCAATCACTCTAAGCAGAAACTTTTTCTTCCAAAACTTTAGTTAAAGTAACAGCATCTTCAGCGAATTTTCTGATACCTTCAGCTAATTTTTCAGTAGCCATAGCATCATCGTTTAATAAGAATCTGAAGGTAGCTTCATCATCAACATATGTGACTTTTTCTTCTTTAACGTTAGCAGCATCTTTAGCATCTAAAACTTGAGGAACAGCAGCATCTGAAGTAATCAATTCTTCCAATAATTTTGGAGCAATAGTCAAGAAATCAACACCAGCTAAAGCTTTGATTTCATCAACGTTTCTAAATGAGGCACCCATAACAATGGTGTTGTAACCGAATTTTTTGTAGTAGTTGTAAATTCTTTTAACTGAAACAACACCTGGATCAGTTTCACCAGTGTAAGTTTCACCAGTTTTAGCCTTGTACCAATCCAAGATTCTACCAACGAATGGTGAGATTAAAGTAACTTTAGCTTCAGCACATGCAACAGCTTGGACAAATGAGAATAATAAAGTTAAATTGGTGTGGATACCATAGTTAGCTTCTAATTCTCTAGCAGCTTGAATACCTTCATAAGTAGAAGCGATTTTGATTAAAATTCTTTCTTTTTCAATACCTAAAGATTTGTATAAATCAATGATTTGAATAGCTTTCTTGATGGTACCTTCTTTGTCAAATGATAATCTAGCATCAACTTCAGTAGAAACTCTACCTGGGACAATCTTTAAGATTTCTTTACCGAATTCAACTAATAAACGGTCTAAAGCTAATGAAGCTTTTTCTTCAGTGGTTTTACCATTTTGTTTACCATATTCAACAGCAACATCAATTAATTTAGCGTATTCGGCTTTTTTGGAAGCGGCCAAGATTAATGAAGGGTTGGTTGTGGCATCTTGTGGAGTATATTTGGCAATTGCTGTGAATGGTTGTTAGTATTTGTTCATAAAAAATTATTATCATCAACAAAAAAATCAATTGAATCAAAATGAGATTTCCTCATGATTTTTTTTTGTTGGGCTTGCTTTTTGCCTTTGTATGATTGACTTACATTCAAATTCACCAGTATCAGTGACGACGACTGTACCAGTAGCTTTCAATTGTTCTAATGAGTTGCTTGACATTGTGTGTGTATAATTGTATGGAATTGAGTATCAAAATATCCTTAGTATCCAAATATTCAAAGACGAGAAAGGCAGCAGGCCATGGTCTTCCTTATATATGATCGAATCCTCCATAGCAAATTCACACCTGGTCGACAGTTTTCCGTATTTCGAGGTCTTTCTAGGGCCAGTTCCGGGTAAACCGTGCACATGCCAAAAATTTTGATGCTAATGTTCCGCGAATTCTCAGTAGTTAAGGAGGAATACAGGCCGTGGAAAGGTTGAGAAAGAGCCATGGATAGTGACGTTTGTGAAAATTTAAAGTGTATGGAGTGGTAGGGTCCATGCTGTCCACATATTGTTTAAGTTGGATCAAGTCATGTGTCGAACTCTCTAGAGTCTAGGTTGTTTCTTTTGGTGGTTTAGTGATGCTTAGTGAGATCAAGCTCAAACTCAATATGGGGTCAGCCATCTATTTAGCCTTATGATTAAGTGTCAAATCAATATTGAATCATAGGAACAACTATTCAAAATATCAGAATTACAAATACACCTTGAGGCTTGTCCCCCTATTCTTTCAACCATCCTTGATAAATGAATAGCCTATAACCATTTTATTCCCTTTGACGGTTTTTCCGTTAGGTGACACAATTCTCGCTTATGAAATCATTTTGTATAGGGCCACATCTCATCAGGGCCAGGGACATTAACCATCTGAAAAAACCTGGAGCAATAGTTTTAATTAAGGATTGCTTAAACCGTACTTTCCTTTAGATTCAAGATCCCTATAGTCCAAAACAATAGATTTAAAACAATAAAACAATGTCGTGGTGGAGTGGTTCAAATGATTCAATGCCAAAACACGCTCTTAAAATATCAGCTTCAACTGCATATGATGGAGAATTCAAACTAGTTCCTGTCAATTCTGAGAAACCATTATCATTTCATTCAGAAATTGGTGATATTCAATTATTATTAAGGGTTAAAGATTTTTATGGTTCCAAAGATCATGATAAATCATCAAGTAAAGATTCTGAATATTTCAAATCAAATCCAAATTCCAATATTTCTATTCAAATAAGTTTCACTCCAAACCAAGATGGTATAACTGGTGATAAATTATTATTTGGTAATGATTTTGAATATCCAATTAAAGATTATTTACCTTATGGAACTTCTACCGGATTGAAACTGTTTAAAAACTATGTTGATCCAAGTGTTGATGGTGATTTGTTTGCTGAGAAACCATATCTTTATGGTAAAGCCCTTTCAAGTTTTAATGTCATAAATGATAAATTGAAGCCAAATTCTAACGAAGGTGAGAATCATTTCATAAAAGAAGATTTGGTAAATGATGAACCAACTTCAGATAAATTGTTGATCCCTGTTGAATCAACAGATCGTCAAAAGTTTTTCCAAGATATTAAAAACCTTGAAGGATTTGAATTTAAAAAAGGTCATACATATACTTTTGATTTTTCCTCTGGGTTGGTTAGTTTGAAAAATTCAAACTTTAATATCAAGTTACCAGGTGGATTTGAAGTGAATTTGTCTAATTACTTGAATGAAAAGTTTAATAGTGTGAGATATGTTTTGAAGAAAGGAACAAGTGCTGAATTGGGTGTTGAATTTGGTGAACCAATCTTGATTATTAATTTTGAATTGGTAGATGTGGGAACAGATGAGGAACGGGAGGAGTCAGAGAATGTCACAAAGGAGGAAAAAGACACGGTTGAATAAGGTGTTGAACGCCTCAGGCTTACTAGTATTCGCGTTGGTATACAAATAGACATGGTCTACATTTGAACTGAAAAATAATCGTAAGTTTGTCCTCCTGCAACAATTCAGCGTGACTATAGGTACACTAGAAACAGCAACCTGAATCAGTACACATAACCATCAAGGCTATTTTAGACTGAATGAAGTCTAGAATATGCCTAATTGAGCTTCAAATCAGGAAAATTTGTTGACCAGAAACAGGTCTATGATCATTGATTCTCATGCGACTAGCTGCTGTATGCCCTATTTCTATAGCTTCCAAAGGCTTTCTGTAACCAATGACTTATGCGTTTCTTCAATTGTTTTACTTCAAAACAGTTGTACGTTTCGAACTTTGTATCATCTTGATACAAATGTGCATACAACTATCGTTCGCGAAAAAGACTCTTATGCAGTGTGAAGCGTGCAAGTGCCAACTTTGCAAACTAGCTCACGCATCTGGCAGAAGTTCAAGCACACTCAACTCTGGAAGCAGATTTTAGTGGGAAGTGGGAGAAGCGGATATGGAAGCCCTAGCAGAAGTTGGAAGAAGAATTATTGACGTACAATTCCTTTGAAGTATTTCTATATTTGCGGAGGTTAAGCTGGAGTTGCATTATTGAAAGAACTTGTTAGCTTTAGGTCTGTACTCTGTAGCTGAGAATTTGGTACCATAGATTGGGTATGTGAGGGCCGCAAGCTGTAAATTGGATACACGAGGACTCAAGTACTATCTGCTGGGGTCAAAATGGCTCCTATTTCTTTGATGTAAGCTTTGGAAGTTGCAATATTGTCTAGCTAATGGTTTAATGTTACCTATGAATGTGCTTCAAATACGTGTTACTCGAAGGCCAAAATGATGTTTTATTACATTTGTGAATAGCTAATACTCATGATGCTGATTACAGTCTTAATTAAATCAGCCTGATATTGTTTTGTTTCGGTGTTATTTGATTTACAGATCAGGTTCAGAGTTGAAACTTATAAGGAGTCAAAAGTGAATAGCAGCAGCTTTAGGGCCTTGTACTCCAATCGCTTGTCTATTGGAACGGTTATGGCTTCTAAGTTCTCAAGGTCGACAAATAACGCTTTTCATTCACGTACAGGCCGCTATACACAAGGGTTTTCCACACCATGTAACACTGATCTTCCCAAACGATTAACGATTAGAATAGATATCATAAAGATAACTTATCCAAGGACTGATAGGTTCGTATCGAAGTTCTGATGATTGATCTATGAAAGAAGTGCGCACGTCTAAAAAATTAACGAAGGTTTTAAAGCACATCTATGCATCCAGCTTATGTACATGGAAAACGCATGGCTTGTAAAAAACACAATCTGCACAATTTTGTTTTATCTTGAAACCGTTTACACACGATCAGTACAAAATGAAAGGGAAGGTCAAAGGTCAAAGGGTATGGAGCACTAGTGAGCGTTGTCGATGATTCTTATTGCCTTGTAGCTTCTCAAAGGTAGTCAGCAGGCCGGTACACTAAATTAGCTGGCCGTCATGATTTTAAGTTGAAAGTTTTCAAAAATCAACGTTCCCACCTTTCAATAAATGCTTAATTGTCTTATAAGCGCCTGTTGTTTGAATAAGATTAATGTTTCGACAAAATATAACTTTGAACAATAATGTGGTCGATAACTTTCCTTGGAAATTAAGCTACTTCTGAGTTTATAATATAGAACAAACAGCTATATCAAATGATGTGCTTTAATTTTCTTGCCTCCTTGTCTCAAACTCATAAAGCCTTGGAGAATAGAGAACACAATATAACTGTTTTAAAATTAGGTTGAGTTTCAACTTTTTTAGGATCTGTACAATTGAGTTAACTTTGTATCTTCTGTTTTAGTCGAGATATCCCTTGTTAAAAATTACATCAAACTTGGATTCGAAAATTTCCGGACTTTGAATGGGCTCCACAGATTCCAGAGATACAAACCCTCGCAAAAGCCCTAAATACTGCTACTACTACTGTAAAGTTGAAATGATAATGGCATGTTATTATTAATTATTACTTATGAAAGATTTTGAAAAGATGCAAATTGAAGTTAAAACAAAGGCCATGAAACGAACACCAAAGACAGTCAAACCAAACGAAATATAAAACACCAATCATCAAACACATTAAGACTAGAGAAACCAAACAATCAGTCATCATCTTCAGCATCCTCATCAGATTTCTTTGTTTTCTTTTTCTTCCCCAGTATATCAGTTAAAAATGCAACATCATCAGTTTTATAATGAGTTTTCAATTTATCAATTCTTGTATTGAAACGACTTGTAGGATTCAAATGAACCAATTTTTCATGTCTTTGTTGAGAATCTTTTCTTTTAAACAATCTATCACAGAAATCATACTGACATTTGAATTTTTCTGATGAGATATAACCTTCATGACATTCTGTTTTATCATCAGGATACGTTATAACATAAGCATGTTGAGCTGCACAATGTCTTCTAACTTCAGCTCTTCTTGGTAAACCAATAATAGACCATGGACAATCTTCAAATGGACATTTATGCTGACGTGCAATCTTGTTTTCATCAATATGTTTGGCTAGATCAATCAATTCTTTAAACATTTCTGAACAATGTGTACATTTATAAATACCTTTCTTCTTCTTTTGTGAAATTTTGTTCCAAATTCCTTTATTTGCCATTAATTGTTCAGCGATTGGCTTTGCACTTTCATCATATTTATATTTAGGAGTACGCACTCTTTTCTTTCTTTCAGCTTTCCTCTTTTTAATTATTGCAGAACCTGGAGTCATTGGTGATGCTGTCACTGAAGATAATGTTGATGTTGCTGGGTTAGATAGAGGGGTTGACGGTATCTCTGATGTAATAACTTGTGGATATATTTCTTGAGAGGCAAATAAACCTTGGAAGGATGCATTGGAATGGTCATCAGTTGCAGGTGTTAATTGGAAATCTTCAGTTCTTTTCATAACTCTTGAAAAAGTTGATAAATCATCACCTTCATAGTTGATGTTTTTCCAATCATATGATAATGGTTCAATTGGTGTCAGCACTGGGTTGAAAAAATATTCAGCATTGTTTGGTTTTGATTTACGTTGTTGTACTAGACTGGATGTTTTCAGTTCTTTCTCACCCAAGATATCTGGTGAAGGTAACCCATTTTGTTTCGTAAAACTTGGTGTAGTTGAATCTAAATCATCTTCACCAAATGAGTTGAAAGAGTGAAGGCTGCTTGGAGAGGAGGTATCATATTCTTGTTTGGTTATTGGGTCAAAATCTTTGTATTGGAAGTTTTCTCTTGCACTATCAACTAGATACTGAAGTTTAACATCAAAGTTGTCTCCCCATTGCTCAGTGGCTTGTGATTCAAAATGTGAAACGTTTGGTGAAACGAAGGAATGGACACTGTTCATCTTGTGCTATATCATTAACAATAAGTTTAGGTGACTAGTTGTTTGTTTGGTGGTTTAGGGAAAAAGGTGGTAGTTGATTCACTTTTATACAAGCCCAAACGGGTTTTAACAAATTTATCTCAATTTTCTTTTCACTCCAGCTCCTGCCTGATGTCTAACTCCTCGGCAGCAGGCCACTGCAAGAGGGATAACACGATTATACCTACAGAACTGGCTCCCTATACAAATTGGTCGTAAATCGAAAGCCTTTCAGCTTTTAAAGCTCGTCGTTTCTGCAGGATCTGTTTCAAGTTTGACAAAATCACATCACTTTTGCAAACAACTGGCTTCTTTTCTGGTTTCCAAATTGCGTTTAGTCACATCTGACGTGCATATAAGATGCACTACAGTTTCTTTTCTGAGATGCAAATATGTAGCTTCCACTTTGGTCCTGTACATTTTCACATCTATTGTTTCATGATGTGACAACTTACAAATTAAAACGTACAAGTCCAACTTTCACAGGTTGGAAAGGTTTTCACCTGTATACAACAAGCAGCTAACCGTTCCCATATGGGTCTTAAAATTACACTCAGTGCTTAAAGTGAAGTGAATACACCGAGCTCCCCCTTGAATCTCATCTGTATGATGCGGATGTATACGTGATACAATTGATCCTTTGGTCGCAAGTTGCCTAGTACAAAACGACTTTCAATCTCGAAACCTGTTTTTGGTTGAGAACAAGATAAAGTGAAGATGGTTGGAGATCGAATTACTTTAATTGCTTTTGTGAATCAAATGACTGTTAGATCTGAGTCGGTTCAGAGCCTAATTATCTGCTGTAGCTGGTTCACCCAACCAGCTCTTCAACTTCCATCACAAAATAATTAATTCAAGGGGGTCGCCGTGTACAAAAATATTATTCCCACAACTGAATATATCCTTCAATATCCGGTGTGTTGTAAACTGTGGACCATACAGATGTACACTGGCTGGAGTCTTGTATGTTGCCTAGTTGAAAGATCAACTAAAGCAAGGAAAGATTACTCAGCCAATCGTTCTTTATCTTAATCTGTCAGGACATCTGTGGCTTAAGCTCACGACGTGGTTGCTTTCTATCATCAAGCTGATTCTTAAGCAAGAACTGACAGATCATAGATAAGCGTTCATGAACCAATCCAAAACTGGAGTCCATATGCCCTAATGATATATACATGTTTAAATGACTTGAAGGATAAAAGCGGCCAAAGTCAGTGTGAGAAACACGAAGTACTGATTTGATAGAAGTGTCGGTTGAAAAAGCTCAATATTCTAGAAGAATGATTAGCGAGGCTCATAATGACTAGAAGCTCCAACTCCACGTTGAAAAGCCTTGCTCTCAAGGTCTTAGCTATTCCAATGGATTCGAGAGCTCAACTAATCTTAATGGACTATGACTATGGACCAAGTTGCAAGAAAACAATAGCTAGCTGGGAGTTAGCCGGCACTCAAATAATATAGAAGCAGAGCCAAGTATATCAAGTGACTAAGCGCAGCAGTTTGTAACTTGTAACATGGTTCTGTGCTGCTTTCAAAAAGTTTCGACTAACAAAAAACTGCGGCTTTCCTATTGAAACACAATTCGACACTCTATAGTCTATAGATATAATTCCCTCCATCTACTACTATAGTAGTATCATCCCATGAGATCAATGTACTGTCTTTTATAAGTTGGGCGTCAGCTCAAATATGTTACTACACCAGCTGATTACACTAATGTACTTTGCAGTAATCACTTTGACATGATGCACTGTTAAAGCCAAAGGTTAACTTCTTTTCAGCTACGTTAATTTCTACAACTCTAATACCTTTCAAATTCGTATTGGGAAACCACCACATCATTATTAACTCTATGTACCTGAACAACATCAATGTCATTAAACTTTTGAATTTTGGACCTATAAAAAGCCGACGTCAATACAACCAGTGTATATTTTGACTATAATTTAAAGCCGGCTAGTTATTTTTGATCAACAGCTAATGGGGTCAAACGTAAGTATGGTTTGACAATTCTGAATTTAGGGAACAAAGTCTTAGCTTCATCATTTGAAACTGATGGATGAACAATAACATCATCACCTGGAACCCAGTTGATTGGAGTAGTAATTCTGTTTTTGTCACCTAATTGTAAAGAGTCAACAACTCTTAAAACTTCAGCAGTGTTTCTACCAGTTGAAGCTGGGTATGAAAGAATTAAACGGATAGATTTTTTTGGATCAATGATGAAAACTGATCTGATAGTGAATTGAACACCTTTGTTATCAACATTGGTGGCATCTTGATAATCAATCATATCATATTTATAAGCAATTTCTCTTTTTGGATCAGCAATGATTGGGAATTTCAAGTTTGAACCGGTGATTTCATCAATATCTTTGATCCATGATTTATGAGATTCAGTACCGTTAGCTGATAAACCAATTAATTTGACACCTCTCTTTTCAAATTCTGGTTGTAATTTAGCAAAAGCACCTAATTCAGTGGTACAGACTGGAGTGAAATCATCTGGATGTGAGAATAAGACAACCCAGTTATCACCAGCAAAGTCATAAAAGTCAATTGGACCATTTGAAGTGTCAGCTTGGAAGTTTGGTGCTGTTGAACCTAATCTTAAGGTGTTACCATCTGGTTTTGGAATAGACATTTTTGGAATATGAAGTAAGTAATATTTGACTCAATTGAGATGTATCGAACTTCAAAAAGATTTATTCAAGAATTAATGTAAGAAGTGGAAAAGGGTTCTTTATAAATGCCAATCGAGTTCAAAGAATCAACATCTCATGTTTTAGTTTCGTTTGCATTATTTCCACCAAAATTGAAGTCATATCACGTGAAATTGAGGCTGGTGAAAGTGGTTGTACCCACAACGGACCTCGACAACAGCCACAGGTTGACATCTGGGTGGGCTAGTGCAACATCAACACTTTGGGAATTGTATGAGAGTACAAGAGAATTGTGGTTAAAGGACCAAGTTATAAGGGTTTTGGTTGATGCTTGCGATATTGGTGATGGCTCGTTCATATATTCTTGGTCGCGAAGTATCAATAGGAACAGAACTAATACACTAGTTCTCTCAATTTTCAACAGCTAAATGACTGAAGCCCTAAGCAAAGGCCGAGATCTATTCATTATTGTGCAATTTTGTAGGTCTATTATATTAGGAAAGCTAAGTTTGAAGAATGTTTAATTAGTTGAAGCTCATGAAACTTTAGGTAAGCCATGTGTTTCGACTTTTAAAGCAGAAGCTCATAGATGATATAGCTGATAACCATTAGAACAATTAGCTTCTTTTCAAACACAAAAACTACATCAGCACTTATTATACCTTCATGACATTTCATTCTTTGTTATACAAAATAATTGTATCACTCGGTTCAGGATCAAAATCTTTTCTCTTATGAGTAATATATCATCACATTAACTAATAAATACAAATCATTCAAAAAAAAAATTAAACTTAAACCATTTTAATTCCCTCTTTCCATATATATATGCAATCTTATCTTACAAAACACAAAACTATTAACCAACCAAATTAAACAATTAAAAAAATCAACTTAGACAGTTTCTAAAATTTCATCTTTGAAACCACCAGCAACTTTTTTACCTTTTTCTTCAGATGAAGCTTCACCGTGTAAAGCTAATAATGAACCTAAATCAAATTTTGGTTGTTTTAATAATTTAACTTTTCTGATGTGAACGTTTTGTAGTGGGAAAATACCTTTGGTAGCTTTTTCCATTTCACGACCAATAACTTCTGGAATCAATTTTGAAGTTAATTGAGCTAAAGTGGAGTTTTGAACTTCTTTGGTGATGATGTTAACCATTTCTTTTCTGATAGCTCTGATGTGAGATGATTGAGCATAAGTAGTTTTTTTGATTTGGTTAGCTTGACGTTTGGTGAAGGCAATACCGAAAACTCTGATAACGTAGTCATCTGAAGTTTTAACAGTAACATTGGCTTCAATCAAAGTTTGCCATTTTCTAACTAATGATCTTAATTTATCTGAAGTGAAGTCCATACCGTGGAAGTTGGTCAACAAGTTTTTACCTTGAACTTCATCAACTCTTAATTTAACATTTCTGAAAGAGTAATCTTCTGAACCTTGTAAATCAGCTAATGAAACTTCAACAACACGACCTTTTAAAGCGTCAGCAGCGTTTTTCAAACCAGTTGATTTGTTGACTAAAGTTTTACCAACGTTTCTGTTTTCGAAAGTTGATGGAGCTTTGATATCAAACCATTCTTTTCTGGTGAATGGATCAACAACTCTCTTCTTAAGACCTTTTTTACCTTTACTCAATCTTTTGTTTTTACCAACAGCCATATTGTATTGATTTTTCTTCTCTTCTCTAACAAAATTGTCTTTTCCATAGCAAAAAGCCTTTTCAATATTTTTTTTCACATAGTTTTTCAGGTCGTGTGGCGCCAACCGAGAGTACAGCCGGACACCAATTTGATTAGGGCTTCTTTGGTTTTCGCGAACCGGTCACAGTCACAAGAAAACGGAAGGGACACTACTTTTATCACCTTGATCAGATGAGATCAGATGAGATCCAAAGAATGGATGGTGTTGATGGTGATTGAATTCAAGCTACAGCTTTTATTAATACAAACTAAACTTGTATATTTTTATCTGAACTTGTCTTTTCATTAAACAATGTTCATGCAATTAACCTAATTCCCAAAAAACAATAAATATATATAAAAAAAAGTAAAAAACAAACGTTAAAACGACATCAAGTCATTCAATGACCATTATGATATAAACAATTAACAATTTTTGTGTAATATTAACAAAGTGAAAACGAAGTGAAGTAATGAAATTGCTCACAAGACAACAACTTAGTTGTTTTCTGGACGTAATTTTCTAACTTCTTTACCAACTTTCCAGATTTCCATACCTCTGATAACTTTTAATTCTTCTTCTAATTTCTCTCTGTAATCAACTTGAGAGTTGAATTCTAAAGAACGTTTAGTTTCAGAACCATTTCTAACAGATTCGTATAAATCATTGAAGACTGGTTTCAAAGCATCTTTGAAAACTGGGTACCAATCTAAAGCACCACGTCTAGCAGTAGTGGAACAAGCATCATACATGTAATCCATACCGTATTTACCAATCAATGGGTATAATGATTGAGTAGCTTCTTCAACGGTTTCATTGAAAGCTTCTGATGGAGAGTGACCATTTTCTCTTAAAACTTCATATTGAGCTAAGAACATACCATGGATACCACCCATTAAACAACCACGTTCACCATATAAATCTGAGTTAACTTCTTTTTCAAAAGTGGTTTGGTAAACGTAACCAGAACCAACGGCAACAGCTAAAGCTTGAGCTTTTTCATGAGCATTACCGGTAACATCATTCCAGACAGCGTATGATGAGTTGATACCACGACCTTCTTTGAATAAAGTTCTAACAGTTCTACCTGAACCTTTTGGAGCAACTAAGATAACATCAACGTTTTTTGGGGTTTCAACGTGAGTTAGATCTTTGAAAACTGGGGAGAAACCATGGGAGAAGTATAAAGTTTTACCTTCAGTGATCAATGGTTTGATTGTTGACCAAGTTTCAGATTGAGCAGCATCTGATAACAAGTTCATGATGTAAGTACCTTTTTCGATGGCTTCTTCGACAGCGAATAAGTTGACACCTGGTTGCCATCCATCTTCAATGGCAGCTTTCCATGAAGCACCGTTTTTTCTAACACCGATGATAACGTTTAAACCGTTATCTCTCAAGTTTAAACCTTGACCATAACCTTGAGAACCGTAACCGATTAAAGCTAAAGTATCATCTTTGAAGTATTCTAATAATTTTTCTCTTGGCCAGTCAGCACGTTCGTAAACGGTTTCTTCAACACCGCCAAAGTTGATTTGTTTTAAACCTCTTTGTTGAACAATTGAAGCACCTGAAGTTCTAGCAACAGTTGGACGAGCAGCAGCGTTAACTAAAGCTGATAAAGCTCTTTTTTGAGTTTGGGAAGCAATGGCTTTTGAACCAGCAATACGAGCAAGACGGATTGAGTTTGATCTGAATGACATTTTTATATGAAAAATTGTTTTCTTGTTGAGTATAAAAGAAGAAAGAATTGAAAAGGGGAGAAATCAATCAATTTTTATACCTTGTGGATCCACTAGTTAATTCTGAGTCAACGTTGAACTGAAAAATTTATTTCAGCTACCCTGTGGCCGGTACACACCACAATATAGGCCCGGTCAACGGAGCGAACACAGGCCAAACAGATCAGGGCCGTGCACTGTGAAGATTAGGCTACGAGAAGAGTCATATTTCATGGGGTAGGCTACATAGCAATGGGTATAGCCAATGGTAGTAGAGTCATTGGTAAGTTTGAGAGATCAATTGCATTTGTTCTTTAAATCAATGCCCTAAATTGAAGTATTCATCCTCCCAAAAATTTTTCATCTGGTGGATAATTCTGGAAAGTTTGGTAAGGGACACACTAGCGAAGCTGCTGTCAAAAAGTTTCGGTGATGCTTCGACGATATTTTGATGATGATTTGATTGAGTTTGCCTTGGATTTCATATTGTAAGCGTCACCGGTGAAGATGATATCAAGTTTATCATATCATACAGTCATTACAGGGCCTGCTTCGAGGATGATAGATGATAGTGATGAATCATTGTGATCTTGATCTTGATCGATCATCAGTCATTGATGCCGAAAATAGATCAAGCACTTATCGATTCACTATCGACCTTGGAAAGTGGTTAACCTTTGGAATCAAGCTATTGGGCTGCTATTTAAGGCTATGATGGGTGACTGTTAGCTTTGTTATAGTAACTTTTTGCTGAACTAATGATGTTTATTGGATTGTTTTGATGTATTGATGTTGATAAACCTCATCAATTGAGGGTTTGTGTTATCGGTTAATCGCGCTTTTGATGCTGTTTGGTAATGGATAGTAGATACTGATGAGTATTACAGCCCAAAATCAAACTTAATACTTTCAAAAGATGAATTCTTTATGAATACTCGACACTACCAACCCACGGAGGTATGTACACAATCAGTACAGAGGAAAACAAGATAGATACGTTGATATTAAAGTGTCAATTGGATAATATGGGGACGGCCAAAAAGCTGAAACTTTGTTTCTTGTTGTGCTCTCATTATTTTGGTTTCAAACTTGAATTATAGCAGGAACTATAACTTAATGTTTGGATTGTTGTTTGACGGTATACTACTAAGACCAGATGATTCCACCAGATGATTTGACAACTTCCTGATGGTGAATAAATTGATATTTATTTGAAAATTGAAACTACTATAACTATTTACACTTCAAGAAGGACAGTGCTGCTAATGCTCAATCACTCAGCTTAGTTTATATTGTGATAGCTGTTATCGATCAGTCTCAAGCAGGCTCTGTGAAAATATAATAGCGGACTGAGGAAGTGTTATCAATTCAATAGAGCAAAGCAAAACAGGCTTGTTAAAGTTTTTATGTCTCTTTTGTTTTCATTATTGGTCTGTGAATAACATCGTGTATCCAGCTTCTCAGATATCACTTACAGCTGTTTGACATTTGAAACATTTGCAACTAGAGAATCTCATTAAGCTTTCAATAATTAAACAACGATTAACAAAGCGTTATAATTCGCTTGTTAATCAGAAACATCCAGGCTCATCACGATGTGCACTAGTGTCTAGTGTCAAAGCAAAACTCTAATTAACATCCCTTGTATAGGAACGAGCTAATTGCAGTTCTATTTTTCAAGTCTAGCTTTAGGAAAGTGAACTGATCATGTCACTTTGTGACTGGACCCTGCATTTGTTTACAACTGAGTGGTAAAATCTTGTTCTTGTAAAAGACTAGATATAAAAAGATCTTTTAGAGTACACCATCAAGATGAAGATCAGTATTTGAACTGTCAAAGCACAGCACCCCTACCCGTCGTATTTTTGTGGGAGCTGGATCTGTGTACAGTACAGTTAACGTTTAAGCTCAGTATCAGTCTTTTCTCAACGGGAGTTGTAGTTTACAATGCTTTCAAGCTTAAACTTATAGCTCAAGAGTCAGAATATTACTAGTATATCATGAGCTCCCCTTTAGTATGTTATGAATTTAGTCAATCAATATCGTGTACATCCACAGCTCATGCTCTGACAGAAATCATTGTTGCTTATTATTCGGTAACAGAAGTTACAGTATCGGCCAACTTTAGTAGATGTAGATCAAATCTTAAGACTATTGTACTAGGTTACATCAATAATAGACATGAGCTCAAAGAGAGCACAACGAGTTTACTTTTCAGAAGTTAAAGGATCGAACTAGATATCCACTAGATCTAACTTTTTGATAAATATCAGTGAGGAACTGATTCTTCTCTTTAAAAATCATGTTAATTATTCCCAAATCTGTACAAGTCCGTTGTCAAATTTTCCAATATGGGCATGACCTGGACCCATGAACCCAGTAAAATGACGGGGTCCTTCTCTTTGGAACAATGCCAGGAAAACATCAGCGTAGAACAATTTCAATTCTTATTGACGTCCCTGATGGAATAGACCGAGCTGCTTTATCCATGCGATTAATTGCTTCATATTTAGTTCTAGTAATATTGTTATATCAATAGCTCTTCAGCAGCTTGAAAATCATTATATTATACTTCACCGCTACTATCCAAATTATTATGAAATTCGATCAAAGCTTGGTTATATATATACCCATAGCTAGTGTATTGAAAAAACACATCAATCTCATGAAACAGCTTTATATATTATATACCCAGTTCGACATGAGCGATGATATTGTAGCTTCTTGAGACTAGAACACAACAAGCTGCTAGTCATTTCGATAATTGAACCTTATAAGCTAATCTAAACGAAAATCATTAATTAAAGTACATAGAGTAATAAGGTCTCAATTGTTTCTATCATCCAAAACTGTTGAAATTGTGCACTTTTCATATAACCGAGCCTCCATCTCAAAATAGGGTTTGTTTGGTGTCTTCTATTTTATGCATAAATATGTAATTACTTGCAGAAGATCTTCAGATTGCCGTGGTGAAAGATTGAAAAAGAAACCTTTCAGATGCACAAGAGCTTTTCGAGTTTCCAAAAGTTGAAAGGAAAAGATGAAAATTCCTAGGCTGGAGGAGGAATTTCCTCAGCCTAAAATCTAGAGAGCTCAAGTGAAGATTCCTTCCCTAGGCAAAGGCCAACTCCGTTCCAAATCTACACCAGCGTAGCAGCTCCTTTACAAACGAGTTTCTCTGGTGTCTCAGATTTATCCAAAGAAAAGTTCAAATTTCACAGTAGAGGCCCGAGGGCAGCGATTTCCAGTATACTTTTT